TATCAATGAAAAGCTTTTCATGCAAAGTAAGCCGTTCAAGTTTGAAAAATCATAAGAAGATAGGACAAAAACCCGCTGGATTCTGAAAACTACTCACAAACAACAAATCTAAAAGCTGCTTAGGAAATCAATAAGAAATAAGAAATGAAATTACCATTTTTTTTGAAGCAGCTAGTCGCCAATTTTTAGAATTTAACGTATTTCAAAGTTAAGTTCAAAGTTCAAAGTAACGTTCAAAACTAGTAAAAGTTTCATTTAATTTGTTCAAAATTAACTTTTCTAAAAACCTCAACGGTTAACGGAAGCGCGACTCTCAACTTTCAGAGCCTATATAAAAGTTGTGTTTATTCGGATCGACTAAATATTGTGCACGGCTGCAGGAGGCCTAGTCAAAATTTATCTCTGAAAAAATCAAAGAGATTCGTTTGTTTTTGGCTGAGCTCGACTTTTGGAAGTGAGTTCGGGTAATTATGAAACACCCTGTGAAAGTAAGTCGTCCAATAGATAATAGATAATTTTTTCATCGCTAGTAACATCAACTATTTTCTCATTGTACTGTGAGACTTAAAAGTCTAAAGTTCGAATAGGATAAAAAATAATAAAAACAAATTAATGCTGAACACAAGAAGAGACAACCAATATGAAAAGGTTATCCCATTTTGGTTATGATGAGGGTGAGTGAGTAGGTGTCAAATGGTGGGGCCCATTGTGAGAGCAGTATGTGGAGGCTGTAATTGGCTGTGATTACCAGCCGAGACTCGACCCCGAAAAGGGATGGAGGCGGCTTCTCTGATCTCAACACCACCCTGGTCCACTTCTGTCTAAAATCCTTTCCGCTAACCCTACCTGGAATCTTGAAAGCTAGATTGAAATGATATTTGAAGTCATAAAGGATTTCTTTGTTTATGAAAAGCTTAAACTTTTGATGCTAAAGTAAAAATGGAATGAAACAGGTTGTGAGAAAGTCATTCGAAAAATCTGATGCGAGCCTTGAATCTCTTAACGTTTGAATTTCTAATTTCTAATTTTACAATCTACGTTTTGTTTTTTTTGCAAGTAAAATGAACTCGATAACTGTTTGAACTCGATAACTGTTTGAACTCGATAACTGTTTGAACTCGATAACTGTTTGACTAGAAAACTGATACGTATTGGGTTGGTGAGTATGAAATGTTGATAAAAATAAACAACTAATTTATTCAATATTTTACATGCAATAATTCTAAATATTCTCCATTATTTTGAATGACAATGAGCTCATTCTACTGACATTTTACTCACAAAGACCGGATGCTTCTCTCGTAAAAAAAATTTTATTTTGATGTCAACCAATCCGTGAGCTTTGACAGAGCAATTTTGACATCATCTTCGGAACCAATCTTTGTTGACCAAATCATTGCTCATCGCCCGGAATAAGTAGTCAGAAAGTGCAAGATCAGGGCTGTATGCTCGATGGGCTACCTCACATCCAAGTGAGTTTAGTTTAGAACGAGTCATCTTCGAAACAGGTTGAAAGATGAACTTTCTCTTTGGGGGTCTTTTCTCTGGCAAAGTTTTAGCTGACATGTTAAGTTGCTTACAGTATTTGATTTCGTTAAGTGTTTTCTTGCTATCCAAAAGTTTTCAGTAAATGCTATCTTCAAAATCCCAGAACACCGAGAGCGTAAACTTCTTCTCATGCACATTTTGCATGACGTCGTGTTCGGGCTTCCTTCCCTCAGCAACTCATTGACACTTTCACCAAAATTTGACAGTTAGAATCGATTTTCATCCCTTGTCCCTTTCATCCCAATACTGAGTAAAAACGATTTGCGCTCGCACCGAGAAAGATGAGCGGCGCTGGGTGACATTTCTGGGTGTCTGTTAAGTGATGTGGAATCAAATTTCCTAATTTCTATTTAAACTCAAGTTTATGTAAATGTTCGTGTCTTGTTATATGATCAACTAATAACTCTTTTATTATTTCGGAAGAAAGCCTGTTGTTGGTTTGAAAAATTTCGAGTAACTTGACATTATCCAGCTGGATTGTTGGATGTCTTTGAGCTGGATTGTTGGATAACCCCTCCCTTTGTCTTTGAGGATTTATCCCTAGGACAGAATTTAGCAAACCACTTTGCACATATCCTTTCACATAAACATTTTTAATATTAGTTGAACACTAGGCACTACAGGCTCTACACTAGAGACTCTACACTAGAGGCTCTAGAAATTCGTACAACATCACGCATCGCAGATTTCCCGGTGGAAGATTATCAATAGCCACAGCAAAAGTTGCCAAAATCTCGTGATAACAGAAAGTGAGAAAGCGGATTGGTTATGAATTGTGGACGCAAACAACTATGGGCCGATTTTTTCACCCACCCAACTCTGTGCATAACTATTTTTCTTGCATCGTGCGTTTTCAAGAAAGAGAAAATATAAAAAGGAAAACCCGTAGCTCAATTATGGATTTTTCATCCACCCAACTCCGTCCATGACTATTTTCCTTTTATCAGGCTTTTCGCGATGTTGTGCGTTTTCGAGAAAGAGAAAATCTTTTGCGAGAAAGCGAAACTCTGCTTGTTTCACCGTTTTTTCTTTGTCTCTCAATTTTCTTAATATTTTCTCTCTCTGCCCATCTCTTTCTCTTTCTTTTTGATTGCCCAAGAAAATTCACCTCATGGACATCAACTCGGCCCATTTTCACTCACAAAACTTTCATTTTCAATTTCACTTTTTCAACTTCGTCTATTCAAAATCTAGAAATGGGAGATCAAGGATCGTCTTACAACCAAGGACCGTCTTACACCACCCCGCATCAACCGCTGCAACGGCTGGTAAGTCCAAATCATACGTACTTTTATACAAATTTCCAGCGAAATTTGGTCAAACTTGATTAAAAACAATAACCATTTAAAACTTCTCATAAAACGTTTGTGTCAATTCTATGCAAAAAATCCGCTTTCAGCCGTCAAGTGGCTCGATCGGTTCACAGGGCAGCTCTCACGGAGAGGGATCGCCTCAAGATTAGTGAGTCTTCTTGAAAAAACATTAAAAGTCTTGCATTCGCTAAGTTTGCCGTAATCTATTGAAAGAATTCTAGTCAAACCATGCAACCGGTCACTCCCAATCATCAAATGCCATTACAAGACGAGATGAACAATCTGCAGCTCTTGCGCACGCACTCACAGTCAAGTCTCAGTTTGTTAATGAATCTGTAAAACGACTATCGAAATCATGAAACCCCATATTCTCTCTCACGCTAAATTCAGGCGGAAGTGACTCTTTCGATGTTTATCCAGATTTCGACGACATGCCCGGTTTTGAATACACTGAACCACAGGTGGTAAAATGCAGACAGTAAGACTCGAGAAAACAAAAATTTAGGTTCCGCTCATTGGAGATCCAATGTGGAATCAACAAAACCCTCCAAACTTTCAACCGGTAACCCGTAGAAGGGTAAAAGAAAAAAAACAGTATCAATTCAGAACCACTACACCACAGACTACGAAGTCAATCAACCACAAATGCACCAAATGATCCCACATTATCAAATTATCAGTTTACCAAATTATGAAGGTAAGTACGAGATTAGATCGCCTGAAATAGATCCATTTTAGATGAAGATGACCGATTTGAATCGACTCTCACTCATGCTAGCGCCAACAACGAACAAGGTATATAGGTAGCGATTCACATAGCAAAGACATTACTACAGCTGTAACCACTCACCCACAACAGACTCCAATGATGGTCCATTCGAATCCTGCGAGTCAGGAGCCACAACTTGGATATGACCATCAAGCTCCTCTTTCCAATATGAGGTTAAAAGCCATATAGTATACGTAACCCCGAATTTTTCAGTGCTGACGATTACAGTAACCAAGGTGCCGGATACGAGAGTGACACGAGTCAACGCAGTATTCGGCGTGAAAGTGAGTAATCTAACCATAAAATAGAAAATAAAACGTCTGTACGTCCGTCCGTCACGTTATGCCAATGGCAAGCTCCGAGAAGGGCCTCTGGAAATAGATGGACCCGCGAAACTGATTGAATACAAAACCAACCAGAATAATTATCTAGGAACAAGTCGCTCTGCGAATCAGCCATACGATCGGGCGGCGTCACGCAGCACCAGCCGAAACAGCAATCACAGTCAAAGTAGCTTAAATCAGAGTCAAGTAAACACAAACGTTTCTGCAAGATACGCTAAAAAGTTTCAGCCTGCGGGTAGAGGTCGCCCTGCTATCTACAAAATCGATTTTAACGACCTCACCGAATCACAAAAGAAGACTAAAAAAAAGATCGTATGTTTTTACTAAAATATCAAGCGGAGTGTGTATATTTAGGAGGATAGCGAAGCTTACCGGAATAAAGCTACCGAAGAAGAGCAATACACGTAAGCGTCCTAGTTAGTAAATGCTTTCAAAGCAGTTTCAGCTATCTCTTGGAGCGACTACAAAACAATGAAGCTGTGCGAAACAGTCGTTTAAATAAGAATATTATGTTGAGAGATGTTCTGTGAGTTCCCTAATAAAAAGACAATCAAACAAACCCGAAATTTCAGGGATTTTGGTGAAGAACTTTATCATGCTGCTCAGCACGTGCAGCTAACAATTCCTGGAGTTGAAAACGTTGAAAGTTTACTGGAAAAGATTAAACGTTGGGAAATTGCCAATAAGATCAATTTTGTTGAAAAGGTGTGGCATGTTGAATATGTATTTCAAAATTATATATTCCAGGTCAACGATCTCAAGCCGTAATGAAGACAACGATCTGTAGACTTTCTCTGACATTTTCTTTGGCCTTTTTTATCTCTTTTAGTTTTATTTAGTACTATCTAATGTTTTATTCCTCTAAAATTTTATTTTTCTTTCCATTTTCGCACAATCATAAAATATCACTAACTTTGAAAATGCGTAAAAACACCGGTAAAATTAAGACTCTTTAACACACAAAGACTAATAATCACAAGAGTGTCGAAAAATGAGCAAACCTTCCATCAAGTACGCGTATATTCAGAGCTTGGCTTCTAGTTTTTCGACAATCTAAAAAGGATCTACTTTTCACAAATTAAATAAAACTCACATTGTTTGCACAAAGTGGGAGACGAGTTCCGGGGCCAAAGATCAATGCTACACCAGCCTTGTAGAGAGCATCATAGTCTTGTGGTGGAATCACTCCCCCAGCAACGACTAATATATCACTAAATTAAACGATTATTCATATGCTCACAAAATAATTTCCAACCCTCTTCCACGTTTGTTCAATTCTTCGATTAATTGAGGGATGAGCGTCAAATGTCCTGCCGCTAAAGACGAAGCTCCGATAACATGTACATCGGCATCAATTGCCTAAAAAAGTACAAATGAAGCTGTTCGAGATTTCGAAAATAAAAACAATACAAATCTTGAATTAAAATGAATTTTACCTGTTGAGCTGCTTCGGCAGGAGTTTGGAAAAGTGGTCCAACGTCAACGTCAAATCCTAAACAAAACATTCGAAAACCTCAAATGCGCATGTATAAACATCTCTAACACAAACCAAGATCCGCAAAACCAGTAGCGATCACTTTGGCACCTCTGTCGTGACCATCCTGAACCATTTTCGCCACCATAATCCGGGGTTGTCTTCCTTCAAAAAAAGTGGTCCAACGTCAACGTCAAATCCTAAACAAACATTAGGGGTTTATGATAAAAACAAACCTTCTTGTTGTCAATTTGCAGCACTTCAATTTGAGATTCCTAAAATAGTCATAAGATCCCGACAGTTCACAAAATGCTTACCTTATCCAGCCTGTATTTGTTGACACCGACAATGATATCTTTACCAGAATCAATTCGTGCTTGCTTTTTGGCTGCAGCCTATACAAAAAATTATCTCTCAATCATTAAAAAATCGAACCTCTTCAATTCTCAATTTTGTCATTCCACTGGCAACAGCTTTAGCCATACCACCAAGTTCATCAATTTCTTTGATAATCTGAAACATATCAAATAGATATTAAAGCACAAAAAGCAACCTTCAATGCAGCATCATACATTTCGTCTGTTAAAGATTCCATCATGTAAGATCCACCCCAAGGATCAGCAACCTATAAGATAGATATATTAAATAAAACTTTCATGTGCGTGTTTAAAGTACCTTACAAATTCCACTTTCTTCTTGAAGTATGATTTGAGTATTTCTCGCAATTCGTGCTGAAAATGGAGTCGGCAAACCCATAGCCTAGATAAGTATAGATTTGTGACTCGATAGATCACTGACCTCATCAAATGAGATTTTCCCTCATCGCCAGTGAAAAGTAGATGTCATTGTTGCGGACAAAGGAATGGAGCTTCATTTTTTCAAAAAGCTATGCGAGAAAATAATGTTTTTCTTGTTTCTTTGAAAACTTTCATGAGCATAATGCGAAATTAAACTATTTTTAATTGCGTTCTTCATTTTCTTGATTCTTCAATTCTTCAATTCTTCATTTGTGAATAAAACTTTGAATCGAAGTCAGAATCCCGAAAGACATTAATAAAACAACTAAAGATGTGAAATTTCTTTATGTAGTTGTGTTCTAGACAGGAACTCCAAAATTACGTTATCCAAAAGTTTTGCAAAAAACCAAAGGTGGGCGGAATTGAACCCTCGGGCAAAAGGTCCAGGAGTGGGCACTCCTATCTACGCTAGGCCTTCCGACAATGTTTGAGCGGAAGGTAAAGAGTCCTACACCCCTTTTGTGGCGGGCTGGGTGTAAAAATTGTATTAAATTTTAAAACGCTTGTTTCTATGGGATAAGAGGCCCGTTGTGTGAATTTTAAACTTGATTACTCAGAATACTCAGAACTCAAAACATGAATACTCAGAATTTCACGGTGCATCCGATGTCGTTTCGGTGTCGTTTCTCAACTCGATGTCTTAACTTTAACTAAAGAGGTTAAATTAATTTGTAACTCTTTTTGGAACTAATTATTTTACGATCCATACAACATCATCATTCGAACGTGTATGGAACGAACGTGTATGGAACGAACGTGTATGGAACGAACGTGTATGGAACGAACGTGTATGGAACGAACGTGTATGGAACGAACGTGTATGGAACGAACGTGTATGGAACGAACGTGTATGGAACGAACGTGTATGGAACGAACGTGTATGGAACGAACGTGTATGGAACGAACGTGTATGGAACTAGCAATGGCCTCAGTTTTCGGTGGAACACAGTCTTTGCATACAAACTCTTTCGACGAGGTCAATGATCAATCGAGTCACAAATCTCTATGCCTAACTAGTCATTGTTTTTTTGTAAATAAAATGAACCCGATAACTGTTTGACTAGAAAACTGATACATATTTATTATTATTTATATTGATTTATCTCCACTTGATCAGCCATCGCTGCGATTAATAAAAGTAATGTATTCTTGTATTGTTTTCGTTTATAACTTGTTATAAACCCTGAAAGACTTATTTTTTTATTATAGCATAAGCATATGTTTGCCTGGTTCCCCATTTCATTAAGGAAATACCCGAAACTGTTAAAAAGAATTGTAAAAAACTGTTATCTCTATTCGATTTTCCGACGCGCAACGAAAATAAATGTGCGATAAGACGACAAGAGGGCTGGTAAAGCAAAGAAAAGTAAAACCCGTGGCTCAATTATGGATTTTTTTCATCCACCCAACTCTGTGCATGACTATTTTCCTTTCATCAGGCTTTTCGCGATGTTGTGCGTTTTCGAGAAAGAGAAACTCTGTTTGATTGACCGTTTTTTCTTTGTCTCTCAATTTCCTCAATATTTTCTCTCTCTGCCCTATGGCTTTTTGATTGCATAAGAAAACTCACCTCATGAACATCAACTTGGCCCATTCCCACTTACAAAACTTGCTTTTTCATTTTCAATTTCACTTTCTCAACTTTGTCTATTCAAAGTCTAGAAATGGGAGATCAAGGGCATTTCCAAGGATCACCTTACAACACCGCGCATCAACCGCTGCAACAGCTGGTAAGTGACGAGTGTTTAAACATGTGTACAGAATACGTATTAATATGATAGCTGGTAAGTGACAAATCATACGTATTATTATACAAATTTCCAGCGAAATTTGGTCAAACTTGATTAAAAACAATAACCATTTAAAACTTCTCATAAAACGTTGTGTCAATTCTATGCAAAAAATCCGCTTTCAGCCGTCAAGTGGCTCGATCGGTTCACAGCACAGCTTTCACGGAGAAGAATCGCCTCAAGTTTAGTGAGTCTTCTTGAAAAAAACATTAAAAGTCTTGCATTCGCTAAGTTTGCCGTAATGTATTGAAAGAGTTTCTAGTCAAAACCTGCAACCGGTCACCCCCAATTATCAAGGGTATTTCCAAGGATCGCCTTTCAACACCCCGCATCAACCGCGGCAACGGCTGGTAAGTGACGAATGTTTAAACATGTGTACAGGATACGTATTAATATGATTTGGTCCAACTTATCATGAACAAAAAAACAATAACCTATTATGCAACGTTTGTGTCAAGTCTATGCAAAAATCCGCTTTCAGTCGTCAAGTAGCTCGATCGGTTCACAGCACAGTTTTCACGGAGAGGAATCGCCTCAATATTAGTGAGTCTTGTTTCAAACAACATTAGTTTTAAATTTGAAAAGTTTCCCGTAATCTATTGAAAGAATTCTAGTCAAAACCTGCAACCGGTCACCCCCAATTATCAAATGCCATTACAAAACGAGATGAACAATATGCAGCTCTCGCACGCGCACTCACAGTCAAGTCTCAGTTTGTTAATGAATCTGTAAAAAGACTATCGAAATCATGAAAGCCAATATTCTCTCTCACGCTAAATTCAGGTGGAAGTGACTCTTTCGATGTTTCTACAGCTTTCGACAAAATGCCCGAATTTGGATACACTCAACCACAGGTGGTAAAATGAAGACAGTAAGATAGAGGAAACAAAAATTTAGAATCCTCTCACTGGAGATCAAAACGTGATGTGGCATCAACAAAACCATCCAAACTTTCAACCGGTAATCCGTAGAAGGGTAAAAAGAAAAAAACAGTATCAATTCAGAACTACTACACCACAGACTACGGAGTCACTCAACCACAAACGCAACAAATGAACCCAAATTATCAAAATGAAGGTAAGCACCAAATTAGATCGTTTAAAATAGGTCCATTTTAGGCTACTATGAAGATGACCGATTTGAATCGACTCTCACTCATGCTAGCGCCAACAACCCACAAGGTATATAGGTAGCGATTCACATAGCAAAGACATTACTGCAGCTGTAACCACTCACCCACAACAGACTCCAATGATGGTCCATTCGAATCCTGCGAGTCAGGAGCCACAACCTGGATATTACTATCAAGCTCCTCACTCCAATATCAGGTTAAAAGCCATAGAGCATCCGTAACCCCGAATTTTCAGTGCTGACGATTACAGTAACCAAGGAGCCGGATACGAGAGTGACACGAGTCAACACAGTATTCGGCGTGAAAGTGAGTAATCTAACCATAAAATAGAAAATAAAACGTCTGCACGTCCGTCCGTCACGTTATGCCAATGGCAAGCTCCGAGAAGGGCCTTTGGAAATAGATGGACCCGCGAAACTGATTAATACAAAACCAACCAGAATAATTATCTAGGAACGAGTCGCTCTGCGAATCGGCCATACGATCGGCCGGCGTCACGCAGCACCAGCCGAAACAGCAATCACAGTCAAAGTAGCTTAAATCAGAGTCAAGTAAACACAAACGTTTCTGCAAGATACGCTAAAAAGTTTCAGCCTGCGGGTAGAGGTCGCCCTGCTATCTACAAAATCGATTTTAACGACCTCACCGAATCACAAAAGAAGACTAAAAAAAAGATCGTATGTTTTTACTAAAATATCAAGCGGAGTGTGTATATTTAGGAGGATAGCGAAGCTTACCGGAATAAAGCTACCGAAGAGGAGAAATACGCGTAAGCGTCCTAGTTAGTAAATGCTTTCAAAGCAGTTTCAGCTATCTCTTGGAGCGGCTACAAAACAATGAAGCTGTGCGAATCAGTCGCTTAAATAAGAATAAGATGTCCAGAGATGTTCTGTGAGTTCACGAATAAAAAGACAATCAACCAAAACCCGAAATTTCAGGGATTTTGGTGAAGAACTTTATCATGCTGCTCAGCACGTGCGGCTAAAAGTTCCTGGAGTTGAAAACGAAATTGAAAGTTTACTGGAAAGGATTACACGTTGGGAAACTGATAATAAGACCGATTTTGTTAAAAAGGTATGGCATGTTGAATATGTATTTCAAAATTATATATTCCAGGTCAAAGATCTTAAGCCGAAACCCAATGAAGACAACGATTCGTAGACTTTCCCTAACATTTTCTTTAACGTTTTTGATCTCTTTTAGTTTTATTTAGTGCAAGCGTGTTTATCATTTAAGTTGTTTTATTCCTCTAAAATTTTATTTTTCTTTTCATTTTCGCACAATCATAAAATATCACTAACTTTGAAAATGCGTAAAAACACCGGTAAAATTAGGACTCTTCAAAAAACAAAGACAAACCTACAAAGACTAACAATCACAAGAATGTCGAAAAATGAGCAAACCTTCTATCAAGTACGCGTATATTCAGAGCTTCGCCTCTAGTTTTTCGACAATCTAAAAAGGATCTACTTTTCACAAATTAAATAAAACTCACATTGTTTGCACAAAGTGGGAGACGAGTTCCGGGGCCAAAGATCAATGCTACACCAGCCTTGTAGAGAGCATCATAGTCTTGTGGTGGAATCACTCCCCCAGCAACGACTAATATATCACTAAATTAGACGATTATTCATATGCTCACAAAATAATTTCCAACCCTCTTCCACGTTTGTTCAATTCTTCGATTAATTGAGGGATGAGCGTCAAATGTCCTGCCGCTAAAGACGAAGCTCCGATAACATGTACATCGGCATCAATTGCCTAAAAAAGTACAAATGAAGCTGTTCGAGATTTCGAAAATAAAAACAATACAAATCTTGAATTAAAATTAATTTTACCTGTTGAGCTGCTTCGGCAGGAGTTTGGAAAAGTGGTCCAACGTCAACGTCAAATCCTAAACAAAACATTCGAAAACCTCAAATGCGCATGTATAAACATCTCTAACACAAACCAAGATCCGCAAAACCAGTAGCGATCACTTTGGCACCTCTGTCGTGACCATCCTGACCCATTTTAGCCACCATAATCCTGGGTTGTCTTCCTTCGCGTGCCGCATATTTTTGAACTCTGTTGAGAACCTAAATAGATGTCAACCAATGCTATCAGTTATTTTTAAATTACTTGTGAAATTTCGTCTGTTTCACCAAATTCGTTTCTATATGCTCCGGAAACCAGTCTATTAACAGCCGTATGTCTAAAAGGCCACTAGAAAAATATTAGAAATCAAAAATACCTGGTAAATGCCGTCTCCATAGCATCCGAGATTTCACCAACAGTACAACGATTTTTAGCAGCTTCGACGGCCGCTTCAAGCAAATTGCCTTTACCATGAGAAAACTGTTAAAATTTAAGTAAAAAGGCACAGATTATGTGCCAACCTCAGTAATTCTCTTTAGCGATGCCTCAGCAGCTGCCTTGTCACGAGTTTGACGAATCTTTTGAATCTTTGCGATTTGAGACTCTCGAACCTAAATATGTTAATCATTATGGTTAAACATTAAAGAGAAAAACAAACCTTCTTGTTGTCAATTTGCAGCACTTCAATTTGAGATTCCTAAAATAGTCATAAGATCCGGACAGTTCACAAAATGCTTACCTTATCCAGCCTGTATTTGTTGACACCGACAATGATATCTTTACCAGAATCAATTCGTGCTTGTTTTTTAGCTGCAGCCTATACAAAAAATTATTTCTAAATCATTAAAAAATCGAACCTCTTCAATTCTCAATTTTGTCATTCCACTGGCAACAGCTTTAGCCATACCACCAAGTTCATCAATTTCTTTGATAATCTGAAACATACAAATAGATATTAAAGCACAAAAAGCAACCTTCAATGCAGCATCATACATTTCGTCTGTTAAAGATTCCATCATGTAAGATCCACCCCAAGGGTCAGCAACCTATAAGATAGATATATTAAATAAAACTTTCATGTGCGTGTTTAAAGTACCTTACAAATTCCACTTTCTTCTTGAAGTATGATTTGAGTATTTCTCGCAATTCGTGCTGAAAATGGAGTCGGCAAACCCATAGCCTAGATAAGTATAGATTTGTGACTCGATAGATCACTGACCTCGTCGAAAGAGTTTGTATGCAAAGACTGTGTTCCACCGAAAACTGAGGCCATCGCTTCGATACACGTTCGAATGATGTTGTTGTATGGATCCTAAAATAATTAGTTTCAAAAAGAGTTGCAAATTAATTTAACCTGTTCAGTTAAAGACCATCCTGAAGTCTGTGAATGTGTTCGAAGCATCATTGATTTTGGATCTTTCGGCGAGAACCGCTCCTAAACAACGAGCTGTCTAACTATTTTAAAAAATTAACATACTTTCAGTAGATGAGCCCACAATCTCCTGGCAGCTCGCATTTTAGCAATTTCCTTAAATAAATTGTTTCAAAAACAAATATAATAAAAGTCAAACCATGTAAAAGTTCATTGAAATTCCCCAAAAGAATGAAAGACGCGGGGCAAATTTATCGATATCGAGGCCGGCTTTGATTCCCGTAGCGCAATACTGAACTTTATTTAGAATCGCAAGTGTTTGGCTAAGTGTACCTCCAACCCATCGGCAATAGTAAACGCCATTTCTAAAACTGCATCCGCACCAGCCTCCTAGATATTTCATACAAAATTTTCAAAAAACAAACAACCTGCATATGGTAACCAGAAATCGAGATCGAGTTAAATTTGGGCATGTAGCTGCTCGTGTATGCAAAGATATCGCCGATAAGTCTCATCGAAGGAGCTGGCGGATAAATGTAGGTGTTACGCACCTAAGTGAAGATTGCCGAGGTATAACATAAAAAGTTACCATGAATTCTTTGAGAATGTCATTTTGAATAGTCCCAGATAACAATTTCTTGTCAACTCCCTAAAATAAGTTGTTTTGGAATGATTCTTTCAGAAATACCTGCTCTTCTCCAGCAACAATAAACATAGCTAAAACTGGAATTACTGCGCCATTCATAGTCATTGAAACACTCATCTATAAATACTCGTTTAATTTTAGCATGAACATTATACTACCTTATCAAGTGGAATACCATCAAATAATTGTTTCATGTCCTCGACGGTATCTACAGCCACACCAGCCATTCCAACATCACCAAAAACTCGTGGGTTATCCGAATCGTAACTAAATAAACGTTTTCGAAAGAAGAAAATTGCATGCAATTACCCTCGATGTGTTGCAAGATCAAAGGCCACTGAAAGTCCCTGTTGTCCAGCTTTGATGTTGTCCCGATAAAACTTATTTGACTCTAGAAAATTGAACCTTAAATTTAGAGATGTAAATGGTAAAAAAACCTTCTACTGTCGAAAACCCTGCGTACTGCCGAATGGTCCACGGTCGTTGAGTATACATCGTCGGATAAGGGCCTCTGGTAAACGGATATTTTCCAGGAAGCTAAAATGCAACATTATAAGGATCTATTGAAGTCCATGCAAACCTCTGGCTCTTTTGCATCTCTGCCGGGTCGATCCGAAGACAAATAAAGCGGCTTGATCGGGATACCCTCGGGCGTTTGCGAAATCAATGAATTTGCATCTTTTCCCTAAAATATAAAAGAAAGATAGCTAGTCAACTAGTAACTTACTTTCATCGCTTTCGACGCCATAGCTGCCCATTTTGGATCGAGGGGTTTTCGTGTGTATCCAGAAGAAAAACGTTCGGTCTAAAAATCAAAAATTCTTTAAACAATAAACTTCATAAGATACCTGTGCTATCACTCTTCGTATTGGATTCGTAGAACGGAGCATATTGGCTGCCCTGAAAATGAAACAAATATAGAAAAGAAAAAAATCGTGTAAAAAACACGAATGATTGGGCGATTTGATCGATTTGAACTTGAAAATAAGTTTACATTTGTTTCAAGTTGAAAAATCGAAAACTTAGCTAAAAGTTTCTTATTTAGCTCTACTAATGTTCTAGTTTTGTCAAAAACAACCGCACAATGCATTTATTTATCAAAGTCAACCCTAAAACGACACACGAAAAAGGAGTGCACAGGAAAAATCGCTCTCTTTAAGCAACAAAAGAACTTTTTATGAAAGTCTAAAATATGAACGAAGGTACTACGGTATTCAAATTCAATAGTTTTTTCTTAAATTAAAATTCTTGTCTCAATTTCGATTTTCCCGTGATGTCCATCACGACTTGCGACTTGTCTCCATCACGACATCACGACTACGACTTGCGCAAAGAATGGCGATTTTATTCAGCACCAATGGTTCGATATTCTAAGTTAGTCAGTGTTTCAATTTTATTAGTTTTTACTTTTTTACTACTGAGATTTCAATTTCTAGGGTTTTATACACGTAAAGTAAAGTTTTTCAAATTTGTTTTTAGGAGAGCTGCTTAAAACAGCGCCGGCCAAAATGCGTTTGCGGTCAAGTTTATTTATGTTTCTTATTTTCATTAGATGTAGAACAAAATTAACTATCTGCTGAATTTTTTGGAGTCGTTAAGAACAAATCTGGGATGAGATAATGCCAAAAAACGAAAAAGGGCTCAAAAAGAGGTTAACTAAGCTTTTCTCGACACCAATTCTCTTTTAAGTGATCCCAAAGTATGCAAAATGTAGATAATTTCATTCTGCATCCAATATGAATAAGAAACACATAGAAACTTAACCGCGGAGGGGCTATTTTTGCTATGGCGCTGTTTGTACACGGCTCTGTTTTGATCAGCTTCCGTTTTTAGACTTCCCTTTCGAAAACTCCTCCGTTTGTACGATGTCGACTGTTGTTTCACTCCGATGATTTATGCGGAAAACTTCTTGGAAAGTGAACTCTGCAGAAGTAGTGAATTTACGACAGCTGATGGTAATTTTCCTTGCTCTAACGCAGTAAATTTAGATTTTCAGATGATAGGCCACTAATCGTTCAATTTGCCGCAAGGGATCCAGTGATATTTGCTTCAGCTGCTGAACTTGTTTACAAGTATTGTTTTTGAAAATTAAATTCGCCATTGTAACTTTAGGTATTCCTCTGGCGTTGATTTGAATTGCGGGTGCCCAAAAAGTGATGTTCGTTCTCGTGGTATTTTTTTTCGTTAGTTATTTTTATTATTGTTTTTCCTAGGATTTGGTAGCAGTTTATTGAGTGAGCCGGAACTTCTTGCTGATATTGTCCGTCATACTCGGGCCAAAATCTCTGATTCAAATTTTTCGGTTAGTGGATTACCATTTTTACCAGTTTAGCTTTGTGTTTCCTTAAGTACAAACATTTTTAGATATCGCTGAAAGTGCGCATTCAATACCCACTCGAAAAGACGATTGATTTATGTAAGAAAGCCGAAGCCGCTGGCGTTAGTCATTTAACGGTAAGCTTGTTGATCTTCTCAGTTGTTGTCGACGTTGAGTTGAAATCAAATGTTTAGGTACATGGACGCACTCCATCACAGCGCTTAGAACCGCCCGACTACGATGCGATTGCTTTAATTAAATCATGTATTAACGTCCCGATTGTTGCGAATGGCGATATCACCAGTCGAAATCAGGCGTTAGAGATATTGGAAAGGACAAAGTGTGACGGTCAGTGTTTTAACTTTAGTTTTTATCAATGTTTCTACATTTCTATCTAGAATGACATTAATTTTAGGTGTCATGTCGGCAAATGGGCTCTTGGAAAATCCTGCTTTGTTCGCAGGGCATGAATCAACCCCGAAGGATTGTATAGAGAACTTTGTTTGTTAGATTTATAAATCTTTCTTATTAAACTTTTAGTTATCTATTACTGCCATTCATGGGATGACCTACATGTTGTTTCATCAACATTTAATCATGATGCTCAGGTTTGATTCAATCATTTTTTTGATAGTTTGTTTTACCCAATTAAGTTACTTTTAGAAATGTCCTAACTCCTCCTCAGCGCAAAATTTTCAACGAACTTTCAAGTCGGCCGGCTATACTAGATTTTTGTGAGGAAGTTTTAGATTTATCGATCAATTAAGGTTTTTGTTTTTTAAAAGCACCAGTCTTGTTACATTTGATACGGGTTTTAGGTTTTCGAATTGTTGTTACAATGTTGTTTTTGTTATTGGTTTAGAATTAAAAAGTTACGTTTTTTATCACAATACGAAATGACGCCAGTTATTCTCAAAAAATGACAAATGAGTAGTAATGGTGATGGTGAATCATCTGGGAATTCGGGCTCAAAGAGGGGGCACGAAGGCACTGATCGTTTTGGTTTATGCCTGAAAAGAATAGAGTCTTATCGAATTTGGAAACGAGCACACAATTGATTCTCGAAAAGTATTTTGGAAAGAGCAACGAGGGCAAAGTTTTTCTGTAGCGGAGGTGAGGGTGGGACGGAGACAATGTGGTAGGCCCAGTCTCAAAAGTTCAATGCAGATTTTTCACAAGATTTTCTTTTCTTTGTTTTGTGTGGTTCGCAAGTAACAGTTTTTTATAATTTACATACGTCACTCAATTTACGTTTACAGCAATCTCAAACACAATTCACAGGTAGCATATTGTAGTTTCATGGGTCTTGGTGAGTCGAGAAATAGGTAAACGAAAACTGAAACAAATAATCTTGCTCGAGATTAACCCGGAAGTAAATTTTAGGTCTTGATTCTATACATCTTGTGAACATCACCATTTCCAAATTAAAATGTCGAGTAGGCGGTCACGTGGTTGCCCCGAGAATCGGCTAGACTATTCTAGCTGTGTTGTTTACCCAAGTACCCATTTCCGATCAAGACTCGATTTCGAAACACACACACACACCAAACCTCTTCTCCATTTCCCTTCCACCCCTTTCCAATCCCTCAATTTCTCTCCGATTGCTCTGCTTTTTTTTTCTCTTTCCCTTCTCACTTATTTCTTTCTCTCTTTTTCGATGCATCTCCCCCAAATAGCAGCGGACAACCCTTATCTATTCACCGGAAAGCCTATAAGAACCCCAACATTCCCCGATTCGAGTTTAATAGATCAAACTCGAGTTTTGCCTCCTAAAAGCCTTTCATCTAATCTATCTCGTCATTCAATGCTTTTAAACCATCGCAACAATAATCTTTATTTTAAGATTCTGTTTCAAACATTTAAAATAAAATTTTTTTTTCCTCAATATCATCTTCACATTCAGCCCCGTGTTTAGATGGAAATATAAGATCTGAGACGCGAAATTCCACTGTAATCAAAAGAGTCCAGCTGACTGCTCGGGCACAGTCCGTTCTTTCTTTTCCTCATTTTCTTTCTCTTCCCGTGTGCTCTTGGGGGTTTCTGTGTGGAGGCTGAATCATTTCCGGTGCCCCGGCAAGGCAAAAGATATCGTCTTAGCCCCTTCAAAGGCTCTTTATTGACCCGATCGTGCCTTTCTCTCCCCTTTTTTTTCTGCTCAAAAACCTTTTCCAGTACACTCCTCTAATAGCTTTATTGGTTTTTTCAAATATAAAATTTTTATGATCTCAAAGAAAGAGTTCCGGAAAAAAATCTCTATCCGAACTTTGAACCCAACGAGTGAATCGATATGATCATTGTTATTGAATGAATGGAGGAAATCGGCTCTCTCACCTCTTTTTTTCATTGAGTGCTTTGATGTTTCCCTTCCGGTCCCGGATGAAAAAGGTTTTTCCCAATCTCCCATCACTGCCTCTCTTTCCGTTCTTTGTAAACCCTATCCATTCATCCATTAGAATATTTTTCTTCCGTCTCATTCGTTTTTTTTGTCTCTATTTGTACGAGACTTTCAAATCGTAGTTGATTTTCAGCTCTTCGAAAATCGGAGTCTCACGTGTGCGACAAGGCGCAGCATTGTGCCCCCTTGATGAACTCCCTTCCAGTATCATGGTCGGTTTACATGCACAACTTTTAGACGATCAAATATTTGTTTCAAAGAATTTATGAATACGCTTATTCATAAATTTTCAGCGCTCGGCCGCCGACATTACAGCCGAGAGTGCGAGCGGCGAACAGTCAACGAGCCTCTTTTCCACCAGCTCGACCGCATCGAAAACATTCCGTCGAATTTGTCGACATCCAGGAAGTGCTACAAATCTCCAGAGATCTGAAGGCCAAGAAAAACCAGGTTTGTAACGAGAAAAAGTACATAAGCCTAGAAGAAGGAAGATACGTACAGTCACAATAAGTTTGATCATCATTTTCTACTTTTTATGGAAATATTGACGGCTATTTTGAGTGCTAGACATTTTGAATTTGTTCTGAATCAAAAAAATTTCAGACGGGAGTTTTTCCGAGTCCAGTCTTCAACGATTACACCCCAGCACCGAGTATTCAAATCCACGGACCACGACGTCACTCCGAAGTGACCGTTTTGCCGACGAAACTTCACACACCATCGCGTTTCGAGCGCTTCACAATGAGTGGATACAGGTAGATCTTTATATAAAATTACCGTAAATACTGTAATAGTGCCCCACCCCCATAATGATGGTGCGGAGCGTTACGTAGTCTAGCGTTGAACGAGTTTTTCTCGACACTGGTTTATGCTACAATGCGCGCTTAGGTATCAAAAAATAGCTGAAATTCAGGGCTATTTTTTGATATTAATGAGGCATTTTTTGAAAGTACGGGTACTTTGAAAAAAAATGAAATACTAAAAAACTTTTGCGACTACGCGACTCTACGAGGGGGTGGGGTACTATTACAGTATTTACGGTATTGTCTTTATTACAAATCTTTATATAAATCTACAAATAACAGGATAAAAAGTAACTCATAGTCAGTCAGTCAGTCAATTTTAAATTCTTATTAAGCCTTCAGTCTTCAGTAAGCCTTAAGACAAGCGTCTTACAGTATCATGCTAGTCATGCTAGTCAGTCAGTTAACTACATAGCTTTTAAAATGTTCTTGAGACTGAAGACTGCAAAGAAGATCCGAAGCTACTATAGAATTTGTAAATTACTGTAAAACCTAAGTAATTAGTAGAGCTAAGTAATTAGTAAAGCTTTACAGTACCTTTTAAATTCTTTGCAAGTACAGAAAGCTATTAAATATAAAAGAAATATTTAAAAAATAGTTTTCAGAGTTGTGCGTCGCTTGAAATCGAGTCTCCTTTCATGCGTTTGCTCGATGGAAGCTGATCAAAAATGTACGATCGGATACGCCGATCTGAACTAAACGATCTCATCAAAAGTTCGTTCTATTCGTTTCTTTACCTAGTCAATATTATTTTTTGTTGTTTTTTTTTGTTTTTTTCTTTCTTCTTTCTCAACGAATACCGGTAGACCCTATTGCTTGACCCTTTCTTTTTTTTACCTTTTCTTTATCGTATAGTACAAAATCCCCTCCCCCCCCCCCCAATCGCTTCTTTTTAGCATTCCGTTTGACAAATCTCTGTGATATTCTGTGAAAAAACCATGGCTTTACTCTTAATCCGTGACATATTTACCGATTCTTAGCATAATAATGCAAAATGAGCTTTTATCTGATTTAACCACTCTCACATAATGAAGGAAATGAAGGAAATGAAATTTATTCTCAAAAAACAATACAATTTTTAAACACAACAAATAACAAGCTGTAAACAAGCTGTAAACAAACTGTAAACAAACTGTAAACAAGCAAACTTTATCTAAGATTTATGCGCGGTAAAAAAAGATCAAAAGAGGTTTTTTTATTTGTTACGTCGAACTCTAATGTAAAGAGCAATGAAAGCAAAAAGACGAATTGTGAAAACAAGAGCGACGAGGAAGAGGATATTTCTCCAGAGATTTGAAGGAGCGAATGAAAGCGAATCAAGCACAGCCGTTCCGTTTGGATAGCGACAACTTGTCGATTCGCAACCTGGTTATTCACAATTTGCTTATTCAAAGTAAGTTAATCTATTCTAACCTGGAATCGAATCGATTCGAGACCATTGATTGACGGAAAGAGCTTCAAATCCGTAGTTGAACCAGGATAGGTATTTGAGTGGATAGAAGTAAACGGGTAGTGTTGCCTGAAAGAGAGATTTAGATAAAGATAAAGATAAAGATATTCTCATTAAAAGATATTTAAGATATGACATTACTTGATTAATATAGAAGCCAGCAAATGTCATCATTGGTACAACAAAGAGCGGCATTAAAGCCATCGCCACTGGTAGTTTAGGAACCGCACAGGAGAAGAAATAGCCTATAAATTGTTGTAAATAAAACTATGTTTTAAATAAACATATGTTCTAAATAAAACTATTATAATCTTTCAACGAACCGACGGAAATGGCTGATTGTTGAACGAGTGCCGCGACAAGGCAATAGATAAAAAATGCGTCAACTTGAATAACCAAAGAAGACATCCAATAAAGAATTGAACAGAAAAGCATTGATAAAAAAACAAAAGTCGGAATCTAAAGTGATTGTTCTGTAATTTTCTTTTACCAACAATTCACCTCTATTATGTTCTTTGCCAAGAAATAGGGACTAGTACGATAAAGTGCATTCCTTTGCTCCCTCATGAAGACCGGGATCTCGGATTGGAAATGCTGAAATGTGGCAAGTGTTTTGCACTTTAAAAGCTTTCATTTTCTTACGTGCACAGCGCTGAATTGAAACATAAAGCTCATATTGGTGACACATTGAAAGAGCGCTCCATTGATGGTGACAACAGTGGATTGAAGTAGCGGTGTACCGGCGAAAACCAAGCCCGTTAGAATCGCAATCACCTGGAGGTTTGTTGAAATTTAAATACCCCTAAAAAGCACTTACAATTGAGTGCATTATTTGCACTTTGAGTAGAGTTGGTTCTCGAAGACTGGTCGCCATTTGCCGCCAACACAACATCGACAACTGTTGCCAGTAGCTAGGATTTGTTTTTTGGCTATATGAAAGCTGGAATTTGAAGTCAGCTTCTATATTTTATCGCAATTCTTTTTACCTGCTTTGATATTTACCACCGGATCGTTTCTCTCTTCGTTTTCGATTCGCTTTTTCCAATGGTGAATCCTAAAATCGGTGCTAAAGTAAATGTTTGTGAAATTGGATGTTTAGTTTGAATTTTAGTTTAAATTTTAGTTTAAATTTTAGTTAAAAATTTGAATAACCACTAACTTTATCATCTTCGCCACCCCTTGCCGCTAATAAAACTTGTTTTCCAATCGTGCTTGCCGCAAACTTGTCACACATTTGCTAAAGGAGTTCGAAAGGTTAAACTACTCTTCTTCTTACCACAACATTGCTTCTTTGAGTGGCTTCGGATCGACCGGGCATCACGGAAAGAGTTCGAATGATGTGATCCGATGGATTATAGTTTAAAGGCACTGGTTGACCAAAACTGAAACGCAAAGGTTATTTGAAATTGAACTCAAAATTACTGAATCCAAGACTCAATCGCTTCTGCTTGCGTCCCGCAAAACGCCACACGACCCTCAGCCAAAACATATATTCTGAAATTATCTTCATTTTATCGTTCAAACTTTTTCTAACCTATTGATGAGTTCAAATGCTTGACTGCTCGGCTGATGAATAGTGATGATGATTGTCATTCCCTTTGTCTCAGCCAACTCTTTCAGGACCCAAAAAATTAAGTTTGTATTTGAAACATTGAAATGTTTACTTTAATGACTTGAAGTGCAAGGAAAGCGTCGAGTCCCGAAGTTGGCTCGTCACAGAACAAAATCGGTGGACTTGTTAAGATCTGAAAATTTAGATTTAAAATATTTTTCTAGTAAAAACCTCTTGTGCGAAGGCGAGTCTCTTCTTTTCACCACCAGAAATTCCTTTTCGCGTTCTTGTTCCAATGATTGAATCGGCGACAGTTTGAAGACCCAACTAAAGCTTGCAACTGATATCTGTCTGTCTGTCTGTATGTCTGTATGTCTGTCTGTCTGTCTGTCTCTCTGTCTGTCTCTCTGTCTGTCTATTGTAGTTGTGCCATTTAAAATTTTAAAAAATTCAGCGCCAGTACGGGAGGGTCGAACCCGGACCGCGTGCGTTGTAAACAAGCCTACTCCCGACAATGACCCGCCTCCATTCAACTTATAAAGTCCAACCCCCACCTCTCGTATAACAGTTTTCACTCGACGCTTTTGATCGGCTTTATTGTGTTTCTTTCCCATTCGAAGACGAGCCTAAAAGGATTTTCACTGTGCTTTCCGCCTAAAGCCAAACCACAAATGTAAGATGTTCTGAAACAGTCAATGAGCCGATGAAAAGATCCTGCTGTTGCACATAGGCACTGATTTTGCGCATATACTCATGATCAACTTGCAAGTTATTGACCTGTAAAAGAAAACTATTTCTCTGTATTGCTAAAATCAACCTTTATTTGGCCTTGCAAGCGTAATTGTCGAATATCTGTTTGAGAAAGTGCGTTGAGTAGGGTTGTTTTCCCAGCTCCTGAGCTTCCAATGATCGCCAGCACTTCTCCAGGGCGAGCCACTCCGAATACTAAAATTTGGTGTCTTCAAAACTTTCTTCAGTTTACCGTTATCTAAAAGCTTTTGTTTAGCACCATTCTCGGCTTTTGAAGAAGAACTTGGACCATCATTTATCTAAAAAAAAACGATACTTTATCGAATCTATTGACTATTCTATTAGATTGAGGAAAAAGTAATGTCGGTTTTGAATTCCCGTTGTTGAAAAATTTCCATTTCTTTGCTTATGCGATTTTTTTCAAATTGATATCACCTAGACACTTCTATGCTTTCATATTATATTTGATTTTTACAAATTTAACAATATTTTCAGGTACAAAATGCAAGAAGAAAAGTTTCGACTTCGAGGTCGATTTCCCTTCTTTAAAAACATAGCACAAAGCGTGCTATGTTTTTAAATAAGGAAAAACGACGAGCTTGGTTGGAAACAACTTTTTGGAAACAACCAAGCTCTTCTGCCCCATGCACCTTATAGTTCGGACCTGACCCCATCAGATTATTTTTTGTTTCGGTCGTTGAAGAGTTTTCTTATGGGAGAAAAGTTCGAGAGTCATGCAAAAATGAAAAAAAGCAGTCGACACTTATTTTGGTTGGTTGACCAAAACTGAACGCAAAGGTTTTTTGAAATTGAACTCAAAATTACTGAATCCAAGACTCGAAAGCTCCCCATTTTTTTTGAGGATGGGATCAGGGATTTGCGACAAAGATGGGAAATCAATGAGATATTCTCAATAATAATTGAGAATATCTTATTGATTGATGGGCTTTTGTTTATGTTTTTAGCAATAAACAGTTTTGTGGCAAAAACCGACATTACTTTTTCCTCAACCTAATATTAGCAAAATTGATAAATTATGTTTTAAAACGCACGGTTGCTGTCACATCATGCCATTCAACTTCCATTGCCGGCACAACGGTCACATTTGACACCTGAAAAATCATTTTTCAATGAATTATTGTTGAATTCGATTGATAACTCACTGAACGATGTGGTAAATCGAAGAATGGGACTGTTTCTCGAGTGACACGATCAAGCAGTGAAACGTCTTCAAGATTTGCTGGATGATCAGCTGGGAAAGGATTGATTCGCTGTTCGGGAGAGCTTCCCAAACATCCAGATGAACCGGGGCTCGACATTCCTATCAGTTATTGCTTTTCAAAAACAACAAAGGGCAAAATAACAAAACTAATGGCTAAGAAAAGAAAAAGGATTTCTAATTGTTTTTGGCTTGAATAAAAGTCGAAGAAAAAGAGTTTTGAGTGCTAGAATTGGTGGTATTGGTGTGAGTGATATACGAGGCATCGGTCTTTGTTTCACTTTCACATGATAAGAATTGTGCAAACAGCCGGATGGGGCGTTTTGCCCTGCGGTGTCTCTTTTTTATCACCATCAACCACCTACAAAGGTCAAAAACAATAACGATTGATTATAATCAAATTAAAGTCATAGGGAAATAAGCTTTTTTTTTTCGTAATTTCACTAATCTCTTGAAGTCTGAAGCCTTTCTGGTGCAGGGTTTTTCACTTGGTGAGTTTTTTTTGGTGATAAGAAGTTTGTTGTCTGCCTAGGGAAATTTGGCTTGTTTCCTCCAGTCTTTGTGTACAATTCTCTTGAAAAAAAAAGCCACATATATCTTAAAAAAAACTAAGATAAGGTGCGTTGCAAAATGATAGGACCACCCCTAAATTTTACATTTTTTTGCTATGAAATTTAATAACGCGAAATAGCTTTTAAATCCTAGAAATATATACAAAAATAGGCATCTATACCATTTTTAACATTATCGGAACAAATTGCAACAAAATGATAACATTTTCTTTATTTAACACCTGTTGCGAAATGATAGGACCACATGCTCCCAGATGCTCCCTTTTTCTCGATGACGTCAAGTATCCGGTTTCAATACGGTTTCAATACGGTTCCAATACGGTTTCAATACGGTTCCAATACGGTTTCAATACGGTTTCAATACGGTTCCTTTTAAGGTCCTAATACGGTTCCAATACGGTTCCAATACGGTTCCTTTCATCGAGTTCACTAAGTTTTGAAGCGCTACTATTATCGCTCATCGAGCCTAAAAAAATAAAATTATCAACGAAAACGAATAAGAAATGCTAGAAAAGCGGTAAAAACGAGGAGAATTGAATAAAAATGTTGTAGTTGCAAGCTAAAAAGCAAAAAGCTAAATATCTTGAGATTTTTCATAGGCATTAGGATATTTAATTAAGGGGCGCCACTAAGGTGCGTTGCAAAATGATAGGACCACCGCTAAAATTTACATTTTTTCGCTATGAAATTTAATAACGCGAAATAGCTTTTAAATCCTAGAAATATATGCAAAAATAGGCATCTATACCATTTTTAACATTATCGGAACAAATTGCAACAAAATTATAACATTTTCTTTATTTAACATCTGTTGCGAAATGATAGGATCACATAAAAAAATAACAATAAATTTGAGAATAAACAAAAGAAAAACGAATGAAAAGTTTATTAATAATCAATAGATGCTCGCTTTTTCTCGATGACGTCGAGAAGTCGACTTTTCATCGAGTTCACTAAGTTTTGAAGCGTTTGTGGTGGAATTGACGTTCAAGCTTGCAAAATTGCTTTTTTTGAGTTGCGAAGCAATCATTGTTGCTTTATCAGCTCGTTAGCTAAATAACTTGTGCTTAAAGTCTATATACACAACTGTTTTTCACTTTTTGGGGTAGGCTAATTTCGGCAATTTTTTTTTTGCGCAACTGGGTCGTTTACGCAACTCGCCATAACTTTCTTCTAAGTCGACCAATCTTTATGATTTTGGTGTCATTTTGTTGCACTTATTGGGATCTACAAAATGACACCAAAATCATAAAGATTGACCGACTTAGAAGAAAGTAATGGTGAGTTGCGTAAACGACCTGTTATGCAAAAAAGTTGCGGAAACTAGCCTACCCCAAAAAGTGAAAAACAGTTGTGTATATAGACTTTAAGCACAAGTTATTTAGCTAACGAGCTGATAAAGCAACAATGATTTGTGGTGCACAATAGAATGCACAAATTTCCTAAATAATTTTTAAACTTTTTAGTGGCTATTCGTCACACCAATTTTTTGAATTTTTAACTGGAATCTGTCGATAGTTTTGTTTGATTTTTAATTCTTTCCATCAAAAAATAGAAGCGCATGCGCTTCTGCGCTTCAATTAGAGTTTTCACGGTATTTAACTTACTTTAAGTATCATCGAGTTACTGTTATTTTGCCGATCTTTAAGTATCATCGAAGCTAAAGTTACACACAGCTTTTCAATAAGTGCTGATGATTAGATGAGTGTTTTTTTTGGCCTGTCACCGAGCCTTATCCATCGACATTGTCTCACTTTTGCCTGGATGAAATGGATGGGTCAATCGTGCTCCAGCCTTTCCCCCCTTCTCCCCAAATCCAGTTCTCATCACCTCGATCCGGACAAACGCCTCACCCGACTCCCTTCCCCCACACACATTTCCCCATATCTCTAATTTTTGCTTTGCTTCAAAAACATTCATCAACCAAACCAAAATGCGACTATTTCTCGTTTTTACTCTAGCACTTCTTGAACTAACAGGTAAAGGCTTTAAAAAAGCAGTGGGTTGATTATTGATATCGATAATTGTCAAACTGCAATTGAAAATAGCTTAACTGAAGCTTAGACAAATTTCTCAAAATAAGAAACAATACTCTTTTTAACCAATCTCTGAATTCAGATGGCCAACTCTCGGCAATGTTCGGGAATCCGATTCAAGCGCCGAATTGTGAAACCTGGAGCGCATGGGGACCGTGCGTTTGGCTTAAAGGCAAAGAAGCAAAGTGGGGTCGATGATCTGGAAAATTTTGATTTCAATAAGTTTAGCTCTCGCTGGAATCGGCCCTACTTTGATCAGCTGCTCCCAGGGCGACAAGGTTGCAGAAATCATGTTTTTTTCAGATTGTTGAAAGATCGTTGGGGGGTGGTGAGTGGGGAAAACTTCATAAAAGACTCATAAATTGTATAGGCTTTTGAAAACTTTTATAATTACCTGCGAGAGATGACGATGTCTGAAGAGCAATGTGGACAGTGCTCGTATCAACAAAGTTGTGGTCGTTCTTGTCATAGAAGGTCAATTTTGATGGATCAAGATCTGCTAGATCTTAGCGTACTTAATCGATTTTCAGAGGTGATGTTGGAATGATCAATCCATTGTTTGTTGCCGAGAGGCGATGTATGGATGCGGATCAGCGATCAGCTTGTATGAGCAGGTGAAGTTCTCTATTAGAATTAGCGTCATTCCTGTTCTTAAATACATTTATTCACAAAATTTGATCAATACATCATTCATTATCATCAATACATCAATACATTTATTCACACGTATAATGTGGTACAAAAAGTACACAAGTACACAAGTAAAGTTCCTAAACGTAGGAAACAAAGAAATATGAGAAAGGAAGACGAATAATCCAGTGTTGGACTTGAACCCTTGACCTCCCGACTATGATACGAGGCTCTTAGCCAGCTCTTAGCCAGCTCTTAGCCAGCTCTTAGCCTTGACCTCTAGGAGTTCTGATCAAAAGCAATATCATTCAACTTCCAAGTACAATCTTCTACTCGAAAGTTTCAGATACATGCCCGATTGCCGTTTGTGGCCAAACAAGAACATCCAGTTGCCGAATGTCACCTCCTCGATGCAAGAGATCATCGATCATCTCGATTACCTGACCTGTGTACCTGAGCAACGGTTTAGAAAAGAATTCATGCAAAAATGATCTCTGTTTCAGACCCGATGGCCCTGTATGCCGTTGCTGTTGCCATCCCTACACTCCCGATCCGGTGACTTTCGAGTGTGAGCTGAAACCCTTCATCGATCAAACTGTTTTTGGCTAAAGTGTTGATCTCTGTGCGATAAATGATAGTTTTTTTTGTAAATTGACCTCAAGCAGCTTACAGAATGCGTCCAAATTACCCGAAGTCGCTTCCAAAAGTTCAGCTCAGCTTAAAATCAAATTGAATCTCTATGATTTTTTTTCATAGGTAAATTTTGACTAGGTCTCCTGTAAGAATGCCCAATATGAAATCGATTGTAGCATACACAATTTCTATCTAGGCTTTCAAAGTTGAGAGTCGAGCTTTCATGGCCACGCAATGATTTGGGATGGCCCGTTACACCCATGAAACATCCTGATTTCAAATTTTTCTTTCAAGAAAAGTGTTAATGAAAAACTTGTGATGCAATTTTCAAATTTGAAGAATCATGATTCTGATGTTTACCCTTAACACATTGACGATATAACTGAGATAAAGTAAAGCACTTTACTAATTACCGTAAAAACTCTCATAGAAACTCTAACAGCGCACTCTCCAATAGAAGCGTCATCTGGGCGGACATCGAAAAATAGAAGCGCACTCTCTATTAGAAGCTCACTCCCCAATACGACCAAGCTATTTTTCACACAAAAGCCCGTAAATTTGATTTGGTAAAAATTGATTATTTGTATCGTTATTATTAAATTAAATAATTAAATATATCTGTCAGAAATATATTTGTACTTTGATCTTTATAATTTCTTCCGGAAATTGTTTGCACACGGGGAACAGTCTGGATCCTAGAAAAGATTGGTATAAACATTTGCATGATTCTTTTGTGATTGATATAGAGATTGGCTATACTAGGTGACGTAAAAGTCCAGTTTGTTGTTCTGTGGTCGTCAGCTTTTAAGACAAGAAAAGAACTACAGTCGACTCTCTCTATAACGGAATGGAAGGGATTTGTAAGAAATATATTTATACTTTGATATTTATAATTTCTTGTGAGACCGTGTCTTGGTGTGGTTTAATGGTAGATTTCTTGAAAACGCACAATTTATCAAAACTTTCCCTTATCAGGGCAAACTTCGCTCAAACTGGAGCAACCTGGCACTATGACAAGTACTTCAACACTTGCGTGTGAAAAAAAGGATGAATAGAAAAAGGAGCACACAACTGACTCAAGACAAAGCTTAAATAATGGGTTTTTAAGTAAACAAGCTACGACAAACGGACAACTGAATATCATCTAGTGGCTGATTACGGTAGTTTATCCAGCAACTTTGAATTTTAACTTGTGTATTGAATTTTGACTAACTGCAAAGCAGTGGCAATTCGCCACACTCCGCCCGACCAGGAATCTGGGCGCATGCCCGGATTGCCCCGGCCGAAGAAACCTTTGTTACTTGCCCATAATGGGCGTTGAACTTTATTGATGAGTGGTCGCTCTTCCTTTTTGGCCTCGATTGTTGAACTTTGGGAAAAACTTAGGGAAGCTGAAAACTTGGTGATAAATGCGAGCAGTGGCAATTCGCCACAATATCTATATAATTTTTGTTGCATTTTGAAAACCCATAAGCTAAGTGTAGATATAAACTTTAGAGACCAGATCGATGGAGTATAAATTCATATAGATTTTAAATCCCTTGAAAAACTTTCTTAGACGATCGGTGGTCTAACGATCTCAGATGGTAGACTGTTTTAAATCACCGGTGATCGAAGGGTCGTCAATTTGTTAAATCTCAAAGCTTAAAGCTGCTTTAAATCAGGAATTGAAAAAAGTAATTGCCATTCTTTTTAAGCACTTTTCGGCCCGTCGAGAAGCCCCATGCCCGTCTCCATCCACCCCGTTTGGCCCTTCTCCTCTTCACTGACAAAACTTTTAGGAATTAAACGTAATCTAATTAGTAATTCAAAATTAGTAAAATTCTCATCTTATTTAGTCAAAAATTTTCTAAAAACTTTTCTAAAAGAGATATGATTTTTTGCAATATTTATATTATAAAAAATCATATCAGAAAAATTTTCTAAAATCATTTAAACCGACATTAGTAAACCAGGAAAAATGATATTTTTTTGGATGAAATTCTGAGATGAAACAAGGGAATCCTATGGGGGAGAACCTCGGAGGCACATTTGTGAATGTTGCTGAGAGTGTGGTGTATCCATTTCCGGAATGGCGAGGGGAGGAGTGGTTGGGCGAGACGCCACTCCCCGAGCACCCCATTTCGTCCATTTCGTCCATTTCGGCCCGTCGAGAAGCCCCATGCCCGTCTCCATCCACCCCGTTTGGCCCTTCTCCTCTTCACTCACAAAACCAAAACCAAAAACCCTCATTTCCCCTTTCTCGTTTGCATCCCAATTTGCATTTTCTCCATTTGAGATCCTAAAAAAATCCCTCTTTGCTAGATTTACCTGAGCACTTTCAAGTTTTAACTTTTTCTAAAAACTTTTTCTATCCACTTTTCTTTAAAATCTATAAATTCTGGACTTTTTAACACTAGAAAATTCATGTATTGCTTTTTCTGGCGTTTTTAGAGATTTATTACTATTGCAAGCTCATTTTTTGTTCGGTTAAATTACCTCTCGTAAAAGCCGACTTTCAAAAGAAACGCGAAAAGCAGTTGGGGGAAAAAAAATGATTTCGCATCCTGAATTCATAGCAAAACTCCGAGCGAAATGGGAACGCCTTTTTTGGGGTTATACAAGTGAAAAGCGTCTGTTCTTGACAATCTTCATCGCAAAATTACCTTTCATTGCATTGTATAGCTTTTTTGCTTTAGATTTTTATTAGTTGTATAGATGAGAGTCTCAGGGAAGAGCTCAGGTTTGCTCTTCCCCTTTTTTTTTCGCTTTCCACTAGTCAAATCATATTAGATTGTGAAATGTTGTCGACTTTAGAAATTTGAAAAAAAAAAAAAAAAAAAGCCTTCAAATACTTTATGATTTGACTTATTAAAAAGTCTTCTTTATAAAAATTCTTTATAAAGTCTTCTTTATAAAAATTCTATAGGCTTTTCTATAGGCTTTTCGGTTTTAGAATAGAATTTAGAATCAAATTTGCTCTTTCTTTATGTTAAAAATGACAAATTGAAAAAAAAAAGTGCTTAAATCTCTATTTCCGCACCACGTCATTTTAAATCCTGTTCTTTAAATAGTTCAATTTGAAAACGAAAAACCTTTTTCAAAAACAGAAAAGCTATTTTATAAAGAAATTTTTGCTTTAAAGAAAACCATTAGCTATTTAAAGGGTTGTTGTTTTTAATTTTATTTTTTTTAAACAAATTTCTAAAGTTGACGTGATTTCAATTACATAACCTAAGAAAAAAAAAAAATTTTCTTTCATATAAACTAGTTTACAAATGGGGTTTATTGGAAATCGGGTTTGATTGGAGTCGATGGGATTTTCGAGATGAAAGAAGTCTTTTTCTTCTAGAGCAGGCCGTCATAGAAGTAGTAGAATGGAAGGGAGAGGGCGGCACCGTCTTCCCGAAAAAAAAAACTTTCACCCACCAGCCTTCACTTCTCCTTGAATCTACCTCCTTGAACATTTCTCAAGAATTAGAACTTTCTGGAACAATCCTCTGATTCGTCAATTGTTTTTTTAATAATGATTTTTGCATAGTGCTGTTAGATCTAGACATGTTAAGACCTAAAGCATTCAACAAGATCAATCACGAAGAAATCGAATTCAAACCCAATCCTCCATACAATCTTTGTTTCAATTTACTTTCTTGTTCAAATCAAAAGTTTTAGTAACAAGAATGGCTTCTAGCAGTGAGAATGGGATCCCAGCTGCACCACCTACGCCTCAAGTAACGTTTTTTTTTTCTGTTTATACAAAACCACATCTTTAAACTGAAAACTGTTTAAACTTAGATTGCAAATTTGCATAATCGAAATGAGAAGAAGAAGAAGAAAACCGTTCGTTTGGAGATTCGGCTTTCCTTTTTTCTTGGTTTTGTTTCACTTGCCGTCCCCAGGGAATGGGAAACTCTAAAGAAAAGCCGAATCTTCTCCCTCTTTTTTTTTTCTGGCCTTCAGTTTCACCCTTCCTTTTTCAACTCTGACAAATTGCAGCTTGTGAATTTTGGAATTTTGTCATTTTCTAAACACATCACGAGTTCAAATGCGGAAATTTTGAACAAATAGATAAAATGGTTTTGAAGTTGAGAAAGTATTGATTAGTTGTAAGTTATTGATTTAGAGTACATTATCGGCTACAAGTAAACCAGCTAATAAAGCGATTTTTGCAAAATACAGCACTTTAGAATTCATCTAATTCTAAGTGAGTGAGGTGATTGTGTTAATGCTTTAGTTCTAGAAACAAGGGGAACGTAATTTTGCCATTTCGCAAAATGAGCATTTTAACGTGATTTTCCAAAGCGGAGTGGATGGGTATAGGTTTGAAGGGAAGGGAAGGGAAGGGGAGAGAAGGGAAGGGATGGGAAGGGAAGGGAAGGGAAGGGGAGGGAAGGGAAGGGAAGGGAAGGGAAGGGAAGGGAAGGGAAGGGAAGAGATGGGAAGGGATGGGAAGGGAAGGGGGGGAGAGAGAGAGTGAGTGAATCATTGAATCATTTCCTCCTCATCTTTTCTTCTCAGCACTTTCTAGAGTTTTCGAAGAAGAGAATTCGAAGGGGAAGAGCCACACAAAATGAGATTCGAAATGGCGCCCTTAGGGGCTCCTTTTCTTTTACCCAAAATGGATTCAGCCCCGGTGAGACCTCTTGTCGCAAATCATGTAGGTCTCTTCAGAGTTTTTCAGTCTCCAAAGCTTGCTAAATAGCTGAAAACCTGAATCTCCAAAGCTCGCTAAATAGCTGAGAGTGTCCTCTTTTCTATTCTTAAAAATCTTCACTTTTTTTTCAAAAAATTGGTCCCATCTGGCCTCGTAATCAGATTTTTGAACATTAACTAATTCACTTTTCTGAAAAAAGTATATAACTGGTGGGGTTTTTATTTTGAGGACAACCGTTTCTTTTTTGTTTCCCCAAATGCGACCCTATCTTCTTGTGAGTTGTTTCTCATTTATTATATCGCAAAATTTTATGTCCATCAACTTTCATTTATAAGCAAAATTCGATAAAACTCTAGGGGAAAAGTCTTTGGCGAAGAAGTCTTTGAGAAAACCCGAAATTAGGACCCCATCTTTCTTGCTTCTTTACGACCAATTTCATCCTTCAATTCCATAGAGTTCGACACAAGAAACTTTCTTATTCATCTTTTTGAACTCTTTAAAAAAAGAAGGGAAAGAAATATAAACTATTAAGCATAAAGTGTTAAACATAAACTATTAAGCATAAACTATTAACCATAAACTATTAACCATAAACTATTAACCATAAACTATTAAACATAAACTATTAAGCATAAACTATTAAGCATAAACTATTAACCATAAACTATTAACCATAAACTATTAAGCATTAACTATTAACCATTAACCATAAACCATAAACCATTAGAATGTGGATAAAGTTATTCATTGTTCATTGAGCCATGAACCGACCGGAAAAGGGGGAAAGGAATAAGAATGTAAAGAAAAAGAAAAATTGTTTTTCTTTTAGAAATCATTGAACACACAGGAACGCCTCTTCGGCGACAACATGCCAACAACACCTAAAAAGGTTTTTAAAAAGGTTTTCAAAAAGGATTTTGCATAAGAAAGCCTATAAGATATTAGATTTTATTCGTTCTAGATAAAAATAAACTTTCGAATCAATTACTCAATTGATTCTACGTCTTGAGCCATGTTAGAAAAGAATAGTCAGCTTATTTTTCATGAAAAAGTGAAGCTAATAAACAAGAGATCAGCAGATTCAGCTTACGATTCAGATTCAGTAAATGAAATAAGCCATAGACCATTACGCTTTTACGCTGATTTCGAATATCTGATTCGTTTTTGTAATTCTGAAATGTGCTCAATTTGGCAAAGCAATTTGACAAGTTTTTTTGACAAGACAAGCTCTCTTTATAAGGCTTACGGCTTATAAAGAGGCCATAAGGCTTACGTGAAAATGGCTGAATGGTGTAGTGAATAGTAGGTTAGGATTTGGAGTAGCTAGGTTCGAATCAGCTGACTTTTTACGCTCAAAAAGCTACAAAACAAAACCTGCAGATTCGAATCTTATAAAGAATTACCTTGTTTCCCAAATTTCTAAATTCAGAATCATTTTACGAAAAAAAAAACGAATCAAAATCAGAATCGAATATTCGGAATTAGCGTCAAATTCTGCCGGAAGGGTTTATTTCATTTGGTGAGCTGGGGTTTATTGATCGTTCCTTGTAAGTTGGTCTTACAAGTCTTGTAAGTTGGTCTTACAAGTCTTGTAAGTTGGTCTTACAAGGTCTCTAGAATGACAATTCTCTAGAAAACTGGTATACGTAAAGATGTTCTTGAAATGAGAGAAACAATCATTTTCTCAGATAACTCCAACATTCAAGTCGTCAATTTTCGAGACAGAGGCCCCGCCGTCACCGCAGCGAACTCCCAAGAAAGTCATTCGCACAATCGGTATTATTTACGTAAAAATTCTGACAAGAATTCTGATAGGAATTCTGTTAATTTAAAATCCAAAGTGAATGAAAAGAATTCCCTAACATATTCTCATTATTTTTCAAATCAATTTTAGAGCGAAATCCAATCACCGGTGAGGTGAAAAAACAGCAGAAAGTCGCCGCCTAAACAGCTCCATTCAATCATCGCCAATAATGGCCAAGAATAAAAAACAGCTCCATTCAATCATCGCCAACCATTTCATTTTCACTCAAATATTGTGCTAACTTTTCTTGTTTTCTTATGTGCTTTTTGAATTCTCTTTTTTTCTTAATTTTTGAATTCTCTTTTTTTTTCTGACTTTCCGAATAAAATTTGGGATTTCGAAGTTTTAAGCATAAAAAGCATAAAAAAAGAAAAACTTTCCACGACATTGAGATTTTCACCTTTACTTAATCACTTTGAAAATAACAACCCTCTAATTCTAAATAAAAATCAAATTCAAATCAATCAAACACAATTCTAAATCAAAACTTTCAATAATTGTCTTTTTCTGATCTTTTTTGAATGTTTTAAACTTTCGAGTTTGCATTTTCGACACGCTTTTTTTGAGCTTAAAAGGCTCCAAGCTTAAAAGCTTAAAAACCAAAAAAATCCGAATAGGAAAAATCCGAATAAGAGGAGTAGCAGGAATCCAACCAAATTTCGGTCAAAGAAATGCTCCTGGGCGGTTGAGCATAGTGGCACCCAAACCCACGAAGCCGGCTCAGTCGCTCGCCGTTTAGAGGGCTCAGAAAATTCTTATCCTTAGGAGAGGAGAAACCTAAGATGTCACTTAAAAGCCTAAAGTATCTTCGTTAAAATTAATAATTAACTACTTCGAATAATGAAAAAGAGCCAAAAATTCATTAGCACAACGCATTTCAGGATGCCCGATGAGATTATCACAGGAAAAAAAGCAAAAAAAAAAGTAAATGACACTGGATTCGATAGGGAATTGTGAATAGATCGGATAGGGTCAAAGTCTTTAGTTTTTTAAGTAGGACTAGTCTAAGAATTGGCAAAAAAAATCTGTAAAAATGTGTACAAATCTAGAGACTGATGAGTTTTTCTTCAAGCGGTTGCCCCTGGAGTTCGTAGATGCAAATGTACGCATCGCCCATCAGACGAGTAGCGAAACGATCGTTTTCGACATTCTGAAAAGCTTTGAATAGAAACTTCTCTCTTTTTTTTAAAGAATTCACTATATTATTGAGCCTAACCTTAAACAAACCTTGACTCCTGCTTTAAGATGCTCCTCCATCGCTTCTGTTCTCTTCCAACCATCCATGCTCAACCACGCTTTGAGTGTCGGACATTCGACAGCCTAAAGCTTTCAAATCAATAAACCAGCAAAAAGCAAAAGAATTGAGTAGCAAGAGTAGTCGAACCCGCGACCTCTCTCTTTCATTCGTTTGAGAGACGCGCGCGTTAACCATTCGGCCATGCTCTAGCGCAGTGCGAGCGCACTTGTCTCTAGCCCACAGAATCCAGGTTCGACTCCCGCTCGCGTCGGCACTTTTGATTTTTTAAAGATTTAAAAACACGTTGCATAACTACATGGAATTCTAAGTTAAACTAAGCATAAGTCATTTGAAACGGATCGCTGGGTGCGGAGGAATCCGAAAGGAAAGAAAACACAGACAAACAGACAGAAACAGCTCTTTTATATATAGTAGAACTAGTTCTTTGATTGAAACTAAATTATTTTAAATCACTATTGAATCATTTCACACTTACCGTTGGAATATTGTACCCATCCGGTCCTCCATGGCGATCAGCCATCGAATCGAAGAAAAGGAATCGATTGTCAGAGCTGAATTTGTATAAGAAACGTTATGTTGTTTTAAATTCAATAGTGAATTATGATTATTTTTCAAATTACCGAACAAATGACACATAATGAGAGCTCTCGATAGAGATCACAGAGCGGAGTCGTAAAATGAAACGCTGTGGATATGGTGTGCTGCTCACTGGCGGGTAGTAGTAACGAGGCTGATGATTCGCCACACTTTCATCCATGTGAGCCTAACTCAAGATTCACGATTTTCTTAAGAAATGTAAACCTCTTGGAAACAGCTCAAGCACTTTGACACATCGCTGAGAAGAACGCGATTCGTGAGGAAACAAGTTGGACCTAAGTTTTCAAATTTGAATACCGTAAATACTTTAAAAAACACTTACAGAACACTTCAGCCAGTCTCCCGCAGTCACCACATGGGACCAAAGCTAAAAGAAAAAGTCTTGTTCTTGTATCTGTTATATGTTTATGAACACTAAGCCTAAGCCTAAGCCTGAGCCTGAGCCTGAGCCTAAGCCTAAGCCTAAGCCTAAGCCTAAGCCTAAGCCTAAACCTAAGCCTAAGCCTAAACCTAAGCTAAAAGAAAAAGTCTTGTTCTTGTATCTGTTATATGTAATTTGTTTTACCGTTCCTAACTAGTGGAGTGATATCGATTTTCTCAAGTGGAACAATACGATCATAAAGCTTCTGTTTGCCGTGTCTCGGCAGCTGAAGGCAAAGCACTCTCGGCGCGTAGCGGAAACGCACATTTGCCTCTTTCATCGTTCTAAAACGAATCGCTTTATTTAAAAACTATTTACTTAAAAAGCTAGTTTGTAAACCTAACAAGCACAAATAGTTTATAAACTTTAGCTTTGATTTTCTCTCACTTTTCGAGTAAATGCTGCGTGGTCGTCACCCCACCAATAGCCGCATTGTCGAGCAAAATTTGAAAAACCCAGCGCTTATCCTGCACGTTTTCTTGAGATCTAGAAATTTCTCTGCTATCTATTGCAATGAAAAACTTTATCAAAATTCAACTTTATAGATTTCTAAGCTAAAGCTCTAAGCTAAAGCTCTAAGCTAAAGCTCTAAGCTAAAGCTCTAAGCTAAAGCTCTAAGCTAAAGCTCTAAGCTAAAGCTCTAAGCTTTTAAAATAATCATCCTTACACAAGCTCAATAAACGGCTCAACGCGAAACACTTTCTCGAAAAGCCCGTTGAGAATTTCTTCAGGGTCTTGTTCCTAAAAAAACGTTACAAAAAGAAAATCTTTTTTTTAAACTAAAAACCTCAGAAGTTAATCCCTGAGTGGTTAAAACTTTGGCCAACATTCCACGAAATTTCATAATATGATCAGCGCGAACAAAATGACGCCTGAAAAATCATTATCTTGAAGAAAATCCCCTGCGCTCACTTCCTCAGTGGATACACAATTTCATAAGCCAGCGTTTTCCTCAGTGCATTGTACTCGGCTATGTCATTAGGCATCATCTCTCGTGTTAGCATTCTGGAAATCACAAATTCCTACACGTAAAAAACCTTTCAACTTTACGTGTCAAAAGCCCGACATTGAGCGAACATCGCGTAGAGAGTTGAGTCCAAATAGCAACTGTTCTTGCTGCCCTGAGAAATTTTTTGTATAGTTGTAGCAGTAAGAAAGTGAAAATTTAATACAAATTTCTACAATATTATATATTTTTCTTTTACCTGTATCCCTTTCATTGTGCCAATGAGATTCTCGGTTCGAAGCGTCGGCACTTGTGGCTCCACTTCGACGCCGCTGTCCACACATTCAGAGCCTGAAATTTGGCTTATGATTTGGCTTATGATCTGTAAAAATTTGTAGGATTTTCAAAATTTACATTTAAAGAACTTTTTTTATACCAAAACATATTTTTAAAAAACGAGAAAACCCGGGGATTTTGATACGCAAAACATTTGACTTTAAAGTAAACCGTAATCGTTTTTTTTTCATGAAAATAATGAAAAAAACAGATCAAATGGTACTTTGGATGAAGGTGGCATTTGTAAAATACTAATTGGTTGGAAAAAAAATATCTACAAGAAAAATCGCTGACTAGCAAAAACATCGTTGAATGATTGTGCCTTGATAATGGGATTGTGAAGATTACAGGGTGTTCAAAACGTTTTCAAACTGGAATTCCTCAAAATTTCTAGTGGCTAGAGATTTGGTGTCATATTGAATTATTTGTCATCTAAAAATTTTCATATTTTTTCACGAAAACTACTCGATAGGAAGATATCATGAAGATTATGAGTGCCACCATGGTCACCACCATGAGATCATCAATAAAGTTAAATGTTTATCATAAAGAGACTTTCTACTAACATCACGATGCACCGCGGTGTCATATTAGAGCTAATATGTAAACTAAGTTTATTAACCAAACAGTTTCTTGATTAGAAGTTCTTTGAAAAAAACTAGACCTCTCTTTGAAGACGGTGAGTTGAAAGGATCTTATGGATGAGAGACTAGTGCAAGTTCCAGACTAATAATCTGTTTCGTTAATAATCTTAGTTTACATATTAGCTCTAATATGATACCGCGATGTTAGTAGAAAGTTTCTTTATGTTAAAAATTTAACTTTATTGATGATCTCATGGTGGTGACCATGGTGGCACCCATAATCTTCATGATATCTTCTATCGAGTGATGATATTTTCGTGAAAAAATATGAAAAATTTTAGATGGCAAATGATTCAATATGACACCACACCTCTAGCCACTAGAAATTTTGAGGAATTCCAGTTTGAAAACGTTTTGAACACTCTGTAATCCCATTTTGAACACCCTGTAATCTTCACAATCCCATTATCAAGGCACAATCATCCAACGATGTTTTTGCTAGTCAGCGATTTTTCTTGTAGATATTTTTTTCCAACCAATTAGTATTTTACAAATGCCACCTTCATCCAAAGTACCATTTGATCTGTTTTTTTCAGAAGAATCTTCATGATTTCTTCTATCGAGTGATGGTATTTTCGTGAAAAAAATATGAAAAATTTTAGATGACAATCAAATCAATGAAAATTCAATCTGAAACCACAATTAGATGACAATCAAATCAATCAACATTCAATCTCCAACCACACCGACTACCTTTAGCTACTAGAGATTTTTGCAAAATTTCGGTTTGAAAACGTTTTTTTCATTGGACACCCTGTTGATTTGAAAGATATTTCTAGTTAGACGAAAATCAAAGTTACTATGCTTGTTATAAATAATAACATCATAAACTTACTATATGAGGGCACAGAGATGAGATTCGATGAAGAGGCAGCTCGGGGTAGCTGGGGTAAAGTGTTCGAATCGAAGCGACGATCTCGACGAAGCGCCGATTGGGGCACCAAAACCGTGCGCAGTGTTTCGCCAATCACTTCGCCCACATTGCACTCAGCAGCCAATCGCCAATCAGTCGGCGGATCAGTCTCCTGAAGGGAAATTTCTACGAGTCAAGACCACCAAAACAAGTTCGATCTTCAATTCTTTCGGGAAATTGGTGCCAAAAAAATTGTACTTAAAGGATTTGTACAAAACAATAAACTTGCTCACCAGTTCCACTTGCGCGCTTTTCTCGAGTCGAGTCGAATCGAGCGAGATGCAATCCCCCGCCCATCGAATCACTCCCCATCGGGTGCTCCCATTCATCACAACTTCAACACAGGCACCTGAAATTCCATTAGAAATTAAAATATAATAGTTTTTTCACCCGTACACAAGTACACAAGCGTACACACGCGTACAAAAAGTACACAAGCGTACAAAAAGTACACAAGCGTACAAAAAGTATACAAGCGTACACAAGCGTACACAAACATACATAAGGCGTACACAAGCGTACAAAAGGTACACAAGCATAAGCTAAATGTAGTAAAGAAAAAGCCCCATACAGTGATCAAAAAAATTAGCAATTTGAGTATCCAAAAATATTGGATTCAGCTCATTTTTGTTTCATTAGATAAAAGAAAGTTAGAAACTTATCATTGTGTCAGCTCTGAGTCAAACTGATATCCTAACGAGTATTTATGATTTATTATGCACCACGATGCCAGTACAAAGTTTTAATTTTATGGCAAAAGTCTCATGGTGGTGGTGACCATGGTGGCTCAGAAATTTCTTGTATGTATACAAAGGTCAGAAATGTATGTATACAAAGGTCATGGTTATGGTAAAAATCGTGAAAAAAAAACATCGAAATTTCCCGACTCTAAAAAAAATCATTTTCACACCATACCTGCTAGCTTGAGCCACCAGAATTATTTCAAATAATTTAACCCCGAAGTGAATGTTTTTGGGACACCTTGTATGAAAAGCAGAACCAATTGAATCAATTGGAAAGCGGGATTGAAACCTTGACTTCCCGACTAAGGCCCTATACAATATAAGACTCTTAGCCAGTCGGCTATGGCGGGCAGCCAATCGGTTAAAGATAGAGCAAGTTTACCTGGCGCATATGAGTCAATGAGAAAATCCTCGGGCCTCATTTGTGGTCTTGGGGCAACTCTCGGCATCGGTTTCTTTGATCCTAAGAGTTGATTACTAGATTTTCAGGCAAAGTTAACTTACTATGTGAAAATGGTTCAAGAGACGGGGAATTCCGAGAGTTCGCTGCTTTCTTGTAGTCTTCGTGGTAGTTTCTTTGATGACTCTAGATCACCCTGTTCACTTAATTCTTATTCTTTTTCCTCACCGTCGACGGTTCAACCGGAATCGCAATGTCCAAGAGATTTTTCACATCATTGTATCCTTTCTTCGGCTTCTCTTCAATCTTTATCAAAACGGATAAGAGCAGAAATCCAGCATAGCTGAAATGAACTACAGTACAATGAAATATGATATTTGAAAAACGATCGTCACTTTCGCGCGTCTGTAACTCCATTGTCTTTGAGCTTAAACTATTAGTGTTATACATTTTCTGAAAGCTCTTTTCAAGGGCTACACAATGGTAATATTAATATTTAGAAATACGGTAAAGACAATGGAGTTACAGACGCGCGAAAGTGACGATCTTTTTTCAAGTATGATATTTCATTGTTCAGTAGTGTAGATATTCATCAAGAAATCGGTCTTTTTTCTTACCCAGGTTCTGTCTTGAAAATACTTTCTCCTTTGAAAGTCCCTGTTCCTTGTCCAATTGGTTGATCCTAAAAGTTACTTAATTAATAAAATAATTGAAAAATGATGGAAAATTTGATGAAAGGAATCTAGATTTAAACACAATTAGCATTTCGATATGAAAAAGCACATGAAAAAGCTTAGAGCTTTAGCTTAGAGCTTTAGCTTAGAGCTTTAGCTTAGAGCTTTAGCTTAAATTCATCAAGATTTAGAAAAATGATGGAAAATTTGATGAAAGGAATCTAGATTTAAACACAATTAGCATTTCGATATGAACGATTCACATGAAAAACGAACAAATTCAACTCCAGCATAGAGACTCGAGTACCCTCGAAGGTGTCCGATCCACCGGAGAGTCGCCTTTTGCTCGTCGTTTCGATCCTTTTTCCACAAAACCCGATCACCCACTTTGAATTCACTTTCCTCTTGCGATAAGCTAAATATATCTGCACATTTTTTTCAGAAAATTTTCTAACCTTTTACTGTGCACCACGTGTTGAGCCATACCCGAGTGCGCTGATTTACTTCTGCCCACCGACGTCATGTCCCCAGAGCTTGAGGCGCTGGATCTAAGTTTTTCCTGTAATATTTGTGCTTTAGATTTTAGATTACTGATGTTCCGATTTCTGGTCATTGCTTGGTATTTCTTTTGAGCCTCGACTTTTCCTCGGCGGGGCAACTGGTGTCGGGCCCGAAGTGAACGGATCGCCATTCCATTTTCTCAAATCATCATGGAATCTAAAGCCAAAAAAAATGAATGTTAGCACAAACTTTTGAACTGTCAACTCACGAATTTGGATACGATCGTTTCTCGGGCTCGAATCCAGTCTCCAGGATTTTGATCGGCACATTTCTCACCACCGGGGCTCCGTTCGAGGTTTGAGCTCTGTAAATGATATTTATGGGATTTAAATTTACTTGAACATTTACCTAGACTCTTCAATTTTCATTGCCACTTTTCTTGGATAAATTCTAGCTGCAGTAGTCTCAATCTTTTTCGGAATCCCATCAATCTAAATACCCGATTTAAAGCTTTAAACTTTATTGATAATCTTTAAACTTTATTGATAATCTTTAAACTTTATTGATAATCTTTAAACTTTATTGATAATCTTTAAACTTTATTGATAATCTTTAAACTTTATTGATAATCTTTAAACTTTATTGATAATCTTTAAACTTTATTGATCAACACCGAATTTCTTCTCAAACTTACGTATATTGAGTTAATGTTCATCATTAAAAAATCATAAATAAATAAAATAAATGAATAAATAAATAAATAATAGACTTAAAAAGCTTTAAAGCTTTAAACTTTATTGATAATCGGTAAACTTTGCGAAACAAATGGCAATGATAAACCAGTTTTTGAAAAGAGAAAGTGATGAGAGCAAAACTGGGTGGAGCCGAGGTGAGTAAAAAAAAGGGGAAAAGGGGAAAGAAAATGGGAAAAAGAAAGGAAAACCCTTTTATAAACCGTTTTTCTATTATTATTACTACAAATATTATAATTTTTTAAAGTAAAAACTCACCTCAAGATTAAAAAACAAGATGTCTCCTTTGAGAATCTGGCTAGCGATTTGAGCATTCACTAATTCACCCTCCTAAAGAACTTTTTAAAAAAAGATTTTTATCCTTTTATCCTTTTTTTTACCTTATTCAAGTATAAAACCGCTTGTCCGTCTATAAGATTCTCCAAAAATGAGAGCCGTTTTTGGTTTGAGGCGATGAGATGTCGCTCTTCGTTTGACAATGGAATCAACATTCGACCGGCTTGTCTAACAATGCGATTATTTATTCATTGAGGGTAAACGCTACGCTAACGCAAAAACCCTTTAACAAACCTGGATATAGCAAGTGTATCTTTCGCTGCGACAACCACATAAGTGTCCATCATCTCAGAAACTCTTCCATAAACAGGATCCTCAACTCTTTCCCCTTTCCCAATCTCCTCCAAAGAAGCGACGATCAACTTGTTGTCGAGTGCGGTGACTGGTTGAATTATTGAACCAGCTACTACCTAAATACCGTCAATAAAACGCCATCTCCACGTACAATCGCGTAGTCTAATTTCTTTTTAGAAAATCTTTAGAAAATCACTTTTTTCTCAGCTTCTGGACTTATCCCAACTATATTTTTAGTAGCAAAAAATAATCGATTTCAAGGGCTATCATTTGAGACCTAAGTGCACACTGTAGGGCGGAGAATGGGACGTTTAAAGTTAGACTACACGATCATTCTTTTCTCGGCCTCTAGATTTTTCCCAGCTACACTTTTGGTATCAGAAAAATACTAGATTTCAAGATTTCAAGATTTTCTCTTTTGACACTCAAGCGCACACTGTAGCTTAAAGCAACGTGGATGTTTAAAGTTAGACTATGCGATTGTACGGTCATTATGCAGGACGTTTAGAGTATTTACAGTATGTATTTTTTTCTTCAAACCTCTACTGATATCCGTGTCGGTTTCGAGGAAATCCGAAAAGTGAATCGATGAGCAGAAACATCAACCATTGTGATTCTCATCGAAACATTGTCTACTTGACGATTGATCCTAAAACTTTATCGTACTTTTTAAATAAAACTCTTTCAGCGTACTCTTTCTTCGACGTCGAAGCACCGTTCACATTGATTAACGTTTCCTTTTCCCGTGGCTTCTTCGGTTTGTTTTGTTGCATCTGAAATGGCTTTTGTTAATTCGTTTGAGTCAATTCTATTCCAGAACAACTCGATTTTTATTTTATCCATTTTATCCATTTTCTTTTCCTACCTGAATCAAATCAAGTTCCTCGTTGATTCTCTCCCATAAATCCTCATCATTTTTCTCTAAACAGCTCCCGTTTAATGTACCCGCTGGATAAACGCCCCAACCATTTGACATCGTTTGAAGGCTGAAAAATTTTGGGAAAATTTCATATCATAAACATGAATATGAACATCATAGACATGAAGTAAAATGAAAAAAAGCTTTAATACGCAGAGATAGTAACACCTTAAGAAACATAGAAGTTACCATTGTAAACAAAGATTGTAAGATTATAGAATAAATGAAATCCAATCAATTGCCTACAAGAGAGAAGAGATCTAGGCTATCTACTGATTTTTTTAAGGGACTCAAGGCTGTTGCATTCTCCTAAATTACTAAGTTTCTAGGTAGTAAGTTCCACAATCTCGTAGCCCTGATTGGGAAAGGCAAAATTATTGGAGGCAATCGGAATTTTCAAGCTAAATGAACCTCTCCTTGAATCGATCACTAGGTTGAGCTTAAAAAAATCCAACAAAGACGACTAGAATGTTTGCATTTAACGATTTTGAAGCATTCAACTAAATCGGTGACCAGGCGACGGTGCCTAAGGGTTTTAAGCTCGAAAAGATTGAGTCTATCAATGTAACGCATGTTCGCAAATTTAGGAAAGTCAATTTTCCAAAGGACGACTTTAGTGAATCTTTGTCGGATTTTTTTCTAAAAGCAAAATATTCACTTGAGTATGTGGGGACCAGACTATAGATGCATATTCTAGGATAAGGCTTACAAAAGAGATAAAGCATCTAAGGTAAGATTCAATTCTAGGAAAGCAAATGGCCTTAAGGAAACGGCTTGGAACAAAAGATCCCTTGCCGCAGACAATTTCAATGTGTTTAGTGAAATTAAATGGCGGAGAAATATGAACTCCAAGATCTTTAAAAAAAATCATCTTTGCTAACCCTGCTAATTAGAATAGAATTAAGAATTTAAAGGGAAAATTGGTGGAAAAATGGTGAGATTTGGACGGTGCTAAAGTTTCCATTTGTTTCCATCATCTTCCATCATCCTAGGTTGAAACGGAGAGAAGACCCATTCCATATGATTGAACCACCATTGCGTCCAGGCCATACGAAGCCAAAATCGTATCCAGAATGTGACGTTCCGCTACTCTTCTAGTATACGGTGACATGGTGAGATGAACATCAGCTTCAGGCAATTCCTCAATCACCAGGTGGTAATCGTTTCCGAGCTTCTTCACGAGATCCACATCCTCGAAGAGCGGGGGCAGCTTTATCGTTTAAATCATTGGCGGAAGTTGGTGGTATGGATGGCGTACAAGCTTCCTCCTCAGCATTCTAAACAAGTACCTTTGCGCAAAAAGGTCAAATATGATGATGGAAGTCAGATGGAAGTCGAACTTGCGGGGCAACTCTAACTTGGGTAATTAAACCATATCATAAAATAAGTCATAAAATAAAGATAAGTTAAGATAATTTATAAGTATAAAGATAAATTTTAAGATAAGTTATATATGTTTAAAAGAAATTCAACAAATATTAAATCAAAAAAAAATGCATTGATTCGGCTAAAGGGAAAAAAATCGCATCAAAATTTTTTTTTTGTGTGCTGGGGTGATTAAGTTATCAGCGCCTCTTCTCTCAACGAAACATTTGACTCAAGGCGAGTGAAAAAATGCGGTGATTTGTGCACTCGAAATAGTGCACAAAATGGCTCGAGAGCTCGACAAACTACAGAAAATTCGCGAGTGGGGTGAAAGCGCGGTGGATAGACCTCATTAGTGTTTTGATGGTGAAACCGATTGCCGAACAAAAACAAGAAAAATTTATGAGTAAAAGGTTGTTTTTTTTGTTTTTTTTGATTAGATTTCTAGTATCTTTTTAGATTTTAGATTTTTTAGATTTTTCTAGTACCTATACATCACTTTCTAGTACCTACACATCACTTTCTAGTACCTACACATCACTTTCTAGTACCTACACATCACTTTCTAGTACCTATACATCACTTTCTAGTACCTACACATCACTTTCTAGTACCTACACATCACTTTCAGTACCTACACACCACTCTAGTACCTACACATCACTTTCTGACCTACACATCACTTCTAGTACCTACACATCACTTCTAGTACCTACACTCACTTTCTGCCCCCTAGTACCTACACACACTGTACCTACACATCACTTCTAGTCCTAACACTTCTAGTACCTACACACCTTTCTAGTACCTACACACACTTGTTCCTATACCCTGTACCTACACACTTCTAGTACCTACACATCACTTTCCAATCTTTTATTCAAGCAATAGCTTGAATTTTTAGATACTTCAGAATCAAAAACGTTTGAAAAATAAAGTACCGTATTTCTTCGAATAGAAGACCGGATAAAGAGTATCATCGCGTACTCCTGCTTAGCAGCCCTTTTTAAAATTTCTTTTCTGCATAAAAGCTTTCAATCAAGTGCTATAGAGCTGGAAAATGGCTCAAAAATACCACATGAGCTAACATATTTTTGAGCCATTTTCCAGCTCTATAGCACTTGATTGAAAGCTTTTATGCAGAGAAGAAATTTTAAAAAGGGCTGCTACGCAGGAGTACGCGATCATACTCTTTACCCGGTCTTCTATTCGAAGAAATACGGTAATCTAAATCCGCCTGTGATGAAATTTAGAAAGCTTTCAGTGATTCAACTTTCCCATATCGGTTTTAGCTATCTTTTAAAGCTTTATTTGTGTTACATTTGTGTTTATATATTTCAAAAGATTCATAGTCTCTCTTTATTCGTCAAGAAAAAGAAATAAGGCACCATGGCAGGCCGTAGGAAAAAGTAAGAGTCGAAGAAAATGGGAAAAAAAATTGAAGCGTTTTTGTTTTAAGTCGAAAGAAACACCCGTATTTTACGAAGAGAAAGAGCAAATGAGGATAGAGAAAGAATAGGGGTAAATGAAAAGAGAAAACTGAAAAAAAGCACAAAAGATAATGGGGGTAATGATCACTCAAAGATGCCGAGTTGTCGTTGATAGAGAATGACGAATGAGGCGGACGCTGTACCCAACACGAAAACCACTAACAAGAAACGATCGAGCACCATCGAAACCTGAAATTTTGATTTTAGATGCTGTCCTCATGGTTTTTCAAGTTTTTTTTGTTGGAGAGTCTTGTATTATTTAACAGCAAGGGTGCACAGGGATACTATAGGACTCTCTAGAGTAGTGTAGGACTCTCTAGAGTAGTGTAGGACTCTCTAGAGTACTGTAGGACTCTCTAGAGTACTGTAGGACTCTCTAGAGTACTGTAGGACTCTCTAGAGTAGTGTAGGACTCTCTAGAGTAGTGTAGGACTCTCTAGAGTAGTGTAGGACTCTCTAGAGTACTGTGAGACTCTCTAGAGTACTGTGGGACTCTCTAGAGTACTGTGGGACTCTATGAAGTACTGTGGGACTCTATGAAGTACTGTGGGACTCTATGAAGTACTGTAAGACCGCTTAAAAGCAATAAAGCTTTGAATCTTAATGTATCACACATAGCCAAAGCTTTAGAATTGGTTGTAAACTCTAATTTGTTTAGTTTTTGTTTACCTGTTGCCACTCGAGTTTCGCAGCGTCTCGTCGATCTTTCTCGGCTTGTCGCATCTCATTTCTTTCAATTGTCGCATGCACCATTTGCATCACTCGCAAAAATTCGAACTCAAACGGATCCAAATCTTCGTTTATTTCCTAGAATACTTTCTTAAATTCTTCATTTCTTTCTTTATTTTCTACTTCTGCTTTCATTTCTTCATTTGTGCTTATCTTTTGAATGGGCGAACTGTGTGAGGTTTTTGGCGTCGGTTGCAGATGTAACGATTGATCGGTGATCAGCAACGAATCAGAGAATGAGACCTAGAATCTCGGATTTTACACAGAATTTCCATTCTTTTCACACAAAAGAATAAGCAAGTGTAAATTTAGCGACAAAAGCTGGGTAAAAAAAAAGGGGTGAAATCAAAATGTTCTCATGTTCTCATGATTCAATGAGAATCTTTGGCTTGTTCAATTTTCAACCACTTACACCACAGGCTCCATTACGAAAGAGAAAAGGTGGTGGCTGAAAAAAAAAAGATGCTTATATGAATCTGTTATCTAGTGCGAGGAAAAAAAAGTTTCTTACTTTTTTGCTTGATCTCGCCGAAGCCGAGGGGTTACTGGGTGATCGACTTCGCTGTGGATGAGGAGAAGCTGAATTTTCGGGAGTGGTTTATATCAAACAGATCTAGCTATTGTTCTATACTATAGCTATTGTTCATATCAAAATCTATCAATATTCATATTAAGAAGATTTATCTATAACGTTTTTCAAAGTATTATTTCGATCGGCAATTCTGATTCTATGGAGTTGAGTTCCTATCTGGTTCCTACATATTTATTGGAAACGAGTAGAAGATATTGGCCTCTCAACTGTTAGCGTCTGTTAGCGGGTGGGATAATTGATTTCCTATTTGCTTCCTATATAGTTCTTCTATAGTTCCTATTTGGTTACTGTATAGTTCCTATTTAAAATATTGGGTTTTGCTTTTTCTTTGCAAAGAAGCATTTACGTGAATTAATTAATGACTTAATTGATTTGAAATTTGTCCTTTGTCACTAACAATTCATAGAAAAATTGGCTCAAGCAGTTGAAAACTTTTTGTTCACTTTTACATCTCTAGCTTGATGCTATAACTGTTGAGTTGGTGAATTGAAAACTGCCGGCTATTGTCATATGTGACAGTTTGAGCACTTTCTTCAAAAGAAACGCATTTTGGTGTCAATGGAAAAGTTGTAGAGAATCAAAAATCAAGCTTATATCCAAATTTTCAGAACGATTCAAAAACTGGTTTGCAAGAAATGCCAAATTTACGAAACTTTCACAAAACTTGCATTTTAAGCGAAACTACTAAGTGTATCTTTTTGGAAATTTGGCTATAAGCCTCATTTTTGATTCTCTACAACTTTTCTATTGACACCAAAATGGGTTTCTTTTCAAGAAAGTGCTCAAACTGGGACATCTCCAGTCCTCGATTTTTGAGTCTCACACTTGTCTCACACACAAACCAAAATCAAACCAAAATCCTACTACGAAAGAGGAATCCGAAGGAAATCAATAGGAATCAATTGATGGTTTTATGTTCAATAAATTTCAGTTCAAAGTCCCGCAGTTTTCAATTCACCAACCCAATAGTATCACCAATTTGTATTACCCTCCTTCTTAGCTCTGCCTAAAGTACCATTTTTACAATCAAATTTAGATTTTGAGTCTAGTACTAGTTTTAGCTACAGGATAACTCCAATTTTTCCGCAAGAATCCGCAAATTGCCTGTAAAATGGGTAGAAGTCGTCAATAATAATGGAAATTATTTGGAATGAATTGATGGTTTTATGTTCAATAAATTTTAGTTCAAAGTCCGGCAGTCCGGCAGTTTTCAATTCACCAACTCAATAGAAAACAACAACGGTTAAAGCGAGTTTTCTAGATGAGCTTTCAACCGCTGTTTTTCTACTTTACCAATCCTGACTGAAAAGAACTGAGATTGATTTCAGGTAAAGAATAACTCTCCGATAACTCGAAATGTCAAAACATCATTCATTTTCAAAAGAAAATACCAGAAATCGCGGCTGATGAGTTCAAGAGTGGAATGTTCTCTCGTTTCGGCAAAAACGGTAGATTAACCCGTGCAAAGAACGTGCTTTCAGCCGGGTGTTCTCGCTAAATAATTCCGCATTTTTCTTCAAAAAAAAAACAAAAACAAAACAAAACAAAACGAAGCCCAGGTTAGTGTGTTCCCAGAATGAGTTCAGCTACAATAGGCGTTTCTTTTTTAAAGGGAAATTTTTTCCTTTTCTTTCTAAGGACAAATATGATATCTACAAGACTTTTTGATTACCTTGATTTCTTCATCACCATAGAGCTAAAAATGTATTCGTTGAGATAAAAATTTGATTATGAAATGATTTTTGAGATGGTGTCAGCTCCGAGCCAAACTGATATTTTAGTTACTATTGTTATTATTGAATGATTTGTCTATTCGTATGCAAATGTGTCCTCCCCTGTGCTTATCCCTTTTATTGCCGAGAAGGGGCGGTCCTTAGGATTGCCTAGAAGGACAGTGAGGAGCCTAGGAGGACAGTGAGGATCCTAGGAGGACAAGTGAGACTCTCATTTGGAGTACCCCTTCCCCTTACACTCATTTCTAATCTATTCATCTTATTGTATTACTGTAAATAAAGATATGTATCTTCCGGGTCTATGCAACTGCAGTACAGGTCGGTCATTTCACAGGGACTCCCCTCTAATACGTTGGAGGAGTTGAGTTGGGTTGTCGGTGTGTTAGAGATGGCGGGATATCAAAAAGGGATCCACTCTTTTTAACTTAACCCAAATTCTAGTCCACATCCGTTTATACCTAGGAACGTATATGAAGGTTCCACCGAGATCAGCATTTGCTGTAAAATGAAAAGCTGAAAAATTGAGTATCCACGAGATTTTTACAAGTTTAGTATTGTCAAAAAAAAATTATTTGACAAGGAAACTCCTCAAAAATCCCAGTAAGATATGTAAGATGAAAAATGTGAAATAAAACTACATAGGCGTAAAACTAAATAAAATAAAACTACATCGTAGACAAATCGAACGTGCTGTGTGATGGAATGATAGGGCTCAAGTCGGAGGAAGAGCATTCGAGCCAAGAGACGAAACGCGATAAACTGAAGGGTTTTCTCGGTGTATGGCAATAAATTCTTCGATTTACCTGCACAACTCGAGGCACTGGATGCCCATGAACACCCTTGTGATGAACGTTTAGCTAAATTTTTTTTTGCCATTTCATGTTTTAAATCAAAAAAACTTACCGTGAAAACAGTCATCGCCGTAGCCAAAGAGACCAAAAATATTGTCACTCCGTAGTAGATTCCTAAAAAATTATCATAACTTTCACTTTAATCCTTTAAGAACTTCAAAGCCTTTCTATAGAGTTGAAGAAGAAAAACTGGCATTCAAATAAAGCTAACTATGAGCTAAAATTATCGTAATAACTGTGAAAAGAAAATCAGCTCACCCAAAGTAATACCCAATCAATTATAGGTTTTATCCGTGGCGAATAGCCACTACAAGTTGGGGGGAAATTGTATTCAAATTGCGTCTACATTGCCCCGTCTACAATACTGTTGCCTCCCCGTGTTCAACTGAATATCTTTGCGTAGACTTTTCCCCCCATTTCAAGCCGTGAATCTGTTGTTTCCTGTCTTTTTTTCAATTGTTGCAAGTTAAATTCACACAATTGTCATAAAAGTTTGTTTCCCCTTTGCCTCTTGCTCGTGTGATAAGTGTGAAAGTTGCCTGATCGGCACAAGTTTTGACTCAAGTCGGCAAGTTGACATAAAAGTGCGGTTTTTATGACACATTCAAAAAACGGTTGAGAGAGTAAGAATAGCTGTAAACAAAGAAATAGCTGGCTATAGTTAAGAGCACTAAGCTTAGCAGAGAAATATTTCTTACACTTACCGATAAGCGGCAATGCCTCAGCTGTCGGCGGCATTCCCTCAGCGACCAACATCAAGAAAACTGTCGTTGAAAGAAGTGAAGTGATTCCTAGAATTTTTGGCAATCAAAACTACAATGTTTCTTTATATTTTTATATAAAAATTTGCAGTTTAGCATTTGGAATTCAGCTCGTTTTACCGTCAATTTCGCTTACCAAGAGTGACTTTCTCTCCGCTGTCGCTCGGCATGTAAAAGCCGAGCAGCGCGATGCCCGAGATTAACACGCATGGCAAAATGAGGTTGAACACCTGAGAAACTCAAAAATATATAATTAATATTTTTAAACTTTACATAAAACATAGGCCGCCTATCGATTGAAATATGCACGTCGACAAAGGGATAAGGCTCCGGACAGCACGAGTAAACGATGTTATTCTTTTCAGCCCTAGGAATTTACAATAACAAAGTGTTGTCATGAAATGCAAATAAGTTCATTGAGTTTATTCTTAGCACAATAAGGCATAAGACTCTATTTCGATAGCAATGGGATACGGTGTAGCTTAGCTCATTGGTCGAGCGTTCGCCCCGTAAGTGAGAGGTGGCGGCTTCGAATCCGCGTTGTTTTGTTTTGTTTTGTTTTCCCAGCGCCAATAAAAAGACTACTTACGGATAATGAATTATGAAACCAATTTTATCAATATGCAAAAATCTCAATATCCTTGAGCTCCAAACTCCTTGATCTCCAAACTCCTTGAGCTCCAAACCCCTTGAGCTTCAAACTCCTTGAGCTCCAAACTTGAGCTCCAAAGATACTCCAAACTCACCAAATCTCCACCAATTCCCATTCGGTGCTGATCATGTAATTGTTTTTATCGCCTGAAATTTTCCTTTTATTTTGGAATCTTTTTACATTTATCAAATTCGATTTCCGAGGTTTTCTTTTGGAAATATCTGAATAGCTTTTGATGCTTTGCATTTCAAAAGACTTTTTTCGTGCAAAGGTCACGAGAAAAGAGAGAATTGTGTGCTTGCGGGCAAATAGAGTTTTCTTTTTAAAAAAAAAAACAAGAGCAAAAAAAATCTATTCTCTCAAAACACATTTTCTCAAGAATTACCAATTTTCGTCGGTAAATGGATGTCAATTTTCGTGCCATCATAAGCCCACGAAGCGAACTTTAGCGTGCAATTTTGGTGATCAAACGGATAAAACCTATAATTGATTGGGTATTACTTTGGGTGAGCTCATTTTCTTTTCACAGTTATTACGATAATTTTAGCTCATAGTTAGCTTTATTTGAAGTTAGCTTTATTTGGAATTAACTTTATTTGAAGCTTTATTTGGAGCTAGCTTTATTTGAAGTGAGCTTTATTTGAAGTTAGGCTTATTTGAAGTTAGCCTTATTTGAAGTTGACTTTATTTGAAGTTAGCCTTATTTGAAGTTAGCTTTATTTGAAGTTAACTTTATTTGAAGTGAGCTTTATTTGAAGTGAACTTTATTTGAAGCTAACACAAACCTAACATCAAGAGGACAACTCGATTTGAAAATCCCTGCCGTTGCATAGGTGACATTTCCCATAAAATTCACCACAACATCAGTGCTCATCACCGATTTCGTGTATTGCGAATCAGCACTATAAAAAGCTTATCCCCACGAAAAGCTCTAAACGAAAACTTATTGTAAAGAATGATATCCGGTTTCCATATTCTTTCATACGGAATGTGTATCTTCGTCACATTTCCAAACCTAAAAAATGAGTGACTTTATTGGTGTGGAAATTCGTTGAGTGCTTTGATTTGAGTGGAATTCTTTTTCTTTTCTTCACCTCCTCGGATCCCAAACAAGTTGATAGTCCATCCAATGTTGCCGTACCCAGGCATTTGTCGTTAATATTTGATTTCGTTCATCCTAATTGCTTCTTTTTCTACGCGAATTTCATTCAAAATGGGCTTTCTTTTCACCCACAAACTAACCACATCAATAATTTGTGTGAGTGAAAAGACGAAAGAGACATCGATCGGCCGATCGTGTTGCAGTGAGGGTCGCACCTAGAGTTTTCTACATTTATTCATTGTTCTCCCCCCGTTCAAACCTCTCGTTCATATCCCTCCATCAAGTGATTGTATAAACGAGCCACATTCTCTTCGCAAACTGAAACTTCTTCACTAGTTTCACTATTTTTCCAAACTTCCAAAACTTCTTCATTTCTTCCCACATTTCCCCGAAGCCTTACTAATTCTGTTTTTATTATATTCCAAATTTCAGAGTGGGGGATCTGGTGATGGGTTTTACTGGGAATAAAGCCATTAGATGGATGATTGATGGTTGATGTCGCGGGCCTTTATTCCCCAGACCCATCTCCAATTCGAAGCCCCAGCTTCCCCATTTTCACTGGGACGAAAAAGACGCGCTTTTTGAGTGATCCCCTCAATACAGCTAACCAAAAAGAGGAAATTTCCCCTCTCATCTAACACCACCCTTGGGACGGGGAAATCTCTCAACTAACAACAAGTTATTTTCCTGAAAGAAAATTCCATAAGACATCCAACGCTTTTTTTCCCTGGGTTGCGCGAAGAAAAGTGAAAAAAGATGGACATAAAATTTGGAGATTTCAAGGCGAACAAACGGGGAGAAAGGAAGGAAGAAAAGCCGTTTCTCCAAGCATTTTTTGAGATGTTTGAGTTTTTTCAGAGGGGAAGCCGCCCCACCACCTCGGATTCATCAATATTCGGAATTTGGACGGGATGTGCCTTGGTAACGCTCCCCGGGGGCCATCAAAGCCATCCCCAAGCCGACAAAAGCACCCTCACTGAAAACAAGTGATTTTTAGCGTCTTTTTGATAAGGAAATCTCGAATAACTCACTCTTAAAACGAAATTTAGACTAGTGCTAGAGCAAAGGAAAGTTCATTTGTTAAAGAATAATTACCAGCTATTGCCAAGAATTGCAGCCAGACGCCGACGGCAAACAACATTCGTTTGAAAAAGGGCCACTTGATGGTTGTCGCCTTTTCAACGATTTTAAACAAAAATTTGAATCATACGTAGGTATTTGGAATGATCTAAACGTTTAGTTCACGCATTTCCCAGAGACAAGAGTTGTATAGAAGTGAAAGATCAAAAATTTGAGCCACATTATTGAACGAATAGAAAACTGAAGGATAGAAAAGTGAGGAACAGAAAATGAGGCTAGCCTATCCATTTACTCTCAAAGCCATTCGTGAAGGGCTTGTCAGTTTTAATCTAATAACTAAAGATTGTTCTAAATTCAAATGTATTCTCTTCGAGCTCTTAATCCTTTTGACTTGAAAAATAGGAAAAAGACAATAAAAAATGAGGAAGATACCTAGCAAGAAGTTCTCAACCTAAAAAAGAAATTGTCTGCCTCCTACTCACAAAGGAAGCCCCCCGAAGGCTGGGCCGAGATGGGAAGAGGAGGCACAATCCAATTGCCGAATCAACAAGACGCCTGGAACAGGGGTTGGCCGGCCACAACGTGGACCCAGAACCTCTCCCACTCCTCCCTTAAGCGAGGGACCTCACCTCTTCTCCCCTTGGAAAGCAGAGAGCCGTCAGCTGAGTTCGACACGCCTTTTCACATGGACTCCTCCCCTTTCTCATCACCAAACCTTGATATCAACGTACGTGTAATTGGATTTGATTATGTTAAACGAATTATATCTTTATTAAATTCATAAATTTATCATAGGTAGTTACCATTGTACTTTTCACAAAGAACACACAAACCCGAACAAAGTTAAACTCTTGAAAAATCACTAACAACATGCGCAAAAATTAATTTACTCTTCGTCGTGCAACAAAAGCTCCTGGGTGTGTGGAAGTGGGGCAAAATATCTATAAAATATTTGTATACATGAAAGAGATATAGAAATTACTTGTCAACACTATCATCGTCAACTTCTTCCAGTGTCGCTGGCTTCCATTTAGGATTGCGATCTTTGTCAATCAGAACTAAAGATTTTAATATTTTAAACTAAAAAATATTTTGATAAATGTTTGTAATAAAAAATAAAAGGCTTACTAGCTCTGCAGCCTTCATGAAAATCGTGCCCGTCCATAAACCTTTGCGAAAGCCGATATTCCATAGAAAATATCTAAATTTTAAATTTACAATATAAACTGATTAGTTTTTAATCGACAAAAACAAATCTTCACCTTTGAAAAAGACATTCTTTTCCCCGTCTCAAGCTGACGATGGGTGACTTTTAGCGAGGTAGGACTCTAAATTAGAAATTGTAGTAAAATGTAAAGACTTTAGACAAACCATTTTCTTAAGAATTTTAATTTGCGTAGTCGCCCATTCACTTCCATCTTTGTTCAGATTTTCGATGATTTCTTCAACACTTCTAAATGAAAAAAATAATCTCACACAAAAAACACCTTACTTTCCCCCAAAAGTCTCCCGTATTTGGCGAAGTTGCTTTTCCAAACTAAACGGCGGAAGTTGTTTTGACCCAAACGAAGCCAATGTTCGCTTGACAGTCTCATCATCGACCTGCATTAATAAAAATTTAAACAATTTATATAGCAAAATGCTATACTTGTTTAAATTCGCTCAGTGCTTTCTCCAGTGCTGGTAATTGAGATGATTCAATCTAAAACTGTATTATCCAACTAGCATTAAAAAAAGCTTACATAATGTGTAGTCAAACCAGCATGAAATGTATCGGCACCTTCAAGTCGATATCCAGTTAAAGCAAGAAACATTCCAAGATTGTTGCGCAATCTATCAGAATATTTGTACAATTTTTAACCACAACATACCGAGAAAGGAAGTAGCTTCCACCAACATCTGGAAACAGTCCGAGAGCCGTTTCTAAACAGGTAGATATAGACTGGTAGTCAATAAATGCTTACCAGGCATAGCTAGTTTTGTTTTCTCGGTTGCGACACGATAACGGCCATTTATCGATAAACCACATCCCTAGAAGACTGAAAGCATAGACTGCACCAAAACTACTCACTCCGCCCATTACGATTCCATCGATCAACGCTACATAGGGTTTTGAGAGCGTCCCGATCAAATGGTTTAGTTGATATTCTTCTCTAAACAACAAAAAAATATAACATGTAACAAAAAAGACTCACTTGAAAAATTCTTGATGCATGGTCGAGTCTTTTCCTGCTTGGGCATCTTTCGCTGACTTTGTGACGGCTGAAAACTAGAGTCATAGTAAATATTATATTCAAAAGCATACCAAGCACATCTCCACCAGCACAAAAAGCTTTATCACCACTGCCTTTGATCATGATCAAATTTACATCATTTGACAAATTCCATTCCTAAAACCGTGAAATTTTAATTTGACAAATTTCCATACCTGCAATAACGGGTAGATTTCTCGAACCATATTGAGATTTAAAGCATTTAGAGCTTTCGGGCGATTCAAAGTAATTGTACGCGTAGGACCACTGGAAGAAACAAGAAGCTCAGAAGCATGTGACGACATTTTTCGTAGCTGCAAAAGAAAGAATTTTAGAGGTTTTATTACCATAATTGTCAGTCCAAATTTTCCAATATAGACGCTTACCACAAATGCGGCGCCACAATAGTTTTTAAGTACGCTATGCGCTAACATCTTTTTCTAAATAAAATTCTTGTACAGTTCTTGCCCCGTTACTTTGCTAGAGAAGTCTTTGGAAACACCTTTCCATATTCAACAGTGTGAAAATACAATCTTTATACATCCAAGAATTAAATAATCATAAAACTAAATAAATAGCAAAAGATTGATTAAATTCAAACGCAAAAGTAACAGTCACACAAACAACACTAATATGCATAACTTAAACGGGATCTTTTCGATTACTCAACTTAAACACAGATTTTAAGGAGGTCAAAATTTTTAAGACCTATCTATTTAAGGAAGCCATTTTTATTAAGGAGCCAAGTAATTGAAAAGAGCCCTTAACTGCAAAAGCTTCATAAAAATTGGCGGTTTTTCGAGTAAATTAATGTTGTTTGTACTCAAAAAACAAAAGATAAACAAGAAATTTAAGCAATACGCAATATGATGTGGAGCCCGGAATCTGTGTCAACGATCTCGCTCATTTCACCAACATCAAGCGCGAATGAAGCGTCTTCAAAAGGTTTCTGCATTTTTCGTCTCCCAAATTTCTAAATTTTAAGATTAGTAGATTTAATTTAATTTTTTAAACCCCAAGATCGCCTCCTCGGTTAGCTGAAGAACAGTCACTAAATTGTGAAGCCAGTTTTCGGAATTCACCCTCAATATCCCCACTTGCGTTGATTTGCTCGAGATATGCTGAGAAACAAAATATGAAAAAACAGTAATATGCTAAAACCTCTAGTTAAGCTTAAATGCTTACTTGTAAGAATTTTGCGAGCGTCTTCTTTCGATCTTGTAATGTTGTCACTCCGCCAAGATGCCGGCCGACGAGATTGATTGTGCTTGACAAGCAGATGCAAGCATTGGACCTCTTTTAAATCCGAGCCTTTCCCGTCTAAAAATACAAACAAGTAAATGAAAATTTGAGTGAAAATCACCAGCGGCTTCGGTGGGTCGTTCCCATTGACTTCGACCAGTGAAGTTGTTGAAGTAATATGCTTTCCCGTTTCCTCTCGACATTCGCTTTTCCCATCCCGAAGGCATCTCACCGTCCGCCATGATCGAAGCAAAGTTCTAAAGAAAACAAATAATGATGTTAGAAAACAAAAAAGGAAATGTTAGCTTTTGATTGAAAGAGTTAATTAATGTGAGACTAAATTTCATTTGAATTCGATAGATTTTCTCTTGGGCTACGAAAGTGTACCGTTGACGAAAGTCAGTCATTTAGCAGTGTACATAGTAATTACTCGTTTGTGTGACCGGCCGCTTTATTTCATTGCACTTGGTCTTTTTTCAAACGTTACGTTTCAAAACACATGTTTATCTCTGTATTGATCACAAGAAATTAAAAGTCTACTTTATTTGCATTTTATTTTGTCTCCTCAAATACAAGTACATTTAGAATGAAGCGTTATGTGGTGAACACACATTTGGGGGCGCTTCGATTGAGATTCTTCAGTACAGCATTGACTCAGCATCCAATGGCTGTCTTCGTTGGTGAAGAACAAAAAAGTAAGGACAAAGTTTAGTATTTCTATTTTTATTTTTATTTTAGTCCAACGAAATTCTCTTCTTGGGCCATCACCGCAGTTTCCTTTACCGGGAAATGTTTGCGACAGTAAAACATTTAACGCAGATTCCACTGTGGTTAGGCTTCTAAATATTTTTGTTTTTTAGAAAAGAAAAAGCACATTTATCTATATTACGCTTTTTAGGAAAATCCATCTCAGTCTAAAACATCGAGTGTAAGGACGACTTCAGTTCAAACTATCTTAAATCAAGGACAGCAGTACGCTGCTGCTGATCAGGCTTATTTATACAAACAAGCGGTAGTTGTTTTAAAAGTAAACTTTAATTTTCACTTTTTTAGGAATCGGTGGAATTAGATGGAATGGACGATGTTCGGGTTGAAATAAAGGCCCAAAAATGCCCTCGGCTTTTGCAAAGAGGTGCTTTAAATGATTGTATTTATTGTTATAAAATACCTATATTCTGCTTATTATTTTTAATAATTTTTTTAGATCTCAAGTCTTTGTTCCCTCATATGAATTTGACACAAGCTTCCGTCAATGTTATTAACATCAGTCAGCAGTCATCTACTGACCAATCAGCGTGGTCCACTCAAATGGAGGCAGAAAGAGATAAACTTACTGTGAATGTGCGTTCTTTTGCTAGTTTTCAAAAAATATTTTGCATTTTAGTTCATAAATACAGCAAATAATATCTGCTCTGCTTTGGAAAAACTGGGCTATTGGGCTGATTTTATTGATCCATCTTCAGGACGCCCATATCGAGGTATATACTTGCTGTTAATTACCTTACGAGTTATATTTAGGACAATTTACAAATGCAACTCTTTTTGAGACAGATGAAGCTTTTCAACAATTGGGTTTCCAAATTGAAGATCTAGGCTGTTGCCGAGTGAGTTGTACTATTTTACAGTTCATTGTTTGTTTCATAGGTGCTAAAGCATATCAAATGGGGTTCTCACGCTTTTGTTGGAACAATTTTTACTGATGCACCCATCGAAAGCGAAATCATGAAGCAACTGCTCGATGAAAAAAACGACTCCGATGGAATCAATTCTTAGCTATTTAGGTAGATTATTAAAATGAATGCTTTGTATATTTGTGCAGCGAAAACTTATGAGTCATATTGAGCTTGCACCCGGTATTCTTTGCATCGTGTTAATAAATTTTTATGGTAACTATCGGTTTTTCTGATATGATTAATCTTTCATTTAATACTTCTTTTAAAATTGAACTCTTCAAAATATATTTTTTCCTTAGATGGGATTAACGACCAATTTTCAATTATGCCAATTTTCCGATTTCCGCGTTCAGCTTCCAGATGACGGTCTTTTCTACAGTGTCTTTACGGCTTTACTTTTTGTTCCGACGCTAGTATTTGTTGCAATTATCTCAACTGCATTTGTGATCAATATTGGAGTTGCGCTCGTTCTACAAGGTAACTAAAGTTTAACTTTGAAGACTCGATTCTGAGGTAGAAAAATTTGGATGTGCTCTGTGTTAAAGTTGTATTGGTATAATTTTTAGGTATCACATTCATCTTCTGCTTGGCGTGGTTTCTTCCAACAGCAATTTTTTGCTTCGCCACTGCCTTCTTCTTGACCAAGGTGATTATCCTGAAACACAACATCAATCAATCTATTTAGGTTGCTCGTTGCACACTTTTTCTTCTAACCGAGCTTGAGAAACGAAAGACAAGTATACCTGAAAGTCTTTTGGATGATACCATAACAGCTCCAAAGACGCATGCACACGAAAAGCTCCTTTGATTGGCCTCTTTATACGGTGATTACATTTTGATAGATAGTTCCTTCTAGCGATTGTATATAATGTTAGCTTTTTCGTCGTTACATAGGGTTCACGTTTATCATTTATCGTTTTACGTGTTCATACTTTGTAATTTGTTTCCTTGCAAATCGGTTCTCATTCTTTGTGCTTCTCAATTTTCCAGCCATGTGATTTTGATCTGAATATCTTTCGGGTATAAACAAGTTTTATGTTTGCTGCTTTTTTTATCGGCGTTTATCGCTAATTGATATTGAGAATGGTTATATGCTTCGAAAGGTTTATGCTAATCAGTCTGCAGATCCAACCAGTTAAAACGATTAAGAATTGAAGGATGTCGACTTGGCCGCTCAGTTCGTGGAGTACTTCCGGGTCGCTGTTGATGGGCGAAGTGGCTTCAACTTCGGAGCCCAAGGAAGTATCAGAAGTAAAAGTAGGGAAGTCACAAAAACAGGATCGTTTTTAGCAAGAGCTCGCAGCCCGTGCTTTATCACAGCTTTCAGCGTCTTACCGTCCATATGTTGCGTCCATGCCCCCGAAAAAGAAGTAAGAAAGGGAAAATTACAAATTAATCCTGTAAAAAAATTATAGTGTTAGAGCGCCAGCCCCTCGTATGAACCCCTATCCGCTGGTATTTCCTAACCCGCAAATGGTGGGACTCACCACAAATCCCGGAAAAATCAATCCCTTTTCAGACTGGGGATAACATGCAACCTGTAACCCTTGCCCAGCAAGTGATGAATACCGGCGTACCACAACAACAGCAGCAACAACAACAGCAAGGTGGTGGCGGACGCCGGAAAGAAAAAGGAGGCGACTATCACTGCCCTGTGTAAGTCTACCGAAATACAAATACCTAAATACGATAATCATAGAAAACAAAATAAACACGAAATTTTCAGTGACATGTGCGGCAAATCCTTTCACACCTCCGAGAAACTGCAAAGTCACATGGCTATGCACAGCGCAGATCGCCCACATGAGGTTTTTAATAATGATACGCAATGCCAGTCTTCTGTCTCATCGACAGTATGCCTGAGTATCTTCTTGATTACAGTATATAGAATGGTATACTGCAGTGTAATTAGAAAAGAGACTGGATTTTGTACAATTCCTTGAAACAACAAAAATCGCAACACAATATTTCCAGTGCACTTTTTGTCACCGCCGTTTCCGTCGTGTGGATCACCTGAAGAAACACGAGCGCATTCACACGGGAGAGAAGCCGTTCGCCTGCGAGATTTGTGGTCGTGCTTTCGCTCGTTCTGATAAACTCTACACCCACAAAAAAGCTCATCTCAGCGAGCAAAGTGGTCACACTCAAGTTCCCCTTCCCTCGATGTCAAACTCGTTGGTTTTTGTACAACCCGTTTCACCGCGTGATTAAATTTGCGTCAAAATTAGGGATTAAGTATCTAATACTCAAAAGTCTCACTTTTTAAAAACACAATTTATCATGATTTTTACTTTGATCTTTATTTTCTGTGTTCTTTTAGTGGTAAAATTGTTGCTGTTGGAAATGAAAATTTATCATAATATTAATGAAAAAACGTTTTCAAGCAACATCTGGTCATTTATTTAAATTGTCATTGTGTTTTAAAAGACGAAATTTAACTTTTTTAAACATCGTAAAGGAAAATCGATAAATTTCGGCTTAAATAGGGAGTGGGACAAATGCGACCTTTTTTTCGCGCACCCGGACATTTGCGCACCTTTTTTCGCGTTTTAAAAAAAGCTCTAAAAAGCTAATATTAACCAATTTCTATTCCAAAAGTTGTTTTTCTAGGTAATTTTAGGGCGTAGAATCGAAATTTTGACATATCAGAGCTTGTGGAAACAAACCAACAGAGTTATACAAAGAGAAAGATCGACAATTTTCTATAATTTGATCTAGCCGTTTTGTCTTTCAAATTGGTTCCACACGCTCTGTTATGTCAAAATTTGAATTCGACACTCTCAAATTACCTAGAAAACAACTTTTGGAATAGAAATTGGTTAATATTAGCTTTTTAGAGCTTTTTTAAAACGCGAAAAAAGGTGCGCTAATGGGCAAGGTGCGCAAAAAAAAGGTCGCATTTGTCCCACTCCCCTTAAATAGGCGTTTTTGCGGATCTAACGCTTTTGGGTATGGCTTGGATATTATTATGGTGCTTTTTGCAATCGTCAAATCTTTAATCTATCTCTTTCTTTTTTGTGATTGTATGAGAAATCTTCATCATCGCCGCAAAAAAAGAAACTTTTCTCTTTCACTGAATGTCTATTGATTTGATTTACTGTTTTACAAGCACGGTTGCCGCTATCCATTGTTTTTTTTTCTTATAAATTCAATTCCTTTCAAAAAAAAGCATTCTTTTTTTGATACCATACACAAAAAAATCTCTCTTCACTCTCTTTCAAATGAAAAAAAAAAAAACGAGAATTCTTTGTCACATACGTTTTTTTTTTGTTCAACTTCTTTCATTTTTTAGTTACTTTTCTTTCTTTTCATTCTTTTCTTTCTTTTCTTTCCTTTCTTTCTTTTCTTTCTTTTCATTCTTCTTTTCTTTCTTTTCTTTCTTTTCATCAAAGTTACTTGTGCACTTGAGTCATTTGATGATTGTAGGCAAGATAATTCTGATTTTCACAGCATAACTGAAAAGAAATTGATTCTGAGACTTTCAGATCCATCCTACATAAACATCGATAATTTAAATTGAAACTTTCTTTTAAATCGCCTGAAAAGAACTCCGCCTTTTGTAAATCCCAGTCACCAAAATCGGCACTTTTTTGAAAATTTAATTTCTGATATCTGATATATTTTTGTTTCTTTCATTGCCAGTTTTGTGTTTTTTCTCAATAAATTTTTTAGTTCAAAGCTCTAGAAGCACTTTCAAGAATCACAAATGTTAATCACAGGATTTTAAAGAAAAGAAAAACAATGATTTCAAATCAGTTATGTCTTGGTGGCTCCGTGTAACAAGTGTCAAGGTATTCAAAAGCAAACTCGTGAACGATCGAACGGTCCGGAATCTTTTGAGCCATTCCGTAGAGAGCAGCCTGAAATCGGATTTGTTTAAACTGAAGCAGTGGAAAAATTGTACCTATCGTAAATAGGGAGTGGGACAAATGCGACCTTTTTTTGCGCACCCATTCTATTTGCAATGTCCATTTGCGCACCTTTTTTTCCGCACCTTGCCCATTAACGCACCTCTTTTCACGTTTTAAAAAAGCTCTAAAAAGCTAAAATTAACCAATTTCTATTCCAAAAGTTGTTTTTGCTAGGTAATTTGAGGGTGTCGAATTCAAGTATTAAAATTTTAATAATCAACGGTTAAATCGACATTTTCCGGGACCAAGTCGAATATAGATACTACTTGGTACTTGCTTATTTAATATCCATCATCAGCAAACATAAATATGCACAAAAAAAATCAATTTTGGTACTGTCACCTGACATCAGGTGACAATGTCCCAGGCGAACGAATACGTGTCAGACAGCATCAGGTGACAATGTCGTCAACGTGTTAAAAAAGCTCTAAAGAGCTAATATTAACCAATTTCTATTCCAAAAGTTGTTTTTCTAGGTAATTTGAGGGTGTCGAATTCAAATTTTGACATAACAGAGCGTGTGGAACCATTTGATTTGAACCAATTTGAAAGACAAAACGACTAGATCAAATTACAGAAAATTGTCGATTTTTCTCTTTGTATAACTCCGTCCGTTTGTTTCCACAAGCTCTGATATGTCAAAATTTCGATTCTACGCCCTAAAATTACCTAGAAAAATAATAGAAATAGAAATTGGAATAGAAATTGGTTAATATTAGCTTTTTAGAGCTTTTTTAAAACGCGAAAAAAGGTTCGCTAATGGGCAAGGTGCGGAAAAAAAGGTGCGCAAATGTCCGGGTGCGCAAAAAAAAGGTCGCATTTGTCCCACTCCCCGTAAATAGTACTGTAATAGTACTCCACCCCCGTCTCAAATCCGCGCGAAATTAGGGCAAAAAATTGTTTTCTATAGGATTTTTACGTTTGAATATCAATAGAATACAAATTGAATAGCAATAGAATTGAATAATGAATAAGTCAACGCAGAAAAATGTGCTGAATTACATGGTGAAAAAAATTATCAAAATCCGTCTTGTAGATTTTTTTTAAAAATCGGATTTTATCAAAAAAAATCGGTCATTTTACACAGAAACGGCCAAACTCACCTGCATTTGGCCCTCCACTACTCGATGATAACAAAAAATTAGGAAAGGTCAGGGAGTAGACTTTGTCAAAATGTTTTCTGTGGTCATTTTTGAGACCAAAATCGTATTAATTGGTCAACTCACAAAAAAGTTATAACGAGGCCCCCCCTCGTACAGTTGCGTAGTCGCAAAAGTTTTTTAGTATTTATTTTTTTCAAAGCGCCCGTACTTTCAAAAAAGGCGTCTTTGGTATCAAAAAATAGCCCTGAATTTCAGCTATTTTTTGATACCTAAGCGCTCATTGTAGCAGAAACCAGTGTCGAGAAAAACTCGTTCAAAGCTAGACTACACAACGCTCCGCACCGTCATTATGCGGGTGGGGTACTATTACAGTATTTACGGTAGATTTGGATTATCAATGTGCAAGTTCTATCCGATTAAACCTCACCGCCCCAGTGAGCTCAGCGTTTGGTGAGCGACGAATCTCGTCAACAACTTCTCGCGCATCTTTCACCAATGCGTCGATCACCCCTTCTTGCGTGTGCAACATTGTAACCATCAAGTGAACACTGAATATTTATGTTCTTTAAATCTATTTTTAAAAGTTACCCAGCCGGAAATTGCAATGAAGTAAGACCCCAGTTTCTTTGCTCCATCAATGCATGGAATCGATTTATGTTTATACCTGAAATTTTATTCTATTCTTTTTTCTATGCTTCTCCTTTTCTTACCGTCTTCTCCCGTCCATCCAACCACACAAACATCACAAGCGCCCATCACTTTAAGCCCAGGAATGGCAGAGATTCTGAATTGCTAGTTGCTTTTTCAAGATAAGTTAATCTCTAGTTTTGCTACCAACAGTGAGAATGACTATCGTCTCTTTAATATTCAAGACTCACGCATCTCGAAGCTTTCTCGTGGCATTGACAACAGCTCTCGATGTTTCTCTGTATCCTTCAGCTCCGTGATGTCGAAGTGACGCCCAACACAATGCGATGTTAAGCCCAGCTCGAGAACCTATCATTTTCCTATTTCTTTCTCAAACTCCTCTTTAAACCTTCTAGTGTTGAGCTTGCGTAAATCCCTCCTTGCCAATCAGGGTCACAGAAATACTGATTATGCAAATATTCCTTTGAAGAGTACAAGATCACTGATGAGCCTTTCGGGGTTAAACCATACTAAAGTTCTTATAAAGAGAAATAGAATAGAAATAGAATAGAAATATAATCCTGCAAGAGTTACTCACTTTATGCGTGTCCGCACTAATCGAGCAGACGCCTGGGACCCGGAAATCAAAGGGACGAGCATCCTAACATTCGAATTATGAAACGCCTCAACTTTAAGCTCAAATTTCTTGGAGTTCGGCGGTCCATTTTAAATAGTTTTTATACCAATTGACAGAGGAAGACTTGGCACATCTAATGATAACAAGAATATTTCAATTTGACAACCTAACACCGAGATATTTGAGCTCAAAGTTAGACAAAAGAAGCCGGGCAAAAGAATGTTTGATAGACAAGGTTTATCAGAAAATCCAACTCACATCGATGAATGGTAAAAGGAAACCGCCAAGACAGGCATCAACGTGCACTGGAATGTTATATTTTTGGCCCAATTTCCCGATTGATTCAATATCGTCATGCGCTCCGCTCGGGAAATTCACCGCCGATCCGACCAACTGAAGACAAGTTATGCATTTCATTTCTTACAATAGTAAGACATAAGACCCTGCCGGCAAAGGGATACGTGTTGGTGTAGCTCATTGGTAGCTACACCGACACGTATCCCATTGGTAGAGCGTTCGCCAGGTAACCAAGTCCGGTAGGCGAGAGATCGCGGGTTCGAATCCCGGCGCTGACCGTTCCCAGGCACAAGCCATAAAAGGATTGGCTTGTCCAACGCAATACAACTTATTACAGTAATGAACCAACCATGCACGTTCTGTCACTAATCGCTTTTCGCATTTTTGCTACATTCACTCGATAGTTGTCTGGATCCACGGGGATTCGAGTCTTCAATTTTTAGATTAGCTTTTTAATAAATCTTTTTTACACTCACCACTTTTATCCTAAACAATTCACCGGCTTTAATGAAAGCCGCATGCGCACTTTCTGGAATAACCCTAGAAATCGTTGTTTTTTTTTCAGAATTACACTGATTTCTTTACATTTCCGGGAATTGGATTCCCCTTTTGAGAGCTCTATTTCGATGAGCTAAACAAGCGAGAAGAATCGACGCGGTGCCACCAGTTGACATCTAGAAAAAAAAAGTTTAAAAAGAAATTAGAATCCTAACCGTTCCACATGTCTTTTCATTGCCACCGAGTAGATTAGCGGAAATTCTGACAATCTGAAATAGCGTGACGATCAAAAAGCTGCCATCTAAAAAGACACCGTACTCTAAGCAATGTCGCGCTTAGACGCGTATAAAAGAACGCTTTTTAGAGCTTCTTATAGAGCTTCGTTCCCATTTTCTCTCGTCTTCTTTCTGTTTCTTTTGTTCGAAATACTTTCACAATTTTCAAAGTGATTCCTTTTTTTTCTCTTTGGGGGAAACTCTAAGGGAAAATGATTTCTTTTTGTCTCTGGCGTTTCTTTAAGTTAAACATTTTTTACAGTATTGAATAAACTTTGTTTTTTCATTCATTCAAGCACAGGTATGACTATGAACCGATTCAGTAACCAATTCAGTAACCAATTCAGTAACCAATTCTCTAACCAATTCTCTAACCAATTCACTAATCTAACTAGTGAATTCAAGGGAAAGCATTCGTCATACAAAGCAAATTAGTTTTAGTAAGGTCGGCTTCCATTTTCCATTACCTCGGCTTCCATTTTCCGAACACCTGGAAACAGCTTTGGCCAAAGGGGATTTGACCAGGCAAAGTGATCACAAACCTACAAAAGTAAAAAAAAATAAGTATTCTTTTGGTATTAACCTCTCGATAAATTCTCATCTCATCACTTTCGCTTTCGTCAATGTGAAAAACTGCACCTGAGCATCGACCCTCCATCCAATTTGTGCTTTCTAAAATTTATTCTCTTTGGTTTTAAAGTTTAAGAGAATTTCTACTTTTTATTTTCCCTTACCCATTGCAGAATATTCTTTGATAAGCGTCACTGTCTCGTCAACAGAAAGTCCCTTTTGTGGAAGATGGCTAAGGAATTGACCGCTGTTGTCATTCCCGTGAATTGATTTTTCAAGATTTCCTCGAGCATCTTTCAAATGTTGCTAAATTTTGCTAAATTTGCTAAATTTGCTAAATTTAAAATCTTCAACAAACTTTAATCCATTTCTAACTTTAATCTATTTCTTCTAAGCTTTTAACCTCGATTTGTCGTTTCACGAATGGCAGCTTTCGCATATAGTAGAAGATCGAGCGTTTCGCATGAATTCTCAGACCTGAGAGAAAACTTTTAATCGTTTTTAAATCGATTTAAATTACCGTATTTCTTTGAATAGAAGACCGGGTAAAGAAGTATGATCGCGTACTCCTGCGTAGCAGCCCTTTTTAAAATTTCTTTTCTGCATAAAAGCTTTCAATCAAGTGCTATAGAGCTGGAAAATGACTCAAAAATCTGTTAGCTCATGTGGTATTTTTGAGTCATTTTTCAGCTCTATAGCACTTGATTGAAAGCTTTTATGCAGAAAAGAAATTTTAAAAAGGGCTGCTACGCAGGAGTACGCGATCATACTCTTTACCCGGTCTTCTATTCGAAGAAATACGATAAGCTAAAAGCTATTACGAAGTTCCAATGGTATTTTAAAGAAACTTTTCTGATCAACAAATTTGATAAAAACAATGAGAGAGAAGAACAAAGCACGAGACTCACCGAGATCATCGGTGTGCAGCGACCAGAGACGCGAGAGAGTGTAGCCACCGAGGAAAGCGAAAGCCGCCACCACCACCGGGTCCCTTTCACCCAAAAACTCTTCCACACATTCGTAAGCAGTCACCACCGATTGCGGCAGTGAAAGCACTTGCATTACCCTATATTCTTGAATAGTTTAAGCCACTTTTATAGAAAACTGTCAAGAAAGATGCAATTTATAGCTTAAAGTACAGAAAAGAGGAAAAGGGGAAAATGGAAAAAGGATTTTTTCGAGGAAAGAGGCCGAGAGTGGCTTCTCTCTTTGCTTTTTTTTACGAGCAATGGTCGCTGAAAAGACAACACAACGAAAAAATTTGTGTGTAGTGTGATTTGGGAAACCCGTCGTCTCATTCTCTTTTCTCTATGAGTCTAAATTTATCACAAGAAATCTTGATCAAAGTAGATATCTTTCGATTCTTCGATTGTTCTTTGCAAATTCGGTAAGATTGATTTAAAGATGAAAGAAGAATGATTTCTTTAGCTAGTTCTTTAGCGAGTTCTTTAGCTAGTTCTTTAGCTAGTTCTTTAGCTAGTTCTTTAGCTAGTTCTTTAGCTAGCTAAGATTTATAGTCTTTTTTGAGAATCAAACTTTGTGTATAGTGTGCTTTTAGAAAAGAAAGGAAAAAAAAGTACAAATTGAGCATCTATACATCTGAAAATGTACATATATAGAAAATGAAGCGATTAAAAAGCGAATTTTTGAGAGTGTTGCTCTGTAAGATGGGATTTTCAAGTAGATAAGCCACCCTAAAAGACTTTTTCCCTCTCTTGAAAGATGAAAAATTCCATGAAAACTATCATTTGACTACATATTTCTTTTTCGATCTTTAATTTCTAATTTAAAAACGAAACTTGTGATCACATTTTTGCGATAAATAGTTTATTAAACAAGATCTAAGCTCGCCAAAAAATCAAATGATTTGTCGGATCTCCGATTGGATCATGACTTGTTCCCTTTGCATCATCCAAACCCTCACCACACGAAAGGAATAAGATCTAGAATAGATTTAGAATAGAGCTAGAATAGATTTTTAAGCTTTCTTACCTTTTCCTGGGAAAAATTTAACTTAACTTTTCGGCTCTTGTGTAGTTTCCGGGTATTTTGAAAGAATCTGCGTATTTTGAACGGGTCACTTGTCATTTGTCACACTTTGAAGTCCTATAACTTTGTCCAGAGATCATATTTTTGCTATCTTTTTATATCATTGTACAGAGGACGATTTAGGCTTTTAAATGATACCAAATAGAGCTTGACTGGATTTTTCATTCTCATACAAACCAGGCGACACAAAACCCCAGTCGGATAGGTCTCATTTGCTCAAAGTTGGGTCTGATTTTCTTGGATTGGATTATCCAAGCAATCTCTATTTGGTATCATTTGAAAGCCTGAAACCTCCTCTGTACAATGATATAAAAATTTAACAAAAATATGATCTCTGGACAAAGTTCTAGACATTCAAAGTGTGACAACCCGTTCAAAATACCCAGATTCTTTCAAAATACCCGAAAACTACACAAGAGCCAACGCTTTTGAAAGGCTTAACTTACTTGAGAATTTTGTTGTGGTGGAAGACTTAATGACATTTTCTTTGTTTTCTTGACTTGTTGAATTGGAATCGGGAGAAGGACACGACAAGGACCAGCATGTCCCACTTCTAACACTGAAAGGCAGATTTCCGTTATTTATTTATTCAAATATTGATTCAAAGCTTAGCTACCAGTGATTGGAGGTGTTGTTTGAGCTCGAGCTGCTGTTGTTGGAGTTGAAAGGATGAAGCCAGAAGAAGTACCAATCCATAGCAATGATCGAAAAGCAACCAAAGTGCTCACTCGAAGACAGCCAAGCTTGTGCTCTCGAAGGATATCTTCGCGGCCTGGATATTGTCTATTTTTTTTTTGTTGTAACGTTATCTCACCAGCTAATTGAGCTTGTATGATTGGAGCGATCGAGAATTGATTGAGTGGTGCGAGAGAGAAAGCATCAACTGCCCAAACAGACGATGATCTAGCCGCAGCCACGAAAAGAAGTGCTCCCGAGACGCACAAACTCGAGATTGTCTCTCCAGCTAGCAAAACGGATGAAGATCTCTGAATTTCTACTTGCTGAGAGGTTACTAACAAGCCTCACTTCAATCATATGCGTATCAGGATCCAAAATGTAGAGTTGATGAGCTGCTGCCAAGCATAAGCCACGTGCCACAGCCACCATTGGATCGGCAGAGGCTGTGAAAGGAAGATTGATGTTTGATGGATGCTCGAGATCCCACGAGTTATCTAATAATAATTTAATAGTAAGACTAGGGATAAAGATCTTTTTACCATTAAGTGATCGAAAAGCGACAAGTTGGGATTGAGAACTGTTACCGGCTGAGACGAATACCTAAAGTTTAGGAGTTGAGATGAGAGTGTTTCTTTTACTTGAGCATGGGAGGGACAAATTGCTCGAATCGGTAATGAGAGACGAGCCACTCGATCTCGGATTCGATTTCTCACTCTTTCACAAGAGTTCAACAAGAAAACTCTGAAAAAGTTAGATAAATCGATTCTAAATCTTGAGCAATCTTGAGCGATTCTAAATCTTGAGCAGCAAGCAAATTCAAAACCAACTCTCCATCATCGTTTCCTATCCAAACAGTTGTCGGTCCTTCATCGTCGGAATCTGATGATGAAGACTCCGAGCTAGAAATGATCTTTGATTTTTCGTTTATAGTTTGTTACCTATTGAGATCTAGCACTGATTCATCTCTGGATAGTTTATCAACGGATCTTTCCATTCGGAAGAGTGATCTTTTTCGAGCTCGACTAAAATAGAGAAATGAAACGGAATGAACGGAATGAACGGAATGAACGGAATGAACGGAATGAACGGAATGAAATCAAAAATACCTAGCAGGGGGTACTGTAGCAATTGCAGAAACAGCCGCATTCCCAATTCCGGCACAACTCTCAATAGCTGGCTCATTTTCCACAGATAAAACTGCAACCTATAAAAAACTATATTTTTTACTAAAGAGATCGTTAGCTGACCTGTCCTGAAAACTTATCTGACGTGCACGCCCAAACAAATGGAGCACTGTCGGCGCGTTTCCCTGGGACAACCGTCGCCGCACAGAACTGCAAAAAAAAGAACTTTCTTACTTTCAAATTTAAAACACTTGAAGCCCTGGTCGAGTTTGATGAGCCAATATCGATTGCAGGGTCACTGGATTTCCATCAGCTTGATGATTGACTTAAAAGTTTACAGTTTTCGAAACTCGTAGTCTTATAACCTAAAGCAGTTTTGGCTTCTTTGAATGCCGTCTCCCATTGTGTTCGACGATCGGCGGAGGCGAACTCAATAGGAACAGTTTCGACACCATTGCTTGAAATTTGAAAATGATTTTATGATGATTTTAATGTATTCTTACGATGTGGCCACATTGAGAACTACAGTTGTGAGGTCGGGATTTGAGGAGAGTTGCTCGGAAAGTGAACGCACTCGTCTTGAAAGTGATGCCTCGAGGTCGGATAGACAAGTGGCTAGGACCTGAAATGATGAATAAGAGATTAAAAATCTCGTTTTGTAACCTCGTGTGGAGTTCGCAACAAACTGCACAACTCAATCACTTTCTTTAGCACTTTCAAGTCCTCTTTGAGTACTTCAATCGAGCGCTCGGTTTCTTGAAGTTTCGCAAGGGTGTCTGAAATCGATGGATTAATTTTTGAATCCTCATAGTTAACTCCCACGGGAGTAAGGGAGATTAAGTTTCCGGTGGTGTAATGGTTAGCGCACTTGCCCGGTAAGGTCGCGGGTTCGCGTCCCGATGGCGCAGCAGTTTTAATCTGCACTACTTCCAACTTCATAATTTTATACATTCAACTTGGGTAGGTATTGTACGACAGTTTACTAATCACATTCGTTTATAGGCATAAACTTTCATTAATTTTAATCCAACTTTTCACTTTGATTTCTAAAAGTATGAAATACTACCAGTTAGATATAGGAAAATTCCAAGCTGAACCAAATTCTTGGCCGATTGTAGTGTAGATAACTGAAAAACTTTTAGCTCAATGGCTTTGATGAAAATAAAAAATATCGACTTTATCGAAAGCCGGGTGTTTCAAAAGTTTAGACGCTTTAGAATTTTATCTTTAAAAATTAATTTTTTTTCCAACATTTTTGGTTTTTGCGTAATGATTTATTTTACAGGAAATGGGCAAGAAGGAAAAGATTTCCGCTCTCGAGATTTCACAAATTGAGGCTCACCGTAACGCCGGTTGGACCTTCGACAAAGTCGCGGAGAAACTTAATCGTCCTGAGCCAGGAGTTCGAAAAGCATGTGGAAAGATGAACAACAAATGTCTCAATAAGAAAATGGGTAGACCCACTAAGTTATCTGAAAGAGATCGACGACGTTTGTCAAATGCTGCTTCGAATTCGCCAAAGACAGCTAAGGATTTAGCCGTTGAATGTGGGCTCAAAGTTTCAAAACAAACGATTCCATTCATCGAAGTGCTTCGACCACCAGCTACCTTCAACAACAAAATGTCCCCGTGTTACCGTGGATCGCATGTTCTCCTGTCTGTAACCCCATCGAGAACATTTGGGGATATCTTGTGCGGAAGGTTTACAAAAATGGACAACAATACACAAAGATCGTCTCTTTGAAAGCGGCAATTATTAGGTTGTCCGGAAATAAATGAGCGTTTTGCATTGTTTATTATTTGGGTACATTTTTCTCAATAAAGTATGCTCTGTACCTTGTAATGTTATATACCATTAGAAAGCTCAGTTCGTGCTCACTTTAACCATACTTTTAAATTTTGTTGAAAATGAAATTTGCGAATTTTAAGCTTCGCCGTTTTAGATATCCGAAACGAACTTTCGCCAGATTTTCTTTTATGAGTTCAAACTCGGTCGCAATGCAGCTGAAACGGCTAGTAACATTAACAAAGTTCGGGGCCAAGGCAGTGTCGGCGAGTCAACAATGCGAACTTGGTTCCGAAAATTCCGAGCTGGTGATTTTGATCTCGAAGATAAAGAAGGCCGTGGCCGTCCTGTTCAACTCGGTGACGACGAACTGACCGAACCTTTCGCGACGAACTGACCGTCCCAAGCCTAAGCCTGAGCCGACTACCACTTTTTCAAGCACCTCGACAACTTTCTCCGGGAGAAATGCTTCAAAACTCAAGACGATGCCAAAAACGCCTTCGCCAACTTTATCGCCTCTAGAAGCCCGGACTTCTATGCTACCGGCATCAATAAACCTGTTTCTCGTTGGCAAAAATGTGCTAATTGTAATGGTTCTTATTTCGATTAATAAAGTTTTGTTTGGATCAAGTTATGGGATTTTAAATATCCGAGTTGAAAACGCTCATTTATTTCCGGACAACCTAATATTAGAGCATGGGGTGAAATTGCTTCCATGCTGATTCAATCGCTTATCTAAAGTATGCCGAAAAGAATCTTTCAATTAATTCGCCGCGTAGGCAACGTTATTGATTTTTAACACACGTTAAAGCACTTTTGTTAAGTTTTTTTTCTGTTACAATAAATTCGTCTAAACTTTTGGAAAACCCGGTTTTCGACAAAGTCGATATTTTTTTTATTTTCATCAAAGCCATCAGGGCTAAAAGTTTTTCAGTTTTTTAGATCAAAATAACAAAAAAATTTAGCTACCTTTTTTACGGAAACGCCTATTTTGTGCTAAACTTTTGGAACGCATTGTAGCACTTTAAAATGCTTTTTAAGCGAAAGCGGTGTTATTGATTTGAGACCACGGTTGTGCAGAGCACAGAGAAAGAGAGGAACCGCTGACTTGGTTGTCTGACCGGCTAAAGGGGTGGCCTAACCATCCGGTCTTCTTTTCCCTATTTTCCCCTCTACACCCAACCGCCTCTCAACCCACTGGAGAACGTCTCTCGTTCTCTTATCTCTCACTCGCCATCCCTCCGCCGGTTCCCCCCAGAAATAACCCCCGTTTCCCGTTCACCATTCCTGACTATAATTTTTTTTCCAAAATTTTCCTTTTACTTATTATTTACCAAAGTTTCTATTTAGAGTTAAACGATGGCAGACACGTCCTACAAACCCGAACTAGGCGAAGAAGAAACTCAATGGGAGACTTTGTTCAGGTATCTTGTATAAATAAATAAATAATCCTATATAAATAATTTTTATATATTTTAGAGAGACTTTCATAAGAGATGAAGAGACAAATGTGGCTCTTGATACTTTAATCGATCGGTTTGAAATTGAAAAATTCATATTTTTGTTCAAGCTTTAGATGTGGAAAAGAACCAAAGGGACGAAAGAAGCCAGCTAACTGGTAAGTTAAAAAAGTTAATTTAAAATCTCTTGAAAATCCTAGGACACAAGCTGAAATCAATCTCCTTTACGAGCTTTTCTTTCCCCATTTCGAGGATTGGCGGGCGATAGATGTGCAACCATGAATGTTTTGAGAATTTGAAAAAAAAAACTATTAATCTTTATCTTTAAAAACTATTCATCTTTATCATTTTTTTAACCTCATCAATTTCAGCAGTGAGATTTTTTCGAAAACGAAAACTCCTAAATTTTCTTGCAGCTAAGCTGAAAAGCGCAAATTTAAACGATCCGCCAAAAACAACTGTTCAAGTAACGTTTTTTCCATTTTCCTTAAGAATATGATTTTCAGATTGATGACAAAATTAAAAATGATTTCAAGAAAATCCGTGAAAAGATCATTAGCGAGGTGAGAAGTTGAAATAAGGCTAAAAAAAAATTTTTTTAGGAAAACGGAAAACGAACCTATCCGCTGCCTGCACCATTGGATCTTTTCGAGGAATTGGTGAGGACTGATCCGACGAAAATGGATTGGATTAAAGTCCGATATCTCGATAAGCGAATAGGTTAGTATTGAAATATTATTGCTTGAAGCTAAGTAGCTAAGCTAGTAAGCTATTCTAGGCAATGATCCAGGCTCGAGCTCGGGCTGTATTTCGCTTGACGATGACAGTCTTGAAGAATCATCGCAGACTTCGAAAGCCATGGATCCTCCAGTTGTGCAAACCGTAAAGTTCAGGAATGACGATGATGAGAAGGACATTGTTTATATTGAAGAAATTCTAAGTAAAGCAGAAAAGTTTGATTTGGGAGAGTATTTTTCTTTTAGACAGCAGAGGAGCGCCATCTGTGAATGAAAGACGCTCATTTGAGACTACAAACGCTGCTTCTTTTGCGGTATGAAAAAAAAACGATATAAGCTTACTAATTAAGCTTACTTTATGTTTAAAAATCTATTCTAGTTTAGCTTTATGTGTTCATCTTATTCACTATAAGTTCTGAAGTGTCAGAAGATTGAGAAGAAAAGAAAAGAAGAGAAATAACGGATTTTATCTAGTTTAATGTTGAATATAAGAAATTTAGAGCACTAATGCCAGCTCTAGCAACTCGTTTCGGTCAACAATACCAGCATCGTTGGCGAATTTTCAAAGAAACCTCGATGAGACTATTGAAAAGAATCAGAGCCTCAGCTCAAAGCAGGTAACAATTTGTTTAGAAATAAAAATGAGAGAAGAAAAATAGAAGAAATTTTAGATAATGAATATGAAAGTTATTCACAGATAAAAGAAAAATTCAGGTTGAAAATGAAGACATTGAGAAAGCATTTCAACTTCAACGTCTTGCCAACGAAAAGCAATCCTCCCAGCTCATTGAAAGGTAAAATTTCAAAAATAGTCTATGATTATAAGAATATCTAGAGAGAAAATGCTGCTCAGCCTGAAAGAGGAGGTGATGCACGCAAAGCTTGAAGCTGCTCGCGCCAAAAGAAGATATTACGAAAGAAAGACGCAACTCACTTGCTCATCCATGAACCCGAATGACATTTAGATTGTAATCCCATTTTATTTTAAAAGCAACCAGAAAAACCCACCTAAGGGGTTTTTCTGGCTAGATGTTTTCGCCCGTTTCTTGTCGCCGTTTCTTGTCGCCCGTTTCTTGTCAAAGTCGAGAGCGCGCTTCTCTCCGGCCCACACCACCTGGGTTCGATTCCCGGCTCTTCCACCCAGCTTTCATTTTTGAAATTTTTTTTTGAGTGGCACAACTACAATATACTCTCAGGTTTTCTAAAGAAATTTTAGCTTTATTCGTAAAAACAAGGCCGAAAAAATTCCCGTACAGGCAAACACTGCTCTTTTATATATAGTAAATTGAGATTAGAACGCAAATAGGAATTTCGATACAACGAATTTGAGATTCTAAAACGTGGCCAAAATTTTTGCTTAGCTGCCCCAGCCAAATGCAATTAGTGGCTGTCTAGGGCAGCTACGCAGAAAATTTGAGCCACGTTTTAGGTTCATTATATCGAAGTTTTCGGTCCCAAGCGATTCGCTATATCGAAGTTCGACTGTAATGTCTAAATTATAATCCCATTTTAATAGCCCTTTAATAGCATTTCACTTTGAGATTAAGATTACTCAATTTTCGATTTTACTTATTTATTTTGATTCATTTACAGGTTTAATAAATAAATTTCCGTAAATAAATAAATAAATAAATATCGACAAACCTTTCCCGATTTCCACATCAGTTAGCGAGATTTTGATGAGTAACTTGAAACGATTTGAGTCGAGAAAATCAGAGGATTGAATACTGAAAGTTTTGATTTAAAAAGCTAGACTCAATTGAATTATATTTTGATTTTCAAGAATTTTCAAGAATAATACGAACATTGGCCTTCTACCAAGCCGGTGATCTTTTCGCCGAACCGAAGTGACAATCAGCTGATCGCTGCATGTGAACACGCATCTTTGTCTAAAATTTTGTAAACATTTATTACTTTATAACAAACTCATACTTTTAATTATATTAAGCAATAATTTTTTTGTGAAATCTTGAAAATCTAAATTTAAAGTTTTAAAGTTGAAAAAGCTTACCGATGACCATCCCTGCCTTTCATCGTCACCATATCGTAGCGAAGAAGAGTTCGACCAGTGGTTACTAACTGAAAAGAAACAATAAACTCATTAAATTCTTTTTTTCCCAAAGAATACACACATCTTCAAGTCCATCAACGATCGCCTCAATCTCTCTCAATCGTTGCTCAGCCTGCTCGTTTTGTTGTTGCTGTCGATTGATCGCTACCGCCAATTGATGAATATGTCGCTGCGCTCGCAGCATCCTAAATGCAAATTTAATAATTCAAAAAACTTTTTCACTTTTCGTGATCGGCATGCTCAATCGAGGTGTGCTTCAAGAGTTGATTCAAAATCAATTCGTATCTGAATTCTTGGACTGCTGAATTGAATCATCGTACTTACCGGGGCACTCGTTGAATTGGTGAGATCAACAACGCATCCAAATCGAGTTTATTTCGATGATCCCGACAGCAACGCTAAATTGAGTTATTTTTGTTTTAAGTTTTTACTGAATAATAATAATAATATATACTTTATTTCAGTAATAAAGCGTAAAAAGCTCCACAATACTTGATAATATTTCTCGAAAGCCGGCTTTTGTCGAGCTTGTGCGAGGGCGGCTTTAGCATATTTGAAATTGTCGACAAAGGAGATGTACGTTTCAATCATCGATTGTTTCGAAAACTGAAAAACTTGTCAAAAAAAATTCTTTTAATATAAAAAATAACAATGAAATAAAACAATGAATTTCTTTCACTTACATGAACCAAAAGCACATCACCCACAGACGACTCGGCATGCCAGGATTCTAATCGATTCGACAGTGAAGATAATAAAACCTAAATTTTTAGATAAATTCAAATTCTACTTTATTTATCAAATGATAATACAGTCGAACCTCGTTAGTGAACTATTGGGTTGGGGAGAATGATCGCCCGAAATTTAAAGAAACTTTTGCACCAAAACTTTCACAAATGTCCACATTTCTTTACAATTTTGTAAGAAATAGTGGACCTTGATGAACAAACGTGTATTAAGAAGGTTTTTTTTAAAATTTTAAGAAGGCTTTTGGGTTCCACAAGCTTTTCTTTTGGGTTTTATGGTTCCCAAACACAGCTAATCAAAATGACAAAAAGTCCGACTCATTGCTTGAACAGTTTCTTCCACATAAACCTCCTTTGGTGTTTATATAAAAAAGATAGAACACATTCAATTACATGTTACCAAATTTTCAGGAAGACCCTCCAACCGTTTACTCTAGTGACAGTTTATCGATTTTGTGAAAAATGTCCTTTGTTGAGTTGGGCGCTGTTTGGTTCTCTTTATATTATTTTGTAGAGATTAGTTACCCTTCTACGGTATCAAACGCATATCATTTGAAAAGTCTGCTAAGATAAGTTTTAGAAATTTCTTTGATTTTCGGCGCCGACTCATTCTCCCCCACCCAATATGAAAGGGATCCTAAAAAACCGTTCACTATCCAGATTTGATTAGTACTAAATCAACTCAAAGGGATCCTAAAAAAATCCGGTTACTATCGAGGTTAGTTCACTATCGAGATGCTCACTAACGAGGTTCGACTGTATATTTAAACGCACCTGATGATGTGCTAAAATCTCGGGAATTTTATAGAATATCTTGTCCACTAGGCCCGCCTCGATCAGCGTGATCTCCAATGGTCGGCGAAGGGGACGCATGTATTTCTAAATCATTATTTAGCCACTATATCCAACAACTTCTTATTTCTTCATATATATTTCTTAAAACTATATCCAACTTACTTGTACTAAATATTCTAAACCCTCAACGAAAGATTTCTCGGTGTCAAAGAGCTCTCGAGCGGCCAGCGTGCGCATGCTGTTGTGTCTAAACTTTTGAGATCTATTTTGCTTTAGAAGCAGAACATTTACCGTAATTATTCTAATAGAAGCACTTTTCATAACGGGGTATTGCCGCGTAGTCTAACTTTACACGCTCCGTTCTCCGCGCTGCTTTAAGCTACAATGTGCGCTTTGGTGTCAAACGATAGAGCATTCTAATCTAGTATTTTTTGGTACTAAAAGATTATTGCCAAAAAATGACTTTATAAAACGTGCTATTAGAATAATTACGGTATCTTTGTTCATTGTTCTAAACAAGTTCTATATTGTATATAAGTCAAGAAGTAAAAACCTGCGCAAAGAAGCTCGGCTCCTTTTCTTCCAAAGCAAGAGATCGGCCTCCATAAGAGAATCCTCTGGATTGAGTCCTGGCTCGCTTTGCTCACCGTCTGGCGGGGCTAACAAGTACGGGCTCCTGAAGAAATATATATATCTATTATATTATTTTCTATAGCTACTTTTTTATATGAAACAAATAAAGACTCAACGATTACCAAGAAATCGACGGATGCTCAGTTTCGGTCTTTTCTCGTTCTTCTTGTTGTCCTCGTCCGTCCATTCTCAAACTGTCCAATAGTCGACTGAATCTAAAAATCTATGTCTTGTAAGCTTTTAAAGTTAAGTTTAAAAAAACTGACCGACTGACTTCTGCTAGAGCGGTTGAGCCCTTTTCAAGCAAATCTCCAGCTGGATAAAGTTCTTCACACACAGCACGTCTTCTAAAAGCTTTCAGTTCTATCTATTTTTGTTATATATTATAATTTAACACTTTTCAATTATCAAACCTAGTAGATCTGGGTGATTTGTCTCCTTTCCTGATCGGTCTGAGTACATCCATCGTTGGAAAAGCTTCAGGAGCGCTGCCTTTTCGTGAGAAGCCTCTCCTCATTTCAATACCATCAGGCAAACGATCTTGTCTAAAAAAATATACCGTAAATACTGTAATAGTACCCCACCCCCCTCGTACAGTCGCGTAGTCGCAAAAGTTTTTTAGTATTTCATTTTTTTCAAAGCGCCCGTACTTTCAAAAAATGCGTCTTTGGTATCAAAAAATAGCTGAAATTCAGGGCTATTTTTTGATGCCTAAACGCGCATTGTAGCATAAACCAATGTTGAGAAAAACTCGTTCAAAGCTAGACTACGCAATACTCCGCACCGTCATTATGAAGGTGGGGTACTATTACAGTATTTACGGTAATTATAAACCTTTAAATTAAATAATTGAATACCTAATCGATGAGAGGAATTGCATGACTCCTCTAGGATGTCCTCTAGTCGATATCCCCGACACTCTCCCTTCCGACGCACTCTCAGCCACCGTCGATGAATCATTCTCCGATTGACTTCCTAAATTAAAAAAAATTAAATTAAAATCTAAATATCAACTTACCAGTTCTATCAATCGCTGTTTTCCCACTCCCTTTCAAAACTCGTTGCAAACTTTGAATACTTTTCGCGGCGTCTCTTGAAATTTTTGTTCAAAGTTTTAAGACAAATTCTACCTGAGCTCTTCAATTTCCGTATTGATCTCTTCTGCATCTGAGACAGGATTTGAAAGAGGCTAAATTTCTTGGCTAGAAAAACTCAAATCAAACAAACGTTTAATGTGCTAGATGCAGAAAATTTCGGCAACGTGAGCAAGAGTTGGCGAATCGCTTCGATATCGATCTAGTTAAACATTAAATGGCTTTTTTTTTAAAAATTCACTTACTTGTGCAGCATGTTCAACACTTGGTTCACTGTTCGTTTTTCGCAAATTTCCACGTTTTCGCTCGACACTGTATCTAAATTATTTGTGAATTAGATGAGTGATAAGTCGACTCACCTAGCTTGACTGTTTCTTCGTTCTTTTTCCTTTTTTCGCTCACTCGTTGCAGACGATAGATTGAAATCGGAGCGACGTCTGAATATTATCGTCTGGTTTAGTTTTTAATATTTTTAATAAATAGGAATGAACAGTGATTTAATACAATCATGAACAAAAGTCTTGAAAGTTTAACAAAGTGACACGGACATTTTGAATAGCTGCTTTCCCGTGTGAGCCGGTAGACATGCGATGGCAATGGTGACATAAACTAGACATTTTTAGCTTTCTAATGAGCTATCACATAGCTTATTTGGTTGCGATTAAAAAAAGTTAAATATGGGTAATCATAGTGAAATTTACACAGTGAAAAGCCATTTTTTAATGTTACCAACATTTAACTTTTTTAATCACAACCAAATGAGCTGTGTGATAGCTCATTAGAAAGCTAAAAATGTCTAGTTTATATCACCATTGCCATCGCATGTCTATCGATTGACACGGGGAAGTAACTATTCAAAATGTCCGTGGCACTTTGTTAAACTCTCAAGACTTTTCACTTTTTGAGCTTTCCAGTAAAGATTTTTGAAAACGGTTTTTTTCAAGTAATGCAAGAGCATATTTAGAATAAATATATTGTTAGAAGTTTCTTCAGAAAATGTTTGAGTAAAAAAAAACACTAAAAAAATAGCTTTTTTCAAATTTCCTAGACATAACTGTAAGCTCACCTTGCGAAGCGACGAAAGCTACTTTGACGAGTACTTGGTGACACTGTCGAGGCTCTTTGTGGAACTCTGTAATATAATTTTTCGAAGAACAGATATTTTGCAAAATACCTGACCGGGGAAATCGAATCCGAGCTATCCGAGTCGTCGGCTTCATCGCCACGTCGATTCACAGCAAGATGGCGTAAAGACATTAGCCGACGATCATCGAGCAATTGAATTAGGAGAAACTTTTCGATAAGCGGTATTGCAAAGTGAGTACACACAGGAGAGCGGTGATTGTGGTCAACAAAGAGAAGGGGTAGGAAGTGGGGAGCAACTGACTCTCGATGCTCCTTCTCTTCAATTCTCCATCTTTCCAAAGCAGCTGACCCTCATCACATATTGTGATTCAAAAGGTGTTCCCTTTTCCATTCATTAGCAAATGTTCGCGTATTTCTCTGTTGTAAATGCTCTCCACATTTCCTTGTTTTTCTCTTCTGACAACACGAAAATTTATCGAATCAAAATCAAAATTTAAAGAAATTTTTTGATAAAAAGGCAGTGCTTATTGCTTAAATTTGAAAAAGTGAAAAGATTTACAGAGAAATATGGGAGTGGGACAAATGCTACCTTTTTTTGCGCACCCGGACATTTGCGCACCTTTTTTCTGCACCTTGCCCATTAGCGCCTCTTTTTTCGCGTTTTAAAAAAGCTCTAAAAAGCTAATATTAACCAATTTCTATTCCAAAAGTTGTTTTCTAGGTAATTTGAGAGTGTCGAATTCAAATTTTGACATAACAGTGCGTGTGGAACCAATTTGAAAGACAAAACGGCTAGGTCAAATTACAGAAAATTGTCGATTTTTCTCTTTGTATAACTCCGTCCGTTCGCTTCCACAAGCTCTGATATGCCAAAATTTCGATTCTACGCCCTAAAATTACCTAGAAAAATAATAGAAATAGAAATTGGAATAGAAATTGGTTAATATTAGCTTTTTAGAGCTTTTTTAAAACGCGAAAAAAGGTGCGCTAATGGGCTAAGTGCGGAAAAAAAGGTGCGCAAATGTCCGGGTGCGCAAAAAAAAGGTCGCATTTGTCCCACTCCCGAGAAATATTGCTAATATTTGAAAGGCGAACAAAATGAAAACAAGAGAATTTCTAGGCAAGTGATTGATTGTTGTTCTCTTCTTCGTTGTCGGCCTCGGGCGTCACTTTGACACCACGGCGATCAACAAGGCCAGCTCTGAAAATAAAATTTTATTGATATTCAGCACATTTGACTATCATTTATGACTATATTACCCAAACTTTTACCTGTATTCGGGCAAAATCACAAATATCCACAATAAAGTCAGTAAAGGAAGCACGTGGAAGCAAAAAATGCTAAAAATCGTTCGTTTGATCGTTTTTTTTAGGTACTTATGGGTTAAACATCGACTCTTGTTGCTTTTTACGAAAAAAAAACCTTTGTTGTCTAGCCGGGGATTCGTACTCGAGATATAACTTTCCTTTCTTTCTGAAATTTCTTTGTAAAGTTTTTTTTATAGAAACAAACTCATAGATTGAATCGTAGTTACCCCTCCACTCAGCGTCTACGAATTCGCTGTATTCGGGAAAATCGTGGAAAAACCAGCGCTTACACGCACTCCAGGCCACTTCTGTAAATTCGATTAGCAAAGAATCGCTCGTTTAGTTTGCCTTTTTCTTCAAATTAGAGCTAAATTGGCTAAAATTAATTTGGATATTTGCTTAAAACAGTTTAGCAATTTTTTTAGTTAGCTTCAGCAAAAGATATCGACACTGAAATACCGATTAGTTTGAAATGGACGAGTAGCAATGGGACGACGAAAATGAAAAGCCGTCGACCAGTATGAATGCGTTTCACTGGCGTTAACGGTAACGTCTCTAGGCACATGTTCTAAAAGCAGATAAAAGATTTTCTCCCCAATCTTCCTTCACAAACCAAAAACAAAAGCCCTAGCACGGCGAGAGAATAGAGAATTAGCGGAGTGTTGTAGAAAAAATCGGACGCCTGAATGGTGTCTGCGATTTGAACGGTGAGAATGAGAATAAAGTTGAGGATAGAGGGTAGCGTGAGAAGAATGCTGAAAAAATGATTGCGAAGAAGAAAAGAAAGATGGGTAAGTGTTTAGAAACGAACTAGACACTCTTGTTTGCCAAATAGGTACACATGGAAAGCAGGAGAAACATGGCTGTAGTTCCCATGAAGCAAAGACGATCGATTTTAAACGAAGCGTACAAGAGAAACTCCACCGCGGCCGTGTACTCTTCCCTCAAGTTTTGCAAGTTATTATGTGCTTAAAGCGTCTTTCGCATGGTGGGACCTCTAGCTAGATTGGTCGACTGGCTAAAAGCCCTGTATCTTACTAGCGAGAGGCACCAAGTAAAGGTTGAGTTTAAGCCAATAGGATGATGCCCTAGTAGAGTTTGACACGGGGAATCCGAATCCGTTTTTAGTTTTTCCTGCGGACGTCTCAATCGCCAGATATTTCGCAGCAAAGTTTTTGCATTTGCAGGAATTTAGGGCGCTCTCTAGCGAGCGGAAAAACTCCATCAGTGGTGTCGAAGTGACGCAGTGTGTTCATAGGCAAACGATCTTGGTTCGGAACCGGTTAGTGCCGGACTTTTTACGCTTTTTCTAAAAGATTTGTGCATAGTATAAAATGTAGCTAAACTAATTTAGTTACTTGTTTAAAATTGTAGCCTTACTCTTCTTAAAAACTCAAGTTTCAACACAATACACAAGACAAAAAAAAGCCGGATTGCTGCATAAAGTGGAAAAAGCATGAAAAGCAAAAATATTCTTCACATCAAGGATAAAAGCCGCCTTACCGCAGGGCGATTCGCTGCAACACATTGATGCTGCGTTCAAACAAAAGCAGAATGATGTTGGCGTAAAAAAGTCGCGGGACGAGTTGCAATGTATCCGGTCGAACACCATGCAGACTCAGTCAACTTTTGGAATCATGGCGACCAAAAAATTCAATAAATTTGGGAAATCACCCTGAGAATGTTGTCTCTTTTAAATTTCTAAATCGTTGAGCACAACATAATTGAATCCCAAATTTTTTGGATTTTTTTGTCTTGTGTATTGTGTTGAAATTTGAGTTTTTAAGAAGAGTAAGGTTACAAATTTAAACAAGTAACTAAATTAGTTTAGCTACATTTTATACTATGCACAAATCTTTTAGAAAAACACAAAAAATTCGGCACTAGCTGGATCATGGCCATGGCCGTTTGCCTATGAACACATTGCGTTACCCCGGCACCACCGATGGAATGTTTTCCCTCGCTAGAGAGCGCCCTAAATTCCTGCAAATGCAAAAACTTTGCTGCGAAATATCTGGCGATTGAGACGTCCGCAGGAAAAACTAAAAGCGGATTTGGATTCCCCGTGTCAAACTCTACTAGGGCATCATCCTATTGGCTTAAACTCAACCTTAACTTGGTGCCTCTCGCTAGTTAGTCGGTAGGTCGAGGGTTCAATCCCGCCGGCTATTGATTCTTTTCTCCATAGGTTTTTCCCAGGCTTTTTATGTCTTAATTGCAAAATGGCCTCAATGTTGCGCTCTTTTGAGTGAAATTTCCCCAAGGAGCACGTCAAGAAAAGAAAAATTTTCTGCTTTAAACTCACATTTTGCCGACGAGTGGCCGCAAAAACACGTACTCGTCCACATCGATTGTGTTCAGAAAAGCGACACTCAAATAGAGCCCATAAATGCTTACATTGATCACCAAGTAAAGCGATAGGACTAGGAGATAAGCCTGAAAGGTAATCGGAAACTATTTTTGATCAAATTTATACCTGAAAAACGTTTTCCTTTAGCAGCACTCGAATTCGAAAGAAGCGATACAAGAGAATCACCTCGACTGCACCAAGAAAGACGTAAAACCAGAAACAAACTAAAAAAAAATCAAATAACATAAAGTAAAGCTTCAAAAAAAACTTGCTAACCATCTTCCGATGAGAATATATTTGCCTTTGAGAGACGATAGAAAGGCTCAGCCAACCAATTCAAGAACCAAGAAGACATTGTTGCCTCAGAAAGCTCATCTTTTCATTAGCTTTTCGCATGAATTGCGAAAAAAATGTGACATCATTTAAAAGTTTGTGGAAAGTTGATAGTTTATTTCTAGAGAAAGGTGTCTAGAGAAAAATAGAAGAGTAATTAACGACAAATTTCGACTGTGCTGGGAACAAGGCCCGTGACTAAGCAACGGCCCGCCTCAAAAGAGCGCACTTTTAGAAGGAAACATTCGATGAAAATTATGGAAAAAGGATATCCAACATATCATACTTATTCTAATGACTATAGCATTCTTATAAAGCGCTTTCTAAAATGCACACGCTTACAGTAATCTTGTCTCTGGGTTTATTCTGTTTATAAGTCTTTGATATCTTAAGATTCTTCTTGAACTTTCTTTTTGTAGCTACAGTATACTAGTACTATCCTACAATAAGCTATAGTCGAGCCTAGAGCTGTAGGAACGGTATACTGTGGGTGCAGTGCACTGTAGCTCTTTCTGTCGGAGTTACAGTAACCCATTCCTACATTATACCATCACTTAGGAGCTATTGAAAGTGGTGTTTAACTAGAAAGATTACTGTGCTAATACGGTACTCTTTTCCTAGACATATTTACTAACATTCTCTTATCTAGAGCGTGTTCCTCGCGAGTAAGTAATTATTCGAGTAAATTAGCATGAGTAATTTTTTACTCGAGTAATTGTCGAGTAATGCGTTTTCTAAAAAGTGCGCCTGCGCGAAAAAAATATACAGGGTGACCAGAAATAACGTTGCGGCCTAATTTAGCCTACCGTAAATACTGTAATAGTACCCCACCCCCTCGTACAGTCGCGTAGTCGCAAAAGTTTTTTAGTATTTCATTTTTTTCAAAGCGCTCGTACTTTCAAAAAATGTGTCTTTGGTATCAAAAAATAGCTGAATTTCAGGGCTATTTTTTGGTACCTAAGCGCGCATTGTAGCATAAACCAGTGTCGAGAAAAACTCGTTCAAAGCTAGACTACGCAACGCTCCGCAGCGTCATTATGGGGGTGGGGTACTATTACAGTATTTACGGTATCTGCAATCGTAAATTGTGTAAATCCATATGTAAATTGTGTTCTTTTCCATAAACTCAACGAAAATTCGATCAATTTATTATGATTTAAAAGATTACAAGTTAATAAAAAGCTTAAATACGCAAAAAAAAATCTTTACGAGACCAGCACAATCGTGTTTTTCACGAACAAGGAAATCTTTAGAAATAGATAACAGCCAATCAAATACAAATCATTGGATGAGGGTAAATTTCAGCTATAAAAAATCAAAAATGTATAAATATTAGCACATAGTCACAGATTCAGATACAATGACTCTCGATTTAACGATGTGAGATCAAAAATTTCGATTTAACGATTCTTAAACCATTGTTAAAACGTTCCTCAAATTTCTTGCGTAGCTGCCCAACGAATTGCGTTTGGCTGGACAGCTACGCAGAAACTAAGGGCTTATTTTAGGATTTCAAAATCGTTTTGTCGAGAGTCGAGTGTATTTTTAGGGTTTAATCAACGACGATCTCGTTTTGATGGTGGTGGTGCATTGTAGTCGGGTGGAGGTCCGCCAAAAGCTCCCCCACCAAAGTGCCCTTGTTGAAAGCCGCCAAACGCGGATCCTGGCTCTGAAATAAATCAATTAAATTGATTGATTGTTTGATTGATTAGAGAAGATTTGTTTAATCAGAATAGTAGATTTAAAAATAAAACTTTAAAATAAAACTAACGTTGAGGTCCACGCTCATCATTTTTGAAGATTTGGAGAAGCCGCTGCACGCCTTCAATCACATTTGGACGGGCTCCACCTTGTCCCTGAATTGATAAATTAACACTTTTAGATCTAAGTTTAGATTTGGATTTGTTCTATTTTTCTTTTCTTTTCTTTTCTTTTCTTTTAGATTTATTTTTCAAATGTACTTGTGGCTGGGAAACCGGTGGCGCTGCAAAGGGTTGGTGTTGAGGCGGCGGAACAGACATCGATCCCAATCCGAAAGGATTATTCCCACCAGGAAACGCTGAAAAGAAGATTTATGTTTAATAAGCTTGCATGTAAGAAGCTTAGATGTAAGAAGCTTATATGTAAGAAGCTTATATGTAAGAACCTTATATGTAAGAAGCTTGGATGTAAGAAGCTTAGATGTAAGAAGCTTAGATGTAAGAAGCTTAGATTTAAGAAGCTTAGATGTAAGAAGCTTATATGCTATTAAAACATTACCTGATTGTTGCTGTTGCATGAATGGAGCCGGCACACCGGCAGGCGGCCCACCGACCATGCTTCTACCACCACCCAAAGAGGCCATTCTCTCGCGTCGAGCCGCTTCCAAACGTTCTAGCTCTTGTTGACGGCGTTGCAAGTCTGAAATTAAAGCAATTAATCTAGATTTGGCTAAAGCTTTGTTATAAAGTGCTATTGTGAAACTTGTGCCGATTTTTGCTTGTCCAAAAAGATTTTGTTAGGATTATTTTGTACTAAAAAAGGTTTTATCAATAATTTTCAACATCAAACAATTGGGTAATTTATTGAAAATCTTTCAATTTCTTGAAAACCTTTCAATTTCTTGTTTTCACATCGTCAACATCAACAAACAAATCGGCTAGTCTTTTAAAAAAAAGGTTTATATCTTGTTTTTCTAAAACAGAGTGAACAATTTCAATTTTCTAAACTTTTTACATAAACAAAAGGTCTTTAAAAGTTAAATTTGAAGTTAAACAACAATTTGAAAAACCTTGAGCGTACAATTACAATAGTTTCGTTCACAGTAATCTATAGGGTTTCCAATATTAATTCTCCAATCTTATGGGAATCAATAGACTAGGTTTAGAGATCATTTTGTACAAGTTCAATGCTCAAAAAGGAAACACACACTTATCAATCGGCTCTTTAATTTCTAGATTGATACGATCTACGTTCAATACGGTAACAACTTTAAGCTATTTTTTTTTCAAAACTATTCCGCTGTTGCTTGCTTAGAAACGCTTGTGGCAGGGGAAATTTGAGTTTATCATAAACTCTCGTTAAGTTTTCTTGAAAGAACCAAAGCTGAAATTTGATTCTAATGTCTTGTAGATTCAAAGTGAATGGTGAAGAAATCTTTGAACAAAAACAACTGTTGTCTGACTCTTTTTGGTGAAATTTAGTGATCGAATCGATTTTGAAATATTAAGTTTAGTAAATTGTAAAAATAATCTAGAAAATCGAGTTTATTCTAACTTCTATTCATGCCGATTTTTTTGATAAATCAATTTTGAGCTCAAAAGCTTGAGTTTGAGCTTGAGCTTGAGGTTGGGCTTAAACTTAAGCTTGATCTGAGCCTGATCTGAGCTTAAGCTTGTGCTTGAGGTTAAGCTTAAGCTTAAGCTTGAGCTTGATCTTGACCTTGATCTGAGCTCAAGCTCAAGCTCAGATCAAGCTCAAGCTCAAGCTCAAGCTCAAGCTCAGATCAAGCTCAAGCTCAAGCTCAAGCTCAAGCTCAGATCAAGCTCAAGCTCAAGATCAAGCTCAAGCTCAAGCTCAGATCAAGCTCAGATCAAGCTCAAGCTTTTGAGCTCATAGACTGATCTGCGAGCTTAAAAGTCTTCATAAATCTTGAGCACCCTGTAAGTTCAACCATATAACCTGAATGAGTTGTGGAAGTGTTTGGAAGTAAAAAAAAAGTAAGGTGTACGACAGCTAACATTAAGCTAACAATTAGCATTCGTTTAGAGGCTCGATTCGATAACGATTCGCGGTAACGAAAATATTTTGGGTACAAATTCTTTAATCTACTCTTTTACCTTGATTTTTCTACATTTTTCCTACGAAAAGTGTAACAAAACCGGCCTTCTCGTAGCATCTGTGCCTGGTAGTCTTGGTAGGCAAGTTCCATATCAGCTTCTAGACGTCTCCTCGATTCCTTCAACTCTTCCTCGAGTTGAGCTCGACGTTGCTTCTCGAGCTCGTACAGCTCTTTCCATTTCATACCGTAAACGTATTCAAAACTGTTTGGCGCGGGGAAACGGGGTCCAATTTCGCGTTCCCTAATAAAACACGTTTTACACAAGTATTCGAAGCTTTTTCTAAGTCAGAAAAAGGTCAATGACTGGCTCGGAGTTCAAAAAAAGACATAGTCATGAAAATTCGTCCAAGAGATTTTACAAGCATTGCAAGTCCAAGGTCTTTTACAAGTCCAGTTGCTTTTAGGGGGGATGAAATCTGACGACAGGTTGTTTCAAAAAATAAAAAATGGTTTCCGAGCCAGTGAGCCAGTCCACTAATTAAATCAACAAAGGAGACAGTACTTTTGGAGGTTCGGATTTCTGGGGATCATACGCTCGGCTAAGCCGTCATCCTCATCTTTTGGCTCTTGAAGTTCGGCAACCAAAGGCTTGGGACATCTGAAAAGACAAAAGTGAAAGAAGAAATTCGAGTGACAACGACAGCAATTTACACACTCAGATGCAAGAATTTCGAAGTGGGGTTTTTCAGAAAGTTTCTTGTTAGAAATTTGTCTTAACTTTGATCTAGAAACATAAATCGTAAGTAAGAGTAGATTGTCGAAAAGTTAGATCTACGATAGCTTTGTTAAATATAATACTTTGATCTTAAACTGATTAGAAAATAAAGCAGCAGTAAGGCAGAAAGTTCGATTTACTATCTAGTAAAAGAGCAGCGTGTGTCTGTACAGACATTTTCTCAATCTTGTTCTGACCAATAAAGCTAAAACTTCTTTAGAAAACCTTAGAATATCATGTAGTAATGCTATTTAAAGTAAAAAATGAAAAAGTCGGAACTGAATGGCACAAACGGGGTTCGAACCCGGGCAATGTGGACTGTAGGCAAGCATGCTACCGATTGAGCCGCGCTAACACAGTGAGGCCGGGCTCAAAACAGCCTGAAAAGGTCATGCAACCAGAAAAACCCGTCGTTAGGCGGGTTTTTTTTGTTTACTTGAGCTTAAACTTTGTAGAAAAATACGCGGTAATTAAGAATACGTACGCGGTTATTAAGAAGACTTTGTCGCGAATCTGGGCGATCGCTTCGTTGGCCGATGGTTTCCGCTCGAATTCGACGATTCCTTCACCAGTGGGTCGACCTTTCTCATCAACTACGTGAACGGCTCTTTCGATGTCACCGAAATGCGCAAATGCGTGATAGAGCATCTCGTTTGAGACAGTTGGCGAAAGTTCTTTCACTCGTAGCGCAGCTCCGTGGACGGCGAATCGCACACGCACTTGGCGTCCCTTCACCTGTAATCCGTCCACCGCCTCTTTGGCGCTTTCCGCGTGAGCACGAGTATCCTGTTCAAAGAATGAGATTTATTTCATATTCAGCTACAATCCTTAGCTTTATTTGATTAAATTCTTTAGGAAAAAGGTGACATTTTTTTTTTAAAAAGCTGACTAATCTTTAAAAAAGAATACGATATAGAGGACTTAAATTTTTTTTCTTTTTAACAGTAAAGAGTAGTATTTGGTACTATAATATTCAAGAGTTAGCATTTTTTTGATGAATTTAGCATTATAAAAGTTTTGTTTGAAAAATCGAATTAAATTGGATAAAGAGACTTTAAAGCTTTAAAAAAAGCGGAAAATGAAGTAATTTTGGAAAACAGATTGATTGAGATTGAAAAATTCGAGAAAAAGAATTGAAATTTTCAAATTGTGCAAAAGGAAAATAGAGCTTATAATTAAGATATGTAAGATATGAATCTTATATATGTTACGTCCGAATCTGAGGAGACGTCCATCTCCGATCCGGATGTCCGAATCTGAGGAGATTCATTCTCCTCCGAAACGGACGTCCGACTCAGAGTCGAACGTCCATCTCTGAGTCGGACGTCCGTTTCAGAGGAGAATTGCCAAACCGTACATATTACCAAATTATTTGTGAAGAAAAAAAAGTCAATTGAGAGAATTTCCATTTTAACTTCCTTTTTTATTTGTTTTGTTCAAAACATTCGATTTTGCATTTAAACTATTTGTTCTCAAGATCGGACGTCCGATTCCGAGAAGAATGATCATTCTCCTCCGAAACGGACGTCCGTTTCAGAGGAGAATGAATCTCCTCAGATTCGGACGTCCGGATCGGAGATGGACGTCTCCTCAGATTCGGACGTAACATATATACAGTACTGGACAATGAAATATCATATTTGAAAAACGATCGTCACTTTCGCGCGTCTGTAACTCCCCTGTCTTTGCGTTTAAACTATTAGTGTTATGCATTTTCTGAAAGCTCTTTTCAAGGGCTACACAATGGTAATATTAATATTTAGAAATACGGTAAAGACAAGGGAGTTAAAGACGTGCGAAAGTGACGATCTTTTTTCAAATATGATATTTCATTGTCCGGGTAGTGTATATTCTTTCTTTTCCTTTTCTTTTTTTACCACTTTAATATTATCAGTTTTGAAAAAGATAATGATTTTCTACGAAACATAATTCCTATCTTGGTATAAATCAAACTTGAAAAGAAAGCTTTTGAAGTAATGAAAAATTGAGAAAGACTACAAAAAAAAAGGGAAAATCTTCATAGAATCTAGCAAAGAGCTCTTGTTTTTCATGCAGATCTACCAAAAAATAGAAAACTTTAAAGAATAAAATTTTGAAATCTGCTTTGTTGAATCTTTTAAAGATTTGATTTTGATTGAAAGATAGATATGAAAACTTACAAGTCTCAGAAAGGCAAAACCTTTGCCCGATAAGTAGCATTCGGAAATGTCGCCGTGTGGAGTGAAGATTTGCTTTAACTCTTCCTCTTTCATCTAAACAATATATTAATTTTTTTTTGTCAGAATCTAAAGTTACATCATTTGGTAGATTTCCAATGAATAAACGGCATCGTCCGGTAAACTTTTTCTTGGGTACATCATTCAAAAGCTCATTGTCAGTGAATGGCTGACCAGTCAGCTGAATGTTTCGAGCACCGACAGCATTTCCTGAATGAATTAGATTATTGTTTTAAGCTTATTTTAAAGTTTTATCATATTCCCCAACTTTTTGCTTCTTTCTTTAACTTTTATAGCATAAAATTTCCCCTTTATTCTTTCATAGAAAAAGATTCTCATTTGTGACTTCTAGCTCTAGTTTACTTTGAAATTCTAACTTTATTAGTTACTTAATTTAGAGTAAAACATTTACGGCTAAATTAAAAGTACTTTACGGCTAGATTAAAAGTACTTTACGGCTAGATTAAAAGTACTTTACGGCTAGATTAAAAGTATGAATCACAAACCACGATCATTGCGTTCACCTCGATCACCTCCACCCATCATGCGTTTATCCATACCGTGCATCTCCATCGGTTGTTGATTCGTTCCATTGCTTCGTCGATTTTCACGTGGCGGCTCTCGTCTATGCGATCGACTGAATCGAGTAATTTTTCTTCATTCTTATTGTTTTACCTGTCATCTCTTTCTCTATAACGGTCATCACGGCGATGATCGCGGCCGCTTCCTCCACGGTTTCCCATCGCTCTACGGTCAGACATCGAAACTAAAGCATTTGAGTATGATTATATTATCCCCAAATTTTACGTTAAACAAATATAAAGCTAAAGATGACTTTAGAATTGTTAGATGTAAGCTATGAATCTAAAATAAGAGACTAAAATAAAATAAGATTATGCAAAACGTTTGGGTAGTGATCAAAATAATAATAAATATAATAATAAATAATAATAAACAAAAAGAATCAATTGAAATAAAATCAAAGAATGAAAGAAATAGTTGATGATGGCGGTGAGTTGCACGGACATCTGCGCGTTCTCGCCATCAGCAAGCGTAATTGTCACAGTAGTGAAAAGGACGCGCTCGAAAAACTACGGTAATTGATCCAAGGGTCAACATTGTTGTTCTAAGCCCTTTATTCCCAAATTGAGCGGGTTTTCCGGTGTTAAAAAGTTGAACAATTCCTTTGCGGAAATGTATTCCTCAAAGAAGATCTATTATCTAAAATGATTGTGGCGCTCCATATCTAAAAGAATTGAGATTTGGCTAAAAGAAACGAGAAATCGAAGAGAAACATGAGCGGGCTAAGAACAGAAAGACGATGTGTTCGATGGGGAAAAGAGGCGTGTCGATGGGTCAACGGCGTATTCAGTAACCGATTCTTCGCAGGGCCTCATTGAGGGCCCCTCTTCACACATAGATTAGGCCCGGCGAACGGCTCCTCATCCCATTTTGTTTACGCCTATAACCTGAGATCGTTTTCAGGAATGTTTTTCGAATAAAAGTGAACATTGGCAGAGATATGACATCGGGTGGAGAATGGAATTTTGATGGAAGAACGACTGGAAGACGGAGAGGTGAGTGAGCTGAAGAAACGACACTGTACGAAGTCAATGTTGGAAACTAAATTCAAGAATTTTTGTCTTTACTTCTTCACGTTATCTTTACTTCTTCATTTTATCTTTATATTATAGGCTCAGCTGCCACTCGACCCATCTCCCAATCGATTTCTTCGCACTTTCAAAAGCAGAAACCAGTAGAATGGATCTCCTCACTGATACAAAGATATCAAGATCAAGTAGGGGAAAAGTTGAATACAAAAATTCTTGATTTTAGCTGCCAACATTGACTGGTAGAACAATAGATCGAGAGACAAGAGAACTCCTCAACACCACACATTCATGTATCATCAATGTCAGGTAAGATGAAAGAAAAATCCATCAAACAAACTTTTTAGTAAACATCATTTACATCTAGTACTTTTGGCGTTGTTACGAGTGCTGAAAGCTGTAAATGCTAGCGTGAGTTTTGATGGGGACAATTTTGGGACAATTTTTTGGACAATTTTCAACCCATACCTTTAGCGTTGGACTTCACAAGTGGCACTTTCACAGTCACGTCTTGTCGTCTTGGAGACGCTACTTGCTTGTTTAAAAGAGGTTTTTAAAGTAATTACGGTATTTATTCTGTTTTAGGCCTCTCCACCACCATCTCGAAATGTAGAGCGAGAATGTTGCATGAAAAGTGTTCTCGAAGAGATGTGGGCACTTATGGGAAGCAATCCTGTCGGTAAGTCACTAAACAGATCACAAATGTAATTCCTTGTAGGCGAAAAAGCAATGCTGGTTGTTGGACGTGTTGGCGCTCTTCATCCATCGCTGATGATCTCAAGATACGAGCGAGCACTCTCCGCGCTGAACGATGAAGAGACTGGGTAATTTGAAATTCGATCACTTAACACATTTACGACCATTTGTAATGCTAATGACCGTGCTAATGACCATTTGCCTCACCATGCTATTTTTGAACTTTTGTTATTCATTTCGCAGAAAGCTCTTCGTAACTATGTCCTAGCTCAAGAGGAAATTAGTTGGACGTGTTGGCGCTCTTCATCCATCGCTGATAATCTCAAGATACGAGCGATTAACACACTTAACTTTGTCCCTATCTTCAAGAGGAGATTCAAAGCTATCGAATGACTAAAATAGATTGAATTTTCTTTGGATTTACAACCCAAAACAAAACAGTGAACAGTGAACGACTACTGTAACGACTCCAAAAGGCTGGTGTCACAAATGGGTTAAATAAATGATTTCAGTGAGGATACAGTCGATCTCGCTCTCTCGCACATCACCTTGATGGGCTATGTGACTTTTGAGATGGAAGCTCTCATCCGAATCCTTCAACTAACCCTTCAATTCTGGGCCCCAAGAAAAGAACACGTTGAATCAGTGTGCAACATGTTGACAAGCATATTATGGAGGTGAAAATGGGAAGTGATTATCATAATAAAATGATCTAGATGGATTGAGAGGTGTCCGGATCTGTTCAGCACCTTACAACACAGTCCACAACAGCAAATTTCCGGTAATTTTTTTGCAATCGTTTAACCGAAAATATTTCCAAGAATATGTAGATGTGTGTGATGGTTTGTTTACTGCAATGAATACAGCCGAATTGAAAAGACGAGCAACGTGTTGGCCTGTGCAAATGCTTCTCTTGGCTATTTCACCGGTTTGCTTTTTAAAGTACCTTCTCTTTTTTTCCTTTCTCTTCTCTTGTATTTCCTCTTTCTTCTCAGGAAAAAAGATACCCAATAGCTCAGTCGGTTAGAGCATACGGTCGAAGGGCAAATGATCTGTCCAAGGTCGTGGCTTCAATCCCCGTCCCGGAAATCTTTCTTTACTAATCTATACCTTTTAGTGTTCTCTTGAAGCAATCGCACATGCTGAAACGGATTCTGTTCTTCTTCCACCAATGGTCATCACAAAGGTTGGACATCAAAACTACTATACTACTCTAGATTACCTAATATTGAGCTATCGTAATCTCTGGATTACTCAATATTGAGCTATCGTAATCTCTAGATTACTTAATATTGCTCAATGTAGAGCTATCATAGTCTTAAGGACTCTCTAGAAGTTCCAAAGAAAGCTTAAAGTTCTAAATCTAAAAAGAATATGATAGCTTTGCCTCAGAAAACACTTTGATCTATATAGGCACACCATTCTTTTAATCCAATCTCATTTGTGTAGCTATTTATTGAATTTTAGAGACAATTCGTGGATCAAGTCGTTTCAACAATCGCCTCCTACAACACTGGACAAAGACCAATCTGGTCAGCTCAACTCCAAGCCGCTTGTCACGCTGGAGTGAACCTCTGCAAATGTGCCACCTATGTGAATCTTTCCGATTTCTTTGTGTTCAACGTGGTGCAACAATTGATTGAGCATGTAAAGGTAAATGATTTTAAAAACTCTTTTCACTTTTTCTTTTGAAACTAGGGAGTACTGCTGACCGGCTCTCGTCCACGAGAGATTGAAAGATCCGTGCTTGTCGATTGCTTTGTTGCACTTTTTCGACTCAAATTCGATAACGATGTGTTCAGGTTGAAATTTAGGCAGAGTTTAAGGAAAAAAATTTCATTTCAGAGTCTGTCTCACTTCAAATCAGCCGATTCTGCAACTTGTGCTCGTCGAAGCACTGCACATTATCGCATCAGAGGTGCTGATTCATTTGTAAAAGATATAAAGATAAATGTTTCATGAATTCATCTATAAAATTAGAAAACAATCTATTCTAACTCAAAATTCTAGCTCTTAGTCTTTTGGCATTGATTTTAAAGATAAAAACTCTAGGATCGAGAATGGCCACGAAGGTGGAGAACTTGGTGGCCAAAAATCGACATGGTTATGTCAAGATCTGATCAATTGAGAACACTTCTTATGCAGGTTTTTTTTTGGATACAAAGCTTGTAACTAAAATTTGTAGGTTTTGGAGAAAGTTGTTGAAGCGGATCCAGTCCCATCGGGTCATTTACCCCTTTCGGTCAGCAGGGTTGGTGGCTCGTCTGAGGTGCGGCCACCGATTTCACTTCTTTATGTTTCGATTTCACTTCTTTTTACACTTTCTTTTCGTTTCTCTTTTCGTTTCTTTTTTTTAAGAATCTTCTGGCATGTTTTTAGAAGAGATCTATTGGGTTGATGGAAAAGTCCTTTCCGATTTTTTGGGAGAGTACCCTTAAATTTGTCGAATTTTGACGTTTTATAGCTCATCTTAAAGCTGAATTCAAGACGGATCGATTGGTAAAAACCGTTTTGAGATATCTCTTTTTTAAAAATTTTTACAGCTATTTTAGTAAAGGGCGGCAGAGCCAAAAAGTGGCTGTTTTCACGTTTCGTTAGTTTTCCGTGCAGAAACCTAGGCTATAAAACGTTAAAATTCGACAAATTTAAGGTACTCTCCCAAAAAATCGGAAAGGACTTTTCCATCAACCCAATATGTTTGAAAAGTTAATGGATTCAGAAAAAAAGACATGGATATGTCTCATGGATCTCATGGAGATGGATATGTCTCGATCTCCTTCTAAAATGTCATGCATTTGAGTTAGAAGCACGTGTTTTAGAACTGAAAATGAAAAAGCATTGAGAAATCTATCTACCTTTTTTTAAAAACTAAGTTTTTCAACTGTTTTCCAACAGTTTTCCGACTGTTTTCCGACTGTTTTCCCTCGATTATGTCTCCTTTTTCTATCAATATTTCGTTACCGTGGTGGCCGCACCTTTCGCTTTTAATTTCCTTTTTTGGAAAGTCTTTTTATGAGTTCTTGTGTATTTAAGGAAAAGTTTTATAATGATAATGATTGTGGGTTTAAAATTTCAGTCATGGCATAAAATGTCGGGTCGATGGAGAGTGGAAAGGCCGAGTTCGGGCTCGCTCGGCTCTTCGCACGGGGCAATGACACCAGCTGGTCAGCTATTACTTTAGCAATCTTAAAAATCTACTAAATACAAAGAGCTTGGCAAAAGTTATTTATTTTAAAGCTCGAGTCAGTTATCAAGAGTTCTAGATTGTTCGTTGCACACGATTCTCTTGGCGATTCTTCGTCTCATCACCACTCAGCCAACATTGCTCATTCGGAATCGGGTATAGCTTAGCGTAGCACTTGAAAAATTATCTTTTTTTTGCAGATTACGGTAGATGAGGTGTGCATTGAGACAGTTGTCTCGGGATTAGTGCTTTTAATCGATCATCCAAGTCTACACACGCCATCTATGCAGGTTCCACCAAATGAATGTTGATTTTCAAATAAAGAAACGAATAAATAACTTTAATAAATAAACTAATTTAATAAACTAATGAAATAGTTTCTAAATTCTCATTCCAGGCTCTTCTCGCTTTACATACAGTCATCCCTCAATGGAACACTGCAAGTCCACAAGCCGCTTTGACTACTTTCTTCAGCGTCAGGTTTAGTCAATCGTTTTCTACCCTAGCAGTATTATTATAAGATTGATTCAACTCAAAAACAACTCAAAAACAAATCAAAAACAAATCAAAGACAACTCAAAGACAACTCAAAAACAAATCAAAAACAAATCAAAAACAAATCAAAAACAAATCAAAAACAAATCAAAAACCATTCATTATTATTATAAGATTAATGATTTAAAAAATAAAACAAACAATTTCAGCTCACATATGCTGTTCGCCGTCTGCCAAAAGCTGATCCACTTCCAGACTTCATCCGCCGAACATGTCATCTCATGGCTTCGAGTCTTGATTCAATGCAGGTCAGATTTACAAAAAAAAACATTTAGATTATCTTATGATTTATTATGATATCATTAACTTTAACCACTTTCCAGGATTGATTATCTCCGTGAAAACTATCATCTGATCACCGAAGAAATGATGGACGGGATCACGTATCAATCGCTTGTCAAATTCGAGGTTTTTCTTCTTAAAGCTCATGTCACAAAATTATCTCTTTATCTACAGTAATAAGAACAAAAGAAAAAAAAGTGAACTTTTTTTTATGTGGTTTGCTACTTGTATGTGTGGAATTGTGATGCCGATTTGGTGCAATGCTGCTTTGCACTTTTCGCTCTTTACGTCGAACAGGGATCCCTTTTGCCGAATCTACAAATCGATCTCTCCCTAGCTAGGTGGCTTTTTTTTTTTGATTTCGAGCTTTCAGCACTTTTTGAAAGATCAATTTTATGGGTTACATTTGCTCAAGTTACAATTGTGAGTAGAAGTCGAATTACGGGATAAGATCAATGAACCTCAACTATTGGGTTGGTGAATTGAAAACTGCCGGCTATTGTCATATGTGACAGTTTGAGCACTTTCTTCAAAAGAAACCCATTTTGGTGTCAATGGAAAAGTTGTAGAGAATCAAAAATAAAGCTTGTATCCAAATTTTCAGAACGATTCAAAAACTGGTTTTCAAGAAATGTCAAATTTACGAATTTTCACAAAACTTGCATTTTAAGCGAAACTACTAAGTGTATCTTTTTGGAAATTTGGCTATAAGCCTCATTTTTGATTCTCTACAACTTTTCTATTGACACAAAAATGGGTTTCTTTTGAAGAAAGTGCTCAAACCGGGACAGCTCGACATCTCCACTCCTCCATTTTTGAGTCTCACACTTGTCTCACGCACAAACCCAAATCAAAACAAAATCCTACTACGAAAGAGGAATCCGCAAATTGCCCGTAAAATGGGCAGAAGGCGTCAATAATAATGGAAATTATTTGGAATGAATTTATGGTTTTATGTTGAACAAATTTTAGTTCGAAGTCTGACAGTTTTCAATTCACCAACCCAATAGTATCACCAATTTGTATTCCCCTCCTTCTTAGCGTTGCCTAAAGTACCACTTTTACAATCAAATTTAGATTTTAAGTCTAGTACTAGTTTAAGCTACAGGATAATTCCAATTTTTCCGCAAGAAATCCTTCAGACACCTCTCATCAGCTCCAAATATCGTCACCGCCGGGCGAATCGCTTTGCAGAAAAGTGTGGCTCGTCATCTGCGAGCGCTCACGCACGCGAACTCGGCTGTTCACGAAGCATGGCATGAAACGCTCAGGTATTAGAAGTTTTTCCTTTGCTCTTTGCTTTATTTTACTGAAAAAAAACCTGTTTGTTGTAGAGTCTGGGAGCTCTTCACAGCACAACTCGTCTCTGGCTCGAAAGATCATGCCGATTTCGTTGATCATGTGACAAGAGTTAGGAATTGAGAAGTGATCATGCTAGAAATCGATTCCAGGTGACTACTGGCACAGCAGTGACATCATCAGCTGATGCAGCTGCTTCATTGGTTGATGCGTGGTCATCGATGAGTGGATTTCTTTCTTCGATTGCTCATCTCATTTATATTAAAGAGCCGAATCATGTTGCTAGGTAAAGATATATTCAAATGCAGTACAAATGTAGTACAAAAAGTACACAAGCAGCTAAATATAGGACAGACAAAAACTCATATATATGAAAATCAATAATCTAGCCGGGATTGAACCCTTGCCCTTCCGACTAACAAGGGAAAGCCAACTGGCTGAGTGGGGAAATGCTATGGTGACCATTCGAAGAATTTTATGCTGAGAACACAAAGAACACTAGACAAGAAAAAGCAAAAGGGGACGGTAACCGGGATCGAACTCGCGAGGCCCTGCTCGGGAAACGAGTTCTCTACCAATTAGCCACAGCTACACCGAGTTCGTCCGGCAAGGAGGCCACTAACATGATGCTATCACCAAATGCTAAGATGATGCTATCACCCTTGGGATCCACATTTTCAAAGTCCCAACAAAACTTTAAACGCTTATAACTCCTGACAGATTGTCATTTAGCAAAAACGGAATATATATTTGGAATCAGCATAAAATTCTATAGAATGGTATAGGTCGCATAGTTGATTCAGCCAGTTGACCTTTTCTTGTAAGATCGGCTCTTAGCCAGTCGGCCAAAGTAATGGATAGAATTTTACGGGGTTTATGCTATCTGATAACGTGAAAAGTTGTATTTATAAAGTTTTGCTGTAACATAAAGCATAACAAGTGATTACGGTAATCATTTAGTTTCATTTCTCGAATCCTTTCCGTCCTCAGAACCGCTGAAGGAAAAGAGGGAAAAGAAGGAAAAGAAAATAAAGACAAATTGGATAAAAATGATGGAACTGGAGGCACAAAAGGATTGATGTGTAAATGCGTAAAGGTTTGTTTATCAAATTTCTCCCCTCATCACCCGGCATCTAGGAGCTTCTTTCGTATGAAGTCTCACCGTCACTCGATCACTTCCTTTTCCATTCAATCGCTTCCGCACTCTCACAACATTCCGCTCATCACAATTTTGTTGAACACTGCATTTACATTGTTAGGTTAGCTTTTTTTTTTGGTTTTCTTTTAAATTCTTGAATTTATTTTTAGAAATTTGCTATCTCGAAGGCAAGTTGTTGTTCTGCGAGTTGACTCCACTCAACAAATGCTTCACGCTCTTCTCCTTCACTCACAACAAAATAGTGAACGATCCATGTTGAATAAAATGGTATATACTTAACTCTGGAGTCAGAGAAACCAAGTGCATTGTGGTGTAATGGTTAGCACAGTTGTTCGGTAAGGGAAAGATAGCGGGTTCGAGTCCCGGCCGAGCACAAGTTTTGATCTGGCAACTATATTTTGAAAAATATTCAATTATTAATAAACAATAAAAAATTTTAGACCTTTACAAAGAAACTCTGTGGACTCTTGCAGTTGATTCTTGCCAATGGAGCGGCTCGACGAATTCCTCCACCACTTCAATCAAGGTTGAATTTCATCAAAAAGACTTTAATAGTTCTTTAATACTTCTTTAATAGTTGAATTTGAATAGTTTGAATTTAAAATGATCAATTTGTAGAAAATGATAATGAAAATGAAAAGAAATGAGTCTAGATTGGTGGAACATCTTTCATCATGCTTGAGCTCATTACCCTCACCGCATCCATTCTCGACAAATCGCACTGAAACTCTTCAAACGGTGCTTTGGGCTTTGACGAAACTCCTCTCTAACATCAGCATTGCTATACCCACTAACACATTCAATAAGTATGTCAATCTTTACCAGCATTATACTAATAAATCCTGTGATCGACACATAAACAAAGCTTTAGACTCTATACTCAGCTACTCGACGCTTTCCAAGAACCATCATTATCCCATTCATCTCCAGTTTTGAGTAGAACTCCACTTGAAGTTGTTAGCTGTTAGAAAAAAATCATCTAATTTATTTAGGAACCAGTGAACAGCGGTGGAGCTGCTGAATTGACTCGACGAACAAATGAGGCTGTTCTGGCTGCTATTGCGGCACTAATCAACGCAAATCCGGATCTAGGTAAGATAAAAGAAAATTTTCAACTAATACAAGTTTAGGAGTTGTTCGAGCAATGGAAACATCGTGGTCTTCTGGGAGAAGAACTCGTGGATGGGCACTTGACGCGCTCAGTCGAGTTCTTCGTGCAGACAGTCCTGCAAGGTAAACTTTGATCTAAAGCTTCAGTCACTGTTCATAGCTAATTCTAAACAACGATCAATTTTAGAAGAACGGGTGGCACTGGTGATCGGGAAGGGCGTCACGGAGAACTTCTGCGTCTACTCACAATGACAACTGAAGATGGAAGCTTACCTTTGGTCAGCTCTCTCGCCAACTCAATTCCTCTCGATTCACCGGTCAGCTTATCAACTAGAATCAGAGTTTATCTATTGAACTATTGATTTATTGATCCATTGATCTATTGATCTATTGATCTATTGATCTATTTATCTATTGATCTATTAATCTATTGATTTATTGATCTATTGATCTATTGATTTATTGATCTATTTATCTATTGATCTATTGATCTATTTATCTATTGATCTATTGATCTATAGATCTATTTATCTATTGATTTATTGATCTATTTTTCAAATCCAATTTCAGGAAAGAGTTTGTCGAGTCGTTGTAACAGCTTTCTCAGAAAAAGGTCGTCTTTCTGAATTGTTATGGGCTGTTCTCTGGACGGAAGCTGAAAGTGCAATCAGCCCGAGTACTCTTTATAGGTTACTAAATAAGTTCGTTTTTTAGAATTTTAAATTTTAGAGGATCTTCCTTTGCAGCAAAATTGATTGGCTACTGTTTCCGGGTATTCGGCCATGCTTATCTAGTAACAACTCTAAGGCCACTCATTCAAGAAATGATGCAATCCGATGCGGCAACTTATGAGATTGAGCCAGAACGGTAATTGATTCAAGTGAAGCTTTAAACAAGAATAAATTAGAATGAGTCAACAAGGATCGCCATCTTCTTCTTCGTCAGCGGTTGCTTGTGGAATTGCGTCAAGTCAAAAAGCTGCTCAACGGGCTTTCGATCTCATTCTACAGTCACTCGAACATCTGCCACCTAAAGTTTTTTTAAAAACAAAATAGCTATAAAAAATTTTACAGTTACGAGTCCTTTGTCGACAACTTTATTTGGTGATCAATACCCGTTTTCCTTCTAGTGGACTCTCAGCTTTGGGAAAAATCCTTTTCTTGAGACTGTTCAATCCAGCAATTGGTTGGTTACGCTACCTTTAATACTCTAATAGAACGCCTTCTCGTACAATCTCGTAGTCTAACTTTTTTTTAGAAAATCATTTCTTTATCAGCCTCTAGATTTTCCCAGTTACACTTTTGTTATCAAAAATATTAGATTACAAGAGCTATCATTTGACAATCAAGCGAACATTGTAGCTTAAAGCAGTGCGGAAAAAAAGAACTTTCAAAGTTAGACTACGCGACTATACTTCGACATTATGGGGTTTTATTAGATTGACGGTAGTTATTCAATGAGTTTAGTGACTCCATATGAAATGCAACTTTGCTCAAGACGTCCTTCTCGTCAATTAAGTCGAGGATTGATGCTTGTGTCAAAAATTCTGCAAACAACTGTAAAAGCTTTGTGCTAAAGTCTTTTAAGCAACAATTAGGTGAATCAACCAACGACGAGTCGCGACAGCTCAATGAGACATTTCGCTGAGTTCATCGCCGCAAAAGTACAACCGGTGAATGAGTGAGTGGTTTTAAAAAAAAAAATAAAATATCAACAAAGTGCACTAAAATCTAAACCGAAAACTTGAAATTCAGCTTCCTCTCGGCCGTTGTGGGTGAAGAAATAGACGAGGAGGCTCTTCGAGCACCGCCTCCGTCTCTTAACGCACATCTCCTCTTCAACGTTCATTCCCTATTTCTTAATGATAAGCAAGAGGTATGTAGCTGATCATAGTGTGTTCCTTTCGGGTAATCGCTTTCTAAGACGCCTTCCAAAGCACCTGGCCTTGCTTGCCTTCTGGCCGAATAGCTTGCGAGTTTCTCTAAAGCGAACGCATATTCGGTGACAGGTTCGACTCCGGCTCGAGCTAGATTTCTTGCTCTTTTTTTGTTTCGGTTTTTGGTTCTTTACTAGATCGATTCAGAGGGTTTTAGTTCACAGTTACTAAGATTATTAGCTTTTAAAAGCATAGAAAAGTAATAAAACTTATTTGAACAATTGAAAAAGGTTTTTAGAAGATCATTACTTGAAATTAGCATCATACCATTACTCGACGCGTTTACCAAGTAAAAATTCCTAAGGCGAATCTATTCAAGTAATTACTTGCTCGAGGAGAATGCAAATATAATCATATTTATCATATCAAATCAAATATTTCAGATTGTGAGACAATTGCGCTACACATGTGCTTCATCGAATTTATGCTCTCGAGTGGATGCGCTCTTGCAAAGTCTTCCCGATGAGCCACCACTTCCACCAGCTAATTCTGAAGGTAACACAGAAATTTGTTCAAGATTCAAGAATTCCGATTATTTCTAGGACTTGATCCAACGCTTCCCTATTTCTATCAACTTGCAACAAACGCCAATGGCATTCCAATCTATGCTCTCATTCTCAGGTTAGATTGCGCTACACATGTGCTTCATCGAATTTATTAGATTAGATTGTTATTAGATTGTTATTAGCTTTATTAGATTGTTTCTGTTAAAGCCTCTCATTTTTCTAGACGCTTGCAAAATGTGGAAGCGGAAACGGCTGTGAAAACGATTTCCGAACGATGCGCGAGAACGAAATGGGTAAGAAATATTTGTGGAATTTCACTGTAAAATCGTCTAAATTTCTCTCAGATTTGCCTTCTTGATGGCCTTTGCTGCTATGATCCACCGCATTTGCAAAAGCTCATGTCCGCTGATTCATTCGCTCACATTGATTCAGGTAAAAAGAACGGCTTAAACTTTTGGCTTAAACTAGCAAAAATTCTCTAGTGTTGGTACTTCATTGTTCAACCCCACTCCTTTCTCGTCTTCACGACCATTTCGCTCTCTTTAACACTCTCCATATTTCTTTTGATCCAATCGGAGCCAGAATCCCACTCGATTCATTGCCCACTCTTTCGCGACAAGTCATGATTGGAGAAGAATATTTAGTTGAAGCTGAACTTATTGGAGCTGAACAAGTTCATGTTTGTTACACTTTTCTAAAAAAAAGAAATGAAAAACAAGTTTTTTAGGTGACTGTAAAAATTGTCGAAGGTCTTTTGTGCATCTCTGGTGCAAGAAAATGGAGTGAACAGCCAGCACTTGTCTCCGATTTTTATCAGTGCTCAGATTTTGAACAGGTTTTAAACAGTTCCGGGTTTTCACTTAAGATTTTCGATTTAGCTTGAATTAATCGACTCAAAAACGGTTTCATTGTTATCTGGGGATACAATAGTGTCACTGAGACTTGAAGAAGCTCTCGAGTTGCTGGAGAAAATCTCAGCCGTTCGAGATCGACAAGCCGATGCTGACACAGCTGCACGTTCGTTTTTGTGCTATTTTTGTGCTTTTTGTGCTATTTTTTTTAAGTAATAGATGTATTACAATAAAAAATTGAATAAATTTTACAGGAGCTCCTTTCTGGACGCATGCTCCGCAACTGGTTTGTTTGGCTCTCATTCAACTGGTAGACATCGACGCCGGGGTACGAGCCACCGCCTACACTCTTCTGCACTCATTGGCCACCACTCTATCACTACCAATCACTGAGCATCTACAAGTTTGTAGTACGATATAGAATGCGGCATAGCGTTACGCTTTACAAAAGGTTAAAAATGCTATTGTTCTTAATCTATGTAAAATTACGTAGATTTTATGATTAATTGTTGTTTAGTTTAAGTTAATGTATTGTACTACAAATGTATTGTACTGTATTGTACTGCTTAGAAAGCCAAAAATCCATTAAGCGCAATACTAGATATACAGGGTGTCCGGAAAAATAAAGTGGTCATCGGTTTGAGTCTGGGGGAAATTTTCTCGTTGATTTTTCAAGGCTCATTGTGGTGTCAGAATTGGTTTTTCCTCAGGCGTCACACAACAAGATCAAGTTGATTTTTTGATGATTTTATGATTGATGATAATTTGATTGATTAATTGATTGATAATTTGTCATGCATCGAGCGAAGAGCTCAAAATGCTCAAAATCAAAATGCTCAAAATGCTAAGCACACTTTTGAATTCCTCTATTTCACCACAAATCTTTTTACTTTTTGTTTCTATAAATTTTTGATATTAGGATCTTGAAAATAAGAGACCCGCAAAAAAAAAAGTCGGTTCTGGGTAAAAGCAGCAACAACCTCTTGTTTTCTCGTTTAAAAATTAACCATATTTTAAAGATTTTTGAAACAACTAACCATATTTTGAAACATTAACCATATTCTTAACGCTATTCTTAACGTTATTCTTAACGCTATTCTTAACGCTATTCTTAACCATATTCTTAACGTTAACATTAACATTAACCATATTTTGAAACATTAACCATATTTTTAAGATTTTTGAAACAGCCAATTCAACAATGCAAACTGAAATTGTGGCTAGAATATTAAAAGAACAAAACGAATTTATAGAAACGAAAAGTTGAAAGATTTGTGGTGAAATAGAAGAATTCAAAAGTGTGTTTTTCATGGATACGTGCATTTTGAGCTCCCTGGCCGATGCATGAGCTTTCACATCATTTGATGATTCACAAAATCATCAAAAAATCGACTTGATCTTGTTGTGTGACGCCTGAGGCAAAAACCAATTTTGACCAAAATCAACGAGAAAATTTTTCTAGATTCAAACCGATGACCACTTTTTTTTTTCCGGACACCCTGTATATTAAAATAGCAATCTTCAGGAAACTCCTTGCGTGTTGGTTCCATCTGGCTGCACTCGACTAGTCAGACCACTAGTCACCTCGCTGATTCGCTCAAATCCAAATCTCCTCGGCACTTTACTCCCCCGAATCCTTGATCATCCAAATATCACTCTAATCGATGCATTAAAGGTAAAAAAAAGACAGTGACACTTGATTTACAACATATTTTAGGACAGTTGGGGTTGTCTCTCCGAAGTTTCGGATGAGATTCGTCAAGAATGCATTGCTCATCTCGTTTCCGCGTGCCATGAGGGAGGCACCATTGCGGCACTGATCTGCTCTTTGGTGAGTTTGAAAGTTTTTTGTTTTTTTTCAAATTTCAAGAATCTCTAGGTTTGGCCAAGGATTGGAGAGCTTGACGAGCGGGTTCTACAAACGACAATCGATCGTCTTTTAGCCGTGTCACCGATCTCGGCAAGCTTGGACATTGTGCAATCACTGTCGTCAGCGTCATCGCTTCTCCCATCACTCATCGTACGAAGATGTATCGAGCAATTGACACAAGCCAGCAGTCCACAGGTTTTTCATGTTTTTTTTGACAACATCTTCAACTTTATCTCTTTTCAGCCAACTCCACCAAGCAGCCTTCCTCGACTTCTCGCATTCCTTCTTGTGCTCACTTTTGACTCAGCCGCTTTAAAACGTGCTCTAAAGATTTTTTTTCTAAAATTTCCAGCTTTTAGTGGAAGCTCATTTACCCCAAATTCTCCATGTGGTAGCCTGTGTTGCTGGGAGTGGGTCACAATTCGTTCGCTATGCTACATTCGCGATTGTTAACAATATCTTTCACAGCTTTGGAACCAACCCCGACTATAAGCTTAATGGTATCTTGTAAAGATCGAAAAGAAAGTGAAAGATTTGTAGATGAAGGACATGGCTCTCTTGGTTTATTTTTGAGGCAACTTTCTTCCTCGGAATCGATGCGGCTTTTCCGGGTGATCGACTGTGATTCAGGGCAAGCCGTCGTGAATGCAGCCATGCAATTGGTTGATCAAGCTGATGGGAAGTAAGTGTAGATTCAAAGAATGAAAGATAGATTTCTTAGGGTCGAGTCGGAAAGCGAGCGAGAGCTAGAGGATGACATGCCAGCTTTGCAACCAGTTGGACTTGGTGATGTTCATCAACTGCTAACACTCATCATTGGAGTGCTTAAAGTATAAAAGAAAAAGAAAATAGTATTACAAAAAGAGATAGGATCTTGAAATGGGAATGGATGGTGGAAGAGCGTGGATCAGCGAGTGGAGAACAGTGGCTAGGCATTGGGCTTTTCAGGTGAAATCTTTCGTTTAGTTTAATCGTTTAGTGACTTATTTAAGTATATCTTTTATCATTTAGCTTTATTATAATGCTACATTATTAAATGAGAAATAAATTTGACTTTTAGGGTTGTGGTGAAATGCAAATCCGGTCCTTGATCGCTTTCTCCTGTCTGGCTGAATCGATTTCTGATCCGGAGATGAAAAACATCATTCAGATTTTGGTGCAGGTATGAGAAAATTAGAAAATTATAGAAAATTAGAGGGGGGTGGGACAAATGTGACCTTTTTTTTGCGCACCTGGACATTTGCGCACCTTTTTTTTGCTGGAAAAGGCCTTAGGAAAAGTCGTAGAGCTTCAAAAATGTTTTCATAGAAGGGAATCGTATGCGTAGATTCCGAATTTCGACAAATCAGACCTCGCTGACAAGTCAAATTTGGGCTAAAAGGCAAAAACTACGCAACTTAACGCTTTTCCGCAGTTTTTACCTTTTAGCCCAAATTTGACGTGTCAGCGAGGTCTGATTTGTCGAAATTCGGAATCTACGCATACGATTCCCTTATATGGAAATATTTTCGAAGCTCTACGGCCTTGCCTAAGGCCTTTTCCAGCAAAAAAAAAGGTGCGCAAATGTCCAGGTGCGCAAAAAAAGGTCACATTTGTCCCACCCCCAATTAGAGAAAGAATTAGACAAATAGAAAATAAAAAAGAAACAATTCTTTAAAAAAAGCTTAGGTGGTGAAACGTCGAGATTGTCTCTCGGCGATGGCGGCCGTTTCCCTCTCACTTATTCGTCTCCACACACTCACCGCTTCAAATTCCCCTATTCACAAACTAATCTTTTGGATAGCAATTCTTATGTTCCAGGTTTGTCTCAAAGTTCCTAACCATATAAAATCGAACTTTTAGCTCGAACATGCAACAATCTACGAATATGCAATACAGCTTTTATTCGCCAATCTCAGCAATCTCGATCATATGGGCGTCTTTGAACACACTACGGTTTGAAAGCTATTCAAATTTTAGTAATAACTAAATTTAGTCATTGGAAAAGTTTGCTATGGAGGCGAGAATACCCCTTGAATGGGATCTCAAAGCCGTTGATCAATGTGCCGGACTTTCATTCAAAGCCAATTTCAACTTTGCATTAGTTGGATATCTTCTGAAAGGTAAAAAAAGATTGAAAATTATTTTATTAAAGTCTTCAATAGGACTTCGACAACCGTATCTATCAGTGAAAGTCGTTCAACTGCTTCAACTTTTACTACGAATCACTGCGAAGAGCAATCACCAGTAAGTCCATCAATCATTTTGTGAAAACGATTTTCTTAAGAGATCCATATGTCTTGACAATGGACAATATTCCTTATCTATTGGCTTTGCTGCCGTTTGATGAAAAGGTTCAACAGCGTTTTCGTGGTTTCTCGACGCGTCGCGAACAGCAGCAAGTTGTTTCACGTCAGGTTTTGGATGCTCCTTGGGACGGAAATCGGTGAGAGCTTGCAAAATATTAGTGAGAATATAAACTAAAAGCAAAACTATAGGCTATCGGCCAGCCGACCAATGCCACACTCACCATCAGCGCCACTATTACCCTCTTCGAGTTCTCCATCTAATGCTCCATCGTGGCACGATGAGGTGGAAAAATTTTCCAGCTTTTTGAAAGCTTTAAAAAAGAATTCTTTGTATCTTTTTATCATTCAGTTATTTTAATTTTGATTTTAGGATGGCGAAGAAGAATCGGGAATGCTTCTCGATCCGACAATCGTTTGCGGTGAACAAGCACAAGCTCTAGCAGTCACCGTTCTGGTAAGGGATCTCTAAATCAATCATTTTTTTAAGGGTTTAAGATACGTTTAGATGCTAAGGTTTAGATGCTAACTTTAGTGTAATTCTAGATACTTTTAGATGCTAATTTTAGGGTATTCTCGCTAAATATACACTACTGGACAATGAAGTATCATATTTGAAAAACGATCGTCACTTTCGCGCGTCTGTAACTCCCTTGTCTTTACCGTATTTCTAAATATTAATATTACCATTGTGTAGCCATTGAAAAGAGCTTTCAGAAAATGTATAACACTAATAGTTTAAACTCAAAGACAACGGAGTTACAGACACACGAAAGTGACGATCGTTTTTCAAATATCATATTTCATTGTCCAGTACTGTAGGTCAAAATAATCATTCAGGCGATCTTGGCTCGATCATGTCCAAATGTGCATCTCATTTTGGATACTCTTCTCGAGGCGGTCACCGTCTTTCCAACAGTCGTGCCCGTCATGTAAAAATTCAAAAACTTCAAAAACTTTTCAAAATTACCATTTTCAGTGAATGCTTACTCGATCAACGAATTGTCGGCCTTGTACAATCTTGTCAATCAGCGCCAATGCTTTCCACGGTTGTTCGACTTATCGGTAAACTTACTTATTAGGAAATTATATTGAAATTTTTAAACTTTCAGAAACATCAGCATTGGGCGAATCCGGCTCAGGCCCTCAGCAAGCGTGCTCCTTTCTACAACAGTGTGGTTTCGCTGGACTCTGGAGATATGCAGGAGCTTTTCTCTCACCGGTAAAACATAGACTATTAGGATTTATGAAACTTTTATCTTGTTAATAACCATAAATTTTCAGCGAGCTTCCCTTCAAGCGATCAATGCAAATCTTTGCTCTTGTTTGGAGTGTATTTTGGCTTCGATTTAACGCAAAAATTCTTTTTCTATTGCTCTTTCACGAATGCTCTTCTTGATCTCAAAAGATTGATTCTCTTTTTGTGCATGGATTGCTTTTTCTATTTTTCTATACTTTTATTTAACATTTGTCATAATCGACGATCAAGAATATGTGGTAGGGATTGAAAATTCTAGTCCTTTTTTTAAACCTATACAAAATTTGAAAATTCTAGTCATCTTTTTTTCAAGCCTATACAAAATGTGAAAATTCTAGTCATCTTTTTTTCCCTTTCACCGGTCTCAAGCTCAGCTAGTCAATCTATTTCTCGATCTCAAACGATAGAAATCCTTTTTTTCCTTTTTTTTCCTTCTTGAAATCAAATTCTATTGAATCTTTTCTAACTCTTTGCAATTTAAACGAATATTTTTTCGGTGCAGTGAATAAAATTTTAGTTTAACACTTTACTGGCAGAGTAATTTGAGAGAAAAGTGAATGATTGATTGGTTATTGATGTTATTGATGTTATTGATTGAAAAAAAATTGTAACTAAACAATTATTTCCTGATGCAATAATTGAGTCGACGAGAAACCGCTATCGGCTAGGCCACGTTGGCAGGGTTTCGCAACCTGTCGATTTTTTGGCAAAAGATGGCGCGATTCATGTATCAGCTGTGCTCTCTCGTCTCTCTTTCCCATTTTTTTCTCTTCATCTTTCCCTATCCGAAAATTCTGAAATCTTGTGTGGTCTCACAGACAAAACTCCCCTCACTCTCCTCACTCATCCCACTCTTTCACCCTGGTAGGCGTGCCCAGCCAATCACCACCCATCACTCTCCCACTCGCACATCGGCATAGCTGACGTGTCCCAGGACAGCTGACCTCAGCCTCGCTGCGATCTGGAGAAGTCGACGTGTCCATCCCAGCAGCGGCCCCCTCCCAAGGGGTGCCTCTCACTTACAAATCCTACCATGAATTCTACTATACGAAGAGTCACCACTGTACCCCCTAAGCAAGGCCCTTTGGTGAGTTTAGAACGATCTTCTTGGTTATATGCTAATTTCAGACGACACCGCGAACTATCTACCTCTTGCCAGCTGCTAACAATGTGCAAGCACCCGTTCAACTTCAGACTAAAACACTTCTAGGTTTGGAATGAGATTTTAAATAGAAATGCAAACGTTTAGCACCCCGTCCATCTGGGGTCTTGATCCGAACAGCTCCCGATTCAATGGTGATCAGACAAAACCGGGTCCCAGAGATGGTCAAGTCCCCTTCACCAATGAAGACCGAAGTCACGCTGAAGAGGTGAGAAAATAAAGATTGATTTTAATTTATATAATTTATATAATTTAGAGCCTCAAACATTCCCATCGAGGAGATTCTCAACGAGACATGCAGTCAACCAGCAATGCCTCGAAAGAGGGAAAGACTCACTCATTTGAGTGCTGAAGAAAAGATGAATCGCCGAAAGCTGAAGAATCGTGTGGCCGCACAAACGGCTCGTGATCGTAAAAAGGAGCGAACTTCACGTCTCGAAGACGCGGTTCGTCGACTTTTCGATGAGAACGAGCGCTTGCGAGCCGACAACGCGTCATTGAGAGTGCGCATGGATCGACTTGAAGCACGGAGTGAAGCCGAAAACGTGAACGGAGCCAAGTGCATGGTAAGATTTGTGATTTGAAGATTCGAGATTACTCTTGTTTCAGGCGACGACCTTTGGATCAGCCGCATCCATTAGTGGACCCCAGCAGAGGGAACAGGTCAAGCCACGCACCGCACTTCCGACACTTTTGCAGAAGGGGGGAAACCTCGTCTGTCTAATGGCGTTGCTCTTCTTGATGCGCAACAGCTCGAGGACATCCTCGCAGAGTTACAAGAGGTCGACCTCGACTCGCTGTACGCCGACGTGCTTCAGGACGAGTGTCCACAATCAGGTAACTAATAGATGTCCAATTGAGATAGAGGCTTAAAGGGGTAAAATTTAAAGGCAACAATTATCTCAAGCTTTTGTTCAAGGATTGTAGCTTTTTAAAAAGTACAAATTTCAGCCAGCACCTCGTCGGTTGAGGGTGGGTGTGAGTATTCGAGTCCGAGCACCCCGTTCACCATGGGGTCGAGTGAGCTGATTCCATGCGATGAGGATTTCTACTCTTCGTGCAGCACTTCCTATCAACCCCAGTATAACCACAACCACAACTACGCCGAGAACCAAAGTCACCAAACACAACATCAACCAACGCTTTATCATAAGGACGCTTTCGAGTATAACTTTCAGGTAAACAGAAAAAAGAAATGTGAGCATGAACAAATGAGATTTCAGTCAACTCAACGTGAACTAGTCCCAACCACAGTCGAATTCACATTTGAATTGGATGAAGAGCGAAAAGATTCGATCCTCTACAGTGATCCCCTTCTTTCCTCTCCATCAAATCAATCTCAATCCGAATTCTTCAGTGACCCTATTTTGTCTCCTTATGATAATGAATTTACCACCGAATTTTATTCATTGATAGAGTAAATACTTCCTTCTTTTTTCCTGTAGATAAAATTGAAATGGTCGGTGATCTTCTATCCTCTATTTGTACAATTTCCAATGCTGCACGATTATTGCTATTTTATGGGTTTGTAAGTATTTCCTCATCTAATTTATGAAAACTGTAATAAAAGCTTTATTTATCTGATAAACGGTGAGTAAACAAAAAAAGTTTGATTTTAAAACTTAAAAGCAAACCAGGCTTTGGAAATGATATCACAGAGCAACAAATGACACGAAATGTAACGTCTCTAAAAAGAAAACATACAGTTTGTATCAATGACCACTTAAAACGATTGTGATAAAACAAATACCTCAAAAACCATTATTAACCGATCATACTATCTAACCCGTAACAGATATCAACAAATACTAATAGACCTAAATTACTTTCTTACGATATACTTTCTTCCTCGGGCCTCTTTTCGTCATCGTCGCTCATTTGTTCCTCATCTAATTCAGGCATGGCAAATCTAAAACCATAAAATAGCAAAATTGTTTGGCTTATTATGCAAATTTTATCGACTAAAAGTGACCTCAGTATTGCAGCACATCCTGTAAGTAAAGCCAACTGCTCTCCACTGACGTGCATAGACGAGAAGATTAGCACATTTGCTCCCTAAATGCTTATTATACGTATAACAACTAAGAAATTACGTTTTGCCGTGCACTTTCAACAAGCTTTACATATCTTTTCCTTGTCGCGATGTCTTGTGACCGAAAAAGCGAATCAGCGATCAACAAGGTTTCGATGGCTTGCTCGGCATTAGCATGAGCTACATGTCTAGAATTAAAAAGTCAGCACAATGTCAAATCAAAGAAGAGAAACTCACTTGTAGCCATAATAAGCGCGATCTGGTTCAATCGACATATATTCGAAAAACTGCTTCAATGCTTTGACCTCTCCTTGAGCCTAAACAAACGATAAAACAATTCTCACACTAAATCACCTTTGTGTCAGTTAACCGTGCAGCGACATTTGGATCTTCCAAAACCTCTTTCAGAGAATGTTTAAAACCACTTGATGAATGTGCAAGTAAAAACTTTCCCTAAATAAAACAGACTTTTCTACTATCAAATTGACCACGAACCTTTTGTTCTGAAGTAAATTTCTTGCCTTGATTATCAGCATAAGCTACCAAGTGATCCATAAATTGCTGATTAAGAAAACCTCTTGAAGCTATCAAACAACATTTCACAATCTAAAGTTGTTTTCTGTTGAATGTAAGAACATATTAGGTACTCTACCTTGAAGTCCACATGTTTCAGAAATGCAGCTGCTGTTGCATCCAAAAATCGAATTATTCCTTTTTCATGCTGTGAAGTGAAACCCTTCCTCTTTCGTGGAACCTAAAAAAATATTTGAAAAGAATTGAAGAATTGAGTCATACTTGCATATCAATTTTCGCGCGGACAAGTGTCATGGAAGGTGTGAGAAGACAAACGTGAGCAAGACCCTCATGAAGCACAACCGCTGCTACATCGGCTTGTGTAGTTGGATCAAGTGCAGTGTCCAACCTTTCTAAAAAAATTTTTATTACTCTAGAGTCTCAAACCAATTTATACCTAGATCAATCGTATCCCATTCAATTTTCTTTAACGTAAACTTCCTAGAAGGTTCCAAATCGAGCGTGTGATAAGCTCCAAGTTTGACGAGATCGTTTTCCTCTCGATTTTTACCCTAAAGCCAGGAATTATACTCATGAATGTACAAATTTACTTTCAAATGAAGCGTCGATTCACTGGGATCAAAATCTATCTTTTCCACTTCAATCGTTAGCCGAACATGCACTCGCTGAGATGACGTTGAACCGGTCGTGCTTTCATTGATCACCTTGATGTGACGTATTTGTGAGGAAAAAGTTTTGAGTGCTTACTTTGCGTATGGTCTGACTCTGGACAATGTCTCCAACCCGAATCAGGTTGTAGATATGCCACATATCTTCAGCTTCATCTGGGAGTAACGTCACAAAGCTAAAAATAATATGCTCGTTTATAAACAAAAGTAATCTGACCCAGGACCGCCACGCTCAATACTCCTTCGTATTTGTTTCATCTAAAACAATGAACAGTAATAAGGATTAAAAAGATTTCAGATCCTGCCAAAATATTCAAATGCATATGTAACATGATGAGTGATACGTTTTTATAAAACTAGAATTTATTGATCCGAAATGTATAAAACTGAAAGAATTCACAACGCTAAAGGAAACTAAATTAGTCACAAACGCCCGTCCAAATTTCAATAGATAAATCTTAAAACCAAAAAATACCTATTAGGGTACATCTGAAAGGGTGCTGGAAAAAAAAGCAAAATTTCATAGAACACAGCCAATAAAAGACTCAATTGTTGATTTTTTGCATTTACTCGAAACTTGTAACTAGAAGAAAGTAAACGTTCTCAAATTTTTGAAAGGAGTTACACAAACTCCTCATTATGCATAATTACCTATCTCAAGCAATAAATGAAACAAAAGTGACTAGATTCCTTTTTAATGAAGATAGTGTATAGACTGACAATATTTCACAGGTTCTATCCATTTAATTGAGCGAAAATTTTTGATGCCAAAGAAACCAATTGGTAGTGAAAAAAATCAAATGCTTGTGACGACTAGAAATGAGGAAGAGCTTTAAATATCTTAGAAAAGTCCGAAAAAGCCAGATCGTTCTTTCTTCGGCGAGACAATCTGTTTTGGCAAGTACCGTCCGTGCGAAATTTCAACAACCTTAACCAACGCAAACATTTTCACTTTAATTTATACAATTTACCTGTTCATAGGCTTTCTCACGATGCTTGATTAGTTCAGACACTTCTTTATCTTCCGTTTTCACTCTTTCAACCGCAGCTTCGAACCTAAATCTCTTGTTATTTTTTCCCCAAACCAAACAAGAATTATTTAGTTTTAAATCTTAACCGTCTCCTCGCTTCCTCAAATTCTCTTTGGAAGGTGTTTAACTCATTCTTTCTCGTGACTAGCAATTGCTCCATTTCAGAAATCGAACTCATAAAAGGCATGGTATCGTTTCCCAGCGGCAAAAATGAGATAGAATATCTAAGAACCATTTTCCTGAGAGTTCAAAGTTTAACTAACTTCACGCTGTTCAGCCAATTATCCCCATAGACACACAATAGATGTGTTCGACTATCCAATAACTGTGCCGTCTAAACAAGTCATTCACAAACAAATAAAAAAAAATGCAAACCTGCGTTTCCAGAAGATCAAGATAATGAAAGACTAATGGTGTATCTTTATCTTCCATATGATGCTTCATAGGGTTGAACTCTCCGATATTGATTTTTTGAAACGGCACAAAATACATGTCGGCTTGAGTGCAGCTTTTCTTCTTTTGAGACTCCTAAGTCTTTCTTATAGCACGGTAAACTAGCTCCTCTTACTTGAATCATTCTTACACCTCCTTCCTTGTCGAAAAGAACCAGCTTGAACTTGCTCATAGACGCAGAAGAGACTACAATTGCAACTCCGTGTTTTTGATGAGACTCGTCAATATCAACGGTGTAAAAAGAGGCTTCCTAAAAATTAAGTACTCGAGCAGAACCTTCAAAAATACCGTATTTTTTCTATTAGAACGACCCTTTTGGAAAGCATCGAAAAATAGAATGACCGGTCATTCTATTTTTCGATGCTTTCCAAAAGGGTCGTTCGATTGGAGCAGGTCGTTCTAATAGAAGCAATACGGTACTTGTTTTGCGATAGAGGAAGAGACGGGTTGACCCGGGAGGAGTTTCTTCGCTGTCACTTCACATTGGGATCCTTCTGAAAGATGCCGTGCTTGGGCCAGAACCTAAAAAGTTAATTTTTTTAAACATAGAACAGAAAAGCTACCTTTGGGCCAATTTGCGTTGGAATGGGAACACCGAGTTTCGAGAAAAGAGCGCCAAATACGCGCCCTGGATACATGCTTGTATATTTCAAATAGTGCATATCCTCTTACCTACACCACCTAGCTCAGAAACATCAAATCCTTCAAAATCAAGTTGAGAGCTACTGGGCCCAGAGACATCATACTGCCTAAATAGAAAGTAAACCAAAGCTTTGTTTAAAAACCTTGCCTGCGTTTGTTTGGATCTGAGAGCACAGCGTAAGCGATAGAAACCTTCTTGAACATTTCTTGTGCTAAAATTTAATTATAGCTAGCTATGAAGAGCGTCATTACCGTGTTCGTCACCAGCATTACGATCGGGATGATACTTCAAAGCCAATTTTCGGTATGCATTTTTGATTTCGGATTCGCTGGCCTTTTTGTCGACGCCAAGCAATTCATAATAATCCTCGGTCGCCACTTCCTTTGAAGATTGTGCAGCGATAGGAGACATTTGAGCCTAAAGCATTTGAATTAAAAAATTGCGTAAGTCATTAATTTTATTGCGAACAATTGGTCAAAAATTTGCACGCTAGCTGAGTTTAGGCATAAGATAAACTTTTAACAGATAAAAGAATTTCTAAATAAATCATTTTTAGCTCTAAAGATAAGAATTCAGGTAAAGGTATGTTGAAAGACCGAACATTGGATTTCTCAAAGCCATGAAATTCCACATGTTGGCAAGCGGCCAAACGTTCTTTGCACATCTCTACTGTAGCGCGCTAAAATGTTTGGAAGGGAAACGATTAAGAATAATGCCCAGACGCAAAGCTAGACTTTTTCTAACGCCTCGTCTACTCTTACTTGAAAACTTAATTTATTATCTTTTTACTAAAAAAATAATCAAGTTAGAAAGTAAGCATGTGAGCTTCAAATTTTACATTTTCAATAAAAACAACACAAACCTTTCTACTTCGTCTTCGCGCGTAGATTTGCAATGGATTCAAAGTCGGCATACCCAACTCTAAACAAATTTAATTTTTTTCAAGAGAATGACGACTAGAAAAACAATAAAGGGAAAACGAAAGTTGTGCTGAATGAAGAATCGATTGCGAGCGTTCAAAATATATTTTGCTTTTTCCGTTAGTGCTTTTGTCAATCATTATCTACCTAAACTGAAAAAACATTCCATCTTTAGTAAAACTTGGACCGCAAATGAAATTTTTACGTAGTTTTGCCTCATTTATTTTTAACTCTGAAGATTCAGCCAAATAAAGAACCAAAAGGACCTTATCGACAATCATCGAGCCGGGTTGGAGAATCGCTGTCGCGATAATGTGCTCGAAATGAAATTTTTTAAATCTGGAAGGAGAATAATTTCTATGAAAGCTGTTAAATGAAATGGTAACCAAAACTATGAAATAAAATTAAAAATATAAAAGGTTTCTATGAAATGGTAGCTAAAACTTTTTCTATTCAAGAAAAAGTCGATGGAGGATCTGTTTTTTTACGTTATGAGCCATCAAGGGCGCGCACCAGTGAGCTTTTTGACGTAGTTTCATTTATTTATTAGAATAGATGGAGCCATCTTTATATTTTGGAAAACAACTTTTCTAGACAGAATTTTTCTTCTATTTTACATGAAAAAAGAATTAGAAGAGTATTGTTGCACTCAGAGTTATTGCAATAAACTCGTGTGTCCGAACTTTTGTGACACCCTGTACAAAGACAAACTGCTGCTTAAAACTGTTACACCTTTTATCACATTGTGCTCAAATTGTAACTACAATACAGCTTTGAAAAGTTTTAGGTAATCAGTGTTAAATGTTATGCGTAATACAATGCCAGATAATGTTATCCAATCGACAATTGGATAACATTATCTGGTTGTAAAGAGAACACCTTTTATGCGCATCTTTGTATGTACAGGGTGTCCGAAAAAAATGATTTTTTTGGGGTCGCAAATTTTGAAATTTTATCATGATTTTTACCACATCTTGACCACATCTATACAAAAATTCCCCGGGGGTGGGACAAAGGTGCATCTTTTTTTTGCGCACCCGACCAAAAGCGCACCTTTTTTTTCGCTGGAAAAGGCCTTAGAAAAGGCCGTAGAGCTTTAAAAATGTTTCCACATAGGGGAATCTACGCATATGATTCCCCTACGTGGAAACATTTTTAAAGCTCTACGACCTTTTCTAAGGCCTTTTCCAGCGAAAAAAAGGTGCGCTTTTGGTCGGGTGCGCAAAAAAAAAGGTGCACCTTTGTCCCACCCCCAATTCCCCATATCACCACCATAAGACAACTGTTTTTCTAAAGTGCCTTTTTTAATTTTTTATTTGTTTTCCTTTTGATTGTGCGAAAATTGAAAGTAAAATCAAATTTTAAAGGAATAAAACTAAAAGAGATAAAAAGGTCAAAGAAAATGTCAGAGAAAGTCTACAGATCGTTGTCTTCATTGAGTTTCGGCGTAAGATCGTTGACCTGAAATAGATAATTTTGAAATACATAATCCACATGTCACACCTTTTCAACAAAATAGATCTTATTAACAATTTCCCAACGTTCAATCTTTTCCAGTAAACTTTCAACGTTTTCAACTCCAGGAATTGTTTGCCGCACGTGCTGAGCAGCATGATAAAGTTCTTCACCAAAATTCCTGAAATTACGGGTTTGTTTGATTGTCTTTTTATTAATGAACTCACAGAACATCTCTCAGCATAATATTCTTATTTGAACGACTGTTTCGCGTAGCTTCAATGTTTTTTAGCCGATTCAAGAGATAGCTGAAACTGCTTTGAAAGCATTTACTAACTAGGACGCTTACACGCATTTCTCGTTTTCGGTAGCTTTATTCCGGTAAACTTCGCCATCCTCCTAAATATACACACTCCACATGATTTTTTAGTAAAAACATACGATCTCTTTCTTAGACTTCATTTGTGACTCGGTGAGATTGTTTAAATCGATTTTGTAGAGAGCAGGGCGACCTCTACCCGCAGGCTGAAACTTTTTAGCGTATCTTGCAGAAACGTTTGTGTTTACTTGACTCTGATTTAAGCTACTTTGACTGTGATTGCTGTTTCGGCTGGTGCTGCGTGACGCCGCCCGATCGTATGGCCGATTCGCAGAGCGACTCGTTCCTAGATAATTATTCTGGTTGATTTTGTATTCAATCAGTTTCGCGGGTCCAACTATTTCCAGAGGCCCTTCTCGGAACTTGCCATTGGCATAACGTGACGGACGGACGTACAGATGTTTTATTTTCTATTTTATGGTTAGATTACTCACTTCCACGCCGAATACTGCGTTGACTCGTGTCACTCTCGTCTCCGGCACCTTGGTTACTGTAATCTTCAGCACTGAAAATTTGGGATTACGTATGCCCTGTGGCTTTTAACCTCATACTGTAGTGAGGAGCTTGATAGTAATATTCAGGTTGTGGCTCCTGACTCGCAAGATTCGAATAGACCATCATTGGAGTCTGTTGTGGGTGAGTGGTTACAGCTGTAGTAATGTCTTTGCTATGTGAATCGCTACCTATATACCTGGTGCGTTGTTGGCGCTAGCATGAGTGAGAGTTGATTCAAATCGGTCATCTTCATAGTAGCCTAAAATGGATCTATTTTAAGCGATCTAATCTGGTCGACCTTCATTTTGATAATTTGTGGTCATTTGGTGAATTTTGGAAAAAAGGTTGAAAAGAAAGTTCTCGGAAAAAGTTTGATTGGAATTTCTGAAAAACGAAACCACCAATTTGAGAACATTTTGTTCTATTATTTACAACTCGACTCCAAGAAATTACTCGTAAAAAAAATGAGTGCAGCTTTCCCGTAAAATTTTAGAGATTTTTGAAAAATTATTATTTTCAAGCTTAAATTCAGCTCAAGCTCTTAAATTCAGCTCAAGCTTTCAAGCTTAAATTCATCAGAAAAACGATTCCTTATGAGGTAAAAATTTTTTGACAGAGCTGTATTTAAAAAAAAATTATCTTTTTTTTCGTGTCATCTTCTTGGCACTGGAGTGTTTGCTAAAATAGGTGATTCTGAAAAGTTAAAAAACATTAGATCAAATTTGCCTTAATCACAAATTTTCCTTATTTTAAGTACTTCATTTTAGGTTTTAAATGGGAACTATTGTCCATTAACCCATTAAAAGCTTGTCTAAAGGTTGGTCACTCAAAAAGTGACCAAGTCACTTCAGCTGAAGAAATCTCTTATTTTTTTTACCTAAAGCTCAATCTGATTTTTTTGTCAAAAACTTTTTGAAATATAGTCAAGTTGATCAAAAAATCTGGGTAGAATTTATGGCTTCGTTTTTGAGAAATCACCGTCAAAACTTTTTCCGAGAACTTTCTTTCCAACCTAATATATACCTTGTGCGTTGTTGGCGCTAGCGTGAGTGAGAGTCGATTCAAATCGTTCATCTTCATTGTAGCCTCAAATGGATCTATTTTAGGCGATCTAATCTGGTGATTACCTTCATTTTGATCATTTGGGGTCATTTGGTGCATTTGTGGTTGATTGACTTCGTAGTCTGTGGCGTAGTGGTCCTGAATTGATACTGTTTTTTTCTTTTACCCTTCTACGGGTTACCGGTTGATAGTTTGGATTGTTTTGTTGATTCCGTAGCACGTTTGGATCTCCAATGAGAGGAGCCTAAATTTTTGTTTTCTCGAATCTTACTGCCTTCATTTTACCACCTGTGGTTCAGTGTATTCAAAGCCGGACATGTCGTCGAAATCTGGATAAACATCGAAAGAGTCACTTCCGCCTGAATTTAGCGTGAGAGAGAATATGGTGCTTTCATGATTTCGATAGTCGTTTTACAGATTCATTAACAAACTGAGACTTGACTGTGAGTGCGCGCGCAAGAGGTGCAGATTGTTCATCTCGTCTCGTAATGGCATTTGATTATTGAGGGTGACCGGTTGCATGGTTTGACTAGAATTCTTTCAATAGATTACGGCAAACTTAGCGAATGCAAGACTTTTAATGTTTTTTCAAGAAGACTCACTAATCTTGAGGCGATTCCTCTCCGGGAAAGCTTTGCTGTGAACCGATCGAGCTACTTGACGACTGAAAGTGGATTTTTGTATTGAATTGACACAAACGTTTTATGATAAGTTTTAAATGGTTATTGTTTTTAATCAAGTTTGACCAAATTTCGCTGGAAATTTGTATATTAATACGTATGATTTGTCGCTTACCAGCCGTTGATGCGGGGTGTTGTAAGGCGATCTTTGGAAATGCCCTTGATCTCCCATTTCTAGATTTTGAATAGGCAGAGTTGAAAAAGTGAAATTGAAAATGAAAAAGCAAGTTTTGTGAGTGAAAATGGGCCGAGTTGATGTCCATGTGGTGAATTTTCTGGCGCAATCAAAAAGAAAGAGAAAGAGAGGGGAAGAGAGAGAAAATATTAAGGAAATTGAGAGACAAAGAAAAAAAAGCAAGCAGAGTTTCGCTTTCTCGCAAAATATTTTCTCTTTCTTGAAAACACACAAGCCTGCTGCAAGAAAAATAGTTATGCACAGAGTTGGGTGGGTGAAAAAATCGGCCCATAGTTGTTTGCGCCCTTAATTCATAACCAATCCGGTTTCTCACTTTTTGTTATCACGAAATTTTGGCAACTTTTGCTGTGGCTATTGATAATCTTCCACCGGGAAATCTGCGACGCGTGATGTTGTACGAATTTCTAGAGCCTCTAGTGCCTAGTGTTCAACTAATATTAAAAATGTTTATGTGAAAGGATATGTGCAAAGTGGTTTGCTAAATTCTGTTCTAGGGATAAATCCTCAAAGACAAAGGGAGAGGTTATCCAACAATCCAGCTCAAAGACATCCAACAATCCAGCTGGAGAATGCCAAGTTACTCGAAATTTTTCAAACCAACAACAGGCTTTCTTCCGAAATAATAAAAGAGTTATTAGTTGATCATATAACAAGACACGAACATTTACATAAACTTGAGTTTAAATAGAAATTAGGAAATTTGATTCCACATAACTTAACAGACACCCAGAAATGTCAACGCGCCGCTCATCTTTCTCGGAACGAGCGCAAATTGTTTTTACTTCGTATTGTGACAAGGGATGAAAATGGATTCTAACTGTCAACTTTTGGTGAAAGTGTCAATGAGTTGCTGAGGGAAGGAAGCCCGAACACGACATCATGCCAAATGTGCAGGAGAAGAAGTTTACGCTCTCGGTTTTCTGGGATTTTGAAGATCGCATTTACTGAAAACTTTTGGATAGCAAGAAAACACAGGGGGGTATTAATCGCGGCCGGGTAACCATAAAAAATTTTTTACGGCAACCACTTGTTTTTTATTTTAATATCGCTAATTTTATTATAAAAAGAATAAAAATCATCCGGCTAGAGTGATTTGATGGGTTTACAAATTTTTGGAGACGCTGCAAGGCTTGGAAACAACAAGATCGTCACTCATCAGACACCTTAGCACAGTCTAGATCGATTGAGTTTTAGTTGCAGATAAATTTAAAAACAAAATAAAAAGCACAAAAAGCATTGAAAATAAGTTGTTAATCTATAATTCTTCCTCTTGCTCTTTCATCTTCGCTCAAGTACAGCAGTTTCTCAAATCGGCTTCCTATCAATTTCTAGCATATCCTCACCAGAAATGACTGGATTTCCTCCACAGTAGGGCGCCTTCAGCGCTTTGATTGACACAATTAGATCTTTTTTTCCATTGTGGTCGATTGAGGTTTTCTTTTGTTTCGTAACATAAACTCCCATGGCTTTCGAACAACTGGTGGCTAGATTCTACTTGGCGATCTCCCTGTTTCAGCAATTACAAATGCTGGCTTTGTGATTAGCTCTTCTTCCGCCTCCATTTGATTTAGAAACCCTAAAAATAAATTTAATAAAATAACCAGGGAAATAAGGTAGCGGTAAACTTAACCAAAAATTGAATTATTGTTGAAACTATTATTGTTTCCACGAAAAACACAAAGTTTCTTTAGTAGCATTGGTGACATCAAATGGTAGCCAATGCTCAACTTGGGGAAGAGGCTTGCCGCTCACCTATAGAAAACTCCAAAACTGCTCAAGACTCGCGTGAAAATGAGAAAATAAAGACTGCCAGCTTTATCGTGAGGGGCCGCGTGAATTCCCGCCTCAAACATATCGACCAGATCGACTGTCACTCTCCATCCATTCAGCATACACAACAAGAACACGCACCAAAATTTCTCCCGCAACCCAGAAGTGTTGTTATGCTATCCGAAAATGACAGTACATCGAGTTTACTATCAACAATGATAACGATACAATTAACTTACTATATATAAAAACTAAAGCGTCTGAAGCCTCCACGAGCCGCTCTAGGCTCTAGAAATGAAAAAAAACTTTAGTAAATAGCGTTGTAGATATGATTAGTTTTTGAAGGATCAACGTTTATCGTGTTCTTATTAAGTGTAACTTTAAAATAAAAAAGGTTAGAATTTAAGTCTATGAAAAAGCTTTAAAATTTTTAGGATAAACAAAGAAGTGAACGGGTGGTGCATGTATTTTATCGCAAAGAGAGAAAGAGGCTATCCAGCTCTTTCTATCCGGCTATCCAGCTCTTTCTCTTTTTCCTTCTACTTGTTTTTTACACAAGGTATAAGTTGAACGTTAAAGTTGACAGTGTCATATATGCTTAAGTGCAAAATTTCATGAGTAATTCCGTCCCTGAATTCTCGAAAATGTCCTCCAAACAAAGAAACATTATTTAGAAACAATTAAAGTACGAAAACTTATATTGTTTACCCAGATTTCATCAAAAATTTTCCCGAATTTCAGAAATTACTCATGAGCCAGCCTTTATGAGTTTTTTTTTAAACTTTAAGCAGTGTATCTTTCTCAAGTCTATATCACATACAGATTTATTAATTACTAATTTCTTTTTATCGATGAATAAGGAGATTCACTCGGCTTTGATCCGATTTTTTTTAAACTTTAAGCAGTGTATCTAGTTGTTTTCTTTTGTTTGATACTATCCAAAAAAAAAAGATGAAAAATTTGTGAATTTATTGAGCACATCACATGACTCAAAATTTTCTAGTTAACTTTTGACGGCTGGGATTAATAGAGTCGAGGAAAGTTAGAGGAAATAACTTGGCGTGGGGGTTGATTTGAGGAAAAAAAGTTCCCGGGTTTCACCTGCCCAAAACGCTTTCTCAAGTTTATATCACATACAGATTTATTGATAACTAATTTATTTTTATCGATGAATAAGGAGATTCCTTATTCACTCGGCTTTGATCCGATTATCTATCGTATCGAGCTGTCGATTATTCTCCTAATGCTAACACTGATTTCCATATCGACGGTCATTTTCATTTCATTCAAAGCGACACCGAAAAAGATGATCGGCTATCGGAAACATATTTTCGACAGTTTAGTGAGTGATTTTGAGGTTTAATTTCTGAGATTTCATGCTATTGATCTAGTCAGAAATGAACCTGGGTTTTTAACAAAATTTGACCAGAGATCTTTGCCTAGTAATTAGGGTTTATAATTCATGAGGAATCCAAGAACAAATTCTTTTTATTAGACCGACTCCTAAAGGTTTTTAAGTTCATCAACTCAGAATTTCCAATCCAAACAGGTTCTGCTCGTCTGTATCGAATAATTTCCGAACCAAGATTATTCTAGCCAGCCCAAATAGAAGAGCAAAATAAGGGGAACTTCGAAAGCTTGAAGCATTGACTTGCATCGAGATTAATTTTTGTATAAAGTTCACGTATGGTCTTGTCGTTAGCAATACCACTATTGGGTAGGAAAAGCCAAAAGAGGTAAATAGAAACCTTCGAAAGCATAAAGCGCAGTAATGTTCTTGTTCTTTTTCCAGTTAAAGAAAGCTGAAATCTACCATAGCACAGCATTGCACAGCAGAGAAAACTTTCAGTTTTCATGTGGAATGTTCAGCTTGGCAACCATGGTATTCTTCTCAATTTACGCGTTTTATCGAGAAGGCGATAAAATTTTCTACTTTTTCTCGATATCCACGATCAGCTCAATCAGTTCTTCTATTTCATTAAAGCCTCTACTGGTTTAGAATTAAATTTCTGGCTTTTTTGATCAGTGAAACCTTAGGTGTTTTTCTTTCTAAACGGAACGAATTGTCCCCGATCGATAATTCTCTGTTTCGAGTACCGTTTCCGAGGGATCGTCTATGGAGAGAAAAGAATGAAATATATGTGGTTCCGAAAAATATTTCTTCATCCATTATTGTTCTCACCATTTCCAATTTTTATGGCTGGAGTCTATCGAACAGCTGAACCAGCCGATTTTCTTGCGACTTTGGTAAGAGAAAAAAAAATGCTTTTTATGAATCATGAAGACTTTTGCCGATTTTCTAACAAAATTGAAATAGCTTTTGTCTAGAAAAGAAACTTTTGAAGGGAAAAACAATAAACTATTTTCGTGTTTCTTATCAAGTTATTGAGCAACTTTCTGATCGTTTTATAAATAATAGGATTTATTTAAAGAAAAATGAAAAACAAATATCAACAACTCATCATAGATTCGTTTAAGCATTTAATCTTTTCCATCTTTTCCCTAAGTTCCATCTTTCCCTTAAGTTCTTTATTTCATACAATTGTAATGTATGAGAAAAGAAGCAATTCAGCCAGTAGAACTAGCGACGAGCAGAAAGTTGCTCGTCGCTAGTTCTACTAGCTAAGCTAAGCTAATAGTCGGGCTTACTCCTTAAACAAAGCCTTAACCGACAACTCTTATAGTAAACTTAGAAATGGCTCAGTATTCTGATGAACAGAAACTAAGATTTGATTCCAGAATCAAAGCTCATCGTTTCTCCCGTCATCTGTCATCGTCCAGCCCTATAAGATGACGCTGGCCGCCCTGGATATCGGCTTTGTCATTCTCATTCTATCAATCTATCTATGGCTTCTCGTATTCTACATCGGCGCTACTTTTGTCCTATTGCACTTTAGCAAAAAAGTTGCCAGCTATCAATCGAAGAAAATGCTTAAAATGCAAAAGATTGCCTTCTGGTTGCTGATCATTCAGGTTTGTTTTTTGAGATTTGGATCCAAAATCAAAATGTGGATTAAGTAAAAACAAATACAGACAAAATAAAATGAGCTTTAAGATCATTACTTGTACTTCAAAATGTTTTAGGTTTACTTTAGCCTTTAATATAATTTTAATTTTGAAAAAAACAGATTTACATAAAAAAAGTGATTAACATTTAGGCGGCCGGTTGTTTATTCCCAGCCGGTTTAACTATGATCATTCTCACTATTGCTTTTCTCACCGAGTCACCCGGTGTCACATTAGGTGAGAATTCCTCTTCCTCAATCAAAAGACCCTGTGATTTTCAGCTTTCAACTGCAGCTATTGGTTTCTATTTACCTCTTTTGGCTTTGTCTACCCAATAGTGATATTGCTAACAACAAGACCATACGTGAACTTTGTACAAAAATTCATCTCGATGCAAATCAATCTTTCTCGAACAACAAAAGATGAAAGTCCAGCCAAGACCTCTTGGGCAAGTCCCAGCAAGGCGAAAGGCCTCTTTGACAGACGTTTTACTATGATTGGACCGGCTCGGGTGAATCGAGTAATAAACAGCTAAGAGAAAAGGTAGGCTTTGAGAAAACTGCATCAGTCATCTTTCAAAAGTCAATGACACCACATTCCAGAGGGAAATACAGGGTGGCTGAAAAGTTCTGTCCGCATTAATGGACGTGTCTTTATAATAAAACTTCGTCGAGATAGAGCAAAATGGAATTCAAATTTAGAAAATTCGGTACTTTTCCGTTATATATCCGCAAAAATAACCCCTGATCATTTAATAATCAAAAAAATAAACATCAAAATAAGATCAATGAGGAATCCATGCCGTAGCAATTTGTTGCAACACTCATTCGTAGAAATCGTCCTTTCCCACTTCTTGTCGGACCAGAATTCAGCGAGGTAGCTCAATAGGAAATGACGTGCCGTGCCGCCATGCTTCTTGTTTCTCCATTTGGCAGATCCCCATAAACGCTCGATCGTCTGCGTCTGAATGGCAGGGTCATCCGGTTTCAGGAAGTTGTACTTGTGGTTGACTTGAGCCGGCTGTACTTGAGCCGGCTGTACTTGAGCCGGCTGTACTTGAGCCGGCTGTACTTGAGCCGGCTGTACTTGAGCCGGGGTAAAGCCGGCTTCCTCCATCTGTATAACGGTCGGCGAAACATGAATCCACAGCACCTTCAGAAAATAGCAAAAGAATGAATTTTCTGTGGTTTTCCTTGTTCATTTTCATGGAAGGATGCAAATTTTTGCGGATATATAACGGAAAAGAGCCGAAAATTCCACAATTTTTTACCTTTTATATATGTTTGTTTTAAAGAGGAATTTGTTTTTTGAAGTGCATTTTTAATGTTTTTTTTCAATCAAGTTTTACTCAACTCCCTTAAACTCTCGCAATTTTTAAGCTCGCCCAACAATGTTTGAGGCTCTCAAAATCGAGAATTTCAAAAGCAATCTGACTATGTAAGGTATAGTTTTTAAAGAGAAATTATTCTTCTTTCAGATAGGTTATCAAAATTTGCTTTCAACGAAATCAAAACTGGTTTAGAGAACGAATTGTAGAAAATTGACACGCGAACAAACTGAAAAACGGTATTGGCTCACAGGAAATAATATAAAAAAACGTTTTTGAAACCATACTTTTCGTATCTCCAGGTTTATATGGTTGGCTTAAAGCAACAAATTGTGTAACCATTTAAATTTGAGACACGTTAAGCTTTTATAAGTTTTATTACATAGATAAATCGGTACTTTTCTAATATCGGGGGAGCGGAAGGATTATCGGGGGAGCGGAAGGAAGATCGGGGCGAGCAAATTTTGCCCCCTCGAAAAATGCATTTCCGGGACTGTATTTTAACTGCAACGTTTTTTTTTAAAACTTTAACGACGATGCACTTCTCCGACATTTGTGCGTTCAAGGAATCGAGGGCAATCGATTATTTCGTCACCAAAGGAGTCATCCAGTCGTGGATTTGCAACTGTGGCGAATCGATGAAAATCCGCTCAAAGGGAAAAGATCTATTTCGCTGGGTATGTGACACTTGCGCACGGCGAAAGGTCCCCAAGCATTCAAGAGGAATTCGAGTCGATAACTTTTTGCAACAAAGCAAGCTCCCGTTCGTCACAATTTTAAAGTTCATTCATCTATGGGGCCAGGGACTCACGACAATCAAATACTGTCAACAGGAGCTCGGCATTAGTGGTGACACCGTTGTTGAGTGGAACTACTTTCTCCGCCAAGTGTGCGCTTGGAAAATCAAGAGGCTTTCGATTAACAAGATCGGTGGTGCCGGACTCACCGTGGAGATCGATGAATCGCTGATCGCAAAGCGCAAAAACCACGCCTGTAGGATGCTGCCAGAACGTTGGCTTTTTGGTGGTCTGTGTCGTGAAACAAGGGAATGCTTCGCTTTTATTGTGCCAAACCGAACGACTCCGGTTCTGCTTGAAGCTATTCGAAAACATATCGTAAAGGGGACTCGAATCATCTCTGATGGATGGCGTGCATACCAAGGGCTTCTCACTGACCCAAATTACGATTTTGCATGGGTCAACCACTCGACAAATCCGACCGTGCACACGCAAACAATCGAGCGAATCTGGAAACCGTTTAAAGACATGAACATACGTCGACACGGCACCCACGGCATCATGGTGGATTCGTATATCGCTGAGGGATTGTGGCATCGCAATTTGTCTGCCGGAGTGAATGCATTCGAGTCGATCATGGAGGACATCGTCGATTTTTGGCCCGCAGGGGCGGAAATGAATACAATCCCTTTTTACAGTTAATTTGTGATTGCTAGAAAGGTTTTTGTTTTGGTTACTTCGTTTACATTTCTTTCGTTGTTATGGTCAATTATACTATTAATGAATAATTTTTTAGGTAGCCATTTGTTCGTTCGGGATTGTGGAGCGTTCGGCAAAAAGAGAAGGCGACCGATAGGGAAGGTAGAGGTAGGTTTGGTGTTAGATATTTAAGTCACTTTTGTGATCTAATATAAAGGTTGTGAGAATAACGGGTAATTCGCGGATTTTATGGCGGTAGTTTGTATAATATAGGACATATGTAGCGCTGCCAAAATTTGCTCCCCCGATTTTCCTTTCGCTCCCCCGATATTAGAAAAGTACCGATTTATCTATGTAATAAAACTTATAAAAGCTTAACGTGTCTCAAATTTAAATGGTTACACAATTTGTTGCTTATCTATACAGTCCTATATAAGATATTTAGATGTTCTTCTCAAGATATGCACCAAATACAACAGTCTTTTTCCTGCTTTAGCCTTCTTGGTGGACACTTCTCTGTATTGTTCATGGATTCAGCAACAGATTGGATTCAATGTTTGAGTGAATAGAGTAGTTGTTTGATTTAAATGTTGGACAATAAATAAAAGCATTTATAACAATTTCAATTAATTTAAGATTCTCTCACAGTTGAAATCATTTTTAATTGTGCTGTTGTTGTGGTTTTTGTTATGAAAACCCCAAGGAGAGCCTCGCGATATGGTTTGGTGGCGAAAATGATCACCAAACTATTACATGATAAGTGAATTGGGCTGCTGAGAAAAGTGCAACAATGAGACTGAAAATATTCATCAATACAAATGATCACTGGTTTAGAGACCATTTCACATAGTTCAGTCAACAATATGAAGTCTGGCTATGGTTAACCTAGTTTCTAGCTTTTATAAAATATGATCAATCATTGAGTTATAACTTTATAGTTGCTAAAGAACAAAGCTGTCTAACCAGCTTGGTTATGTCAAGTTCGCTTTCTTAGCTTGTCGAGAATTTTGAAGTAACTAAAGTCAAACTTCTTTTTTTTCATGATATTTTAGCTCCAAGTAAGCTTTTTCCCTCATGATCTTTTAACTTCAAGTAAGCCAGATTCAAGTACAGCTCAAGAAAGTGTAGCCATGTTAAAATAAGCTTTACTTGGATTTTGCTGGCCGAGCTTACCAGCCAGCAAAATTATCTTATTCTTGAAACATCCCATATCAATTCCCTTTTTGCTAGTCTACTGTAACAAGCAAGAAATCGATAACCAAGACTCATGGACATCTATGACCCAACAAAAGCTGTCGACTGCTCAACAGCGGACTTTAAAGTTCTTGTAAATCATTATAAAGTTTATCTTGTTCTTGAAAATACTACTACTTACCCATTTCGAGAAACTCTGTCTGTAAAACAGTGAAGAACTCGATTGATCGAAAGTTGGATTTCTCAAAGCGATGAAATTCCACATGTTGGCAAAAGTCCAAATTTTCTTTACTGTAGCGCGCCAAAATGTTTGGAAAGGAAACGATTACGAATAACGCCCAGACGCAAAGCTAGACTTTTTCTAACACCTTGTCTACTCTTACTTGAAAACTTAATTTATTATCTTTTTACTAAAAAATAGTCAAGCTAGAAAATGAGCACATGAGCTTTAAATTTTATATTCTCAATAAAAACCACTTTCCACTTCGGGTGCTTTGGTGGTTGGGTGGGGTCACTTTTGGCTTGGCTTCGTCGAATCTAGTGTTTTGAGTGGTTCACGTCGATACTTTTCTTCTATTCCGGGCTAATTATATATGCTGAAGCGGTTGGTGCTAATTTAGAGTGTTTAGAGTGTTTCCAACATATTTCAAGTTAGTATTGCAGCTTTTCAAGTGTAATCAGCTTTGAGATAACGTTCGGTGGTTAAAGTACAACCCAGAGCAAATCATCGAATAGGATTATCAAAAACGTCTTTAAATTGGCACCAATCGCTTCAGCATATATCCCTTTCTTCAAAAAGAAGAAAAGTATTGACGCGGACCGCTCAAAACACTAGATTCGACAAAGTAAGCCAAAAGTGGCCCCTCCCAACCGAGTTTCGAGTTTTTTTGTACGATTTCACACTCAACTTGATGATTTTATTTTTTAGGAATGTCAAACGAAAAGAATCCCGATATAGAGGATGAAGACATGCAGGACGAACCTGCTGATGACTACGATGAACAGGACGCAGTCAATGACACAGAGGAGGGAAATCAAGATGAAGAAATGGATGAAGAGCAAGAAGACGAAGAGGAAGCCGGTAAATTAAATTGGTTGTTGCACTTAGAACATAAAACTATTTAGAAAACACCAAAGTGGCTAAAAGCTCGTTTGATCGATTCGAGATGCTTCTAAAGAAGACCGAAAATTTCTCTCACTGTCTTGACGCTGGTGATGTTGCTGCGTATAAAGGTGCAATCTTTTAATTGATTTTATCATATTCGTGTTTAGCCGGAAGTCCTCAACGCAAAAGGAGAGGTCGACCCGCAAGAATTACTCAAGCTGAAGGCGACCATCGGCATCGGAAGAGTGAGAAAGAAGAAGATGAAGAAGTTTTGGCTGAATCAAGTTTGTTTATTAATACAACTCTTTCAATAATGTTTTTTTAGACAAAGATACCGGGCTGATTCTTTTTGACAAATCACCACACTACATCAAGAATGGTGAAATGAGAGACTATCAAGTGCGCGGCCTCAATTGGTTAGTTCAACTTCAACACAACGGTATCAACGGAATCCTTGCTGATGAGATGGTTTGTCATTTGTTTGCGCTGCTAGCAAAAAAGCAAAAATTTTAGGGTCTTGGCAAAACTCTACAAACCATTGCTCTTCTTGGCTACATGAAGCACTTCAAAAATAATTCTGGACCTTTCTTGGTGATAAATCCAAAGTCTACTCTTCAAAACTGGATGAATGAATTTGCAAAGTGGTGTCCATCATTGAAAACTGTTTGTTTGATTGGTAGCGAAGAAGAAAGGGTTAGTTTTTATAAATAAATATATATAACCAATTAAGTTTACCATTGCCTAACTAAACGAAGATATTTTAGAGTGTTGTTATTCGTGATCAAATTCTTCCCGGCAATTTTGATGTTGTTGTGACGTCTTACGAAATGGTTCTCAGGGTTGGTTTTAACAACATTATATTAGAGAAAAATTCGAAATAAAAAATACTCATGAGTTTATATTTTAGTGCCGTGCAACCCTAAGGAAATTTGTGTGGAAATATTTGATCATCGACGAGGCTCATCGTATCAAGAACGAAAAAAGCAAGGTTATATATGCATTAGGTTTTTCGAAACACTGCAGTAATTTAGCTGTCAGAGGTTGTACGTGAACTAAAGTCCAAAAATCGTCTGTTGATTACGGGCACACCACTTCAAAACAACTTACACGAAGTAAGCCTTTCTATGTTGACTAGAAAATGTTTACGAGCGTGTTAATCGGAGTTTACTATAAATTATATTTTTAGCTATGGGCTCTTCTCAACTTTCTTTTGCCAGAAATGTTCTCCAGTTCGGAGGATTTCGACTCGTGGTTCGAGACCAATTCTCTGAATAACCAAGATGTCGTTTCTCGCCTTCACAGGGTTAGGCTATTTAAATAAGTGATAACATCTACAACATCAAATAGGTTCTGCAACCATTCCTATTACGGAGAATCAAGTCTGATGTCGAGAAATCTCTATTGCCAAAGAAAGAAGTGAAGGTAATAAAAAAAATTAGTTTTCATACTAGCAATTTCTTAGGTTTATATCGGAATGTCACAAATGCAAAGAGAGTGGTATCAAAAGATCCTGATGAAAGAAATTGACGTTGTGAATGGAGCTGGAAAGGTGGAGAAAGCCAGGTTTCAAATGGCTATTTTCATCCAAATTATATAATATTTAGATTGATGAACATTCTTATGCATTTACGCAAATGCACAAATCATCCATATCTTTTTGATGGCGCAGAGCCAGGTTTTTTAATTAAATAATACAAGGCTGAAGTTAAATGTTTAGGACCCCCTTTCACGACAGATCAGCATTTGGTTGACAACTCCGGAAAAATGGTGTTGCTTGATAAGCTTTTGCTAAAACTACAGGAACAAGGTTAGTAGAAGAACTTGCAGAATAAAATTCATGTATGCTAGGGTCCCGTGTTCTTATTTTCTCCCAATTCTCGAGAATGCTTGATATGCTAGAAGACTATTGCTGGTGGAGGAGATACAAGTACTGCAGGTAGAGAAACTTCTATCAAGTAATAATAAATAGAAGTTATTGACTAGGTATAACAAAGGGAAATTTTAGATTGGATGGACAGACAGCTCATGAAGATCGTCAACGACAAATCGAAGAGTATAATGCAGAGGGTTCTGAAAAATTCGTCTTCATGTTGACAACACGTGCTGGAGGTTTGATGGGATGTCTTTGTCTCTTTTATTTTAAAAATTAGGCCTTGGAATCAACTTGGCAACTGCCGATGTTGTGATTCTTTACGATTCTGATTGGAACCCACAGATGGATCTTCAAGCAATGGATCGTGCTCATCGGATTGGCCAAAAGAAACAAGTTTGTTTAAAAGAATGTCTGTTTAATAAACTCAATGCTTTAGGTTCGCGTTTTTCGTTTTATTACTGAAAATACGGTCGATGAACGTATTATTGAACGAGCTGAAATGAAACTCCGATTGGACTCCATTGTAATCCAACAAGGAAGGTATGTTGCTTACCTTGTGTCTTGTAAAGTTAGATGTTCAGAATGGCTGAAGCTTCGAAAACACTGAATAAAGGCGATATGCTTGAAATGATTCGACACGGGGCCGATATGGTACTGGAAAAAACACTATGAACTAGTAAATATTCATTTAGGTATTTGCTTCCAAAGATTCTACAATCAGCGATGAAGACATTGATGCGATCCTTGCACGTGCTGAGGAGAAAACAAAAGAACTGGAGCAGAAAATGCAGGTAAACTAGCAATTCTGAGAAGCAAATGAAAAAAACTATTTTAGGCTTTCGGGGAGGCATCGTTGCGTTCATTTACCGTGGACCACGATCCATCAAAAATTGAAGAGAAAGAGGGATATTCTCTGTACAATTGGGAAGGAATGAATTGGAGGTTTATCTTGTTTTCACTGCTGATAAATGGTGCTTTTAGAAACAAGCAAAATAGCGGCATGGGCGCCTTCTGGATTGAGCCACCTAAGCGTGAACGGAAAGCCAATTATCAGGTAACCAAGCTTGTTAAATGCGGAATTTGGTTTCTTAGGTTGATCTGTATTTCCGAGATGCTCTCCGCCAAGGCACTGGAGGCGAGAAAAATGTAAAAGCGCCTCGTCCTAAGCTTCCCAACGTTCACGATTTCCAGGTATAAACTTAGTTTTTACCCTTTCAACTTTGGTTATTCAGTTTTACCCTCGTCACTTGTTTGAGCTTCTTGATCGAGAGATTTACCATTATCGGAAGGTCATTGGATGGAAGGTTAGTTTGCGGATTTTAAAAAAATATTACTGTGTTTTGAAAATTCTTTCAAGTGTAATAACCATTTTATTGTAATCAAACTAAGCTTTAATTTCGGACAAGGAAAATACAATACGGTTCATATTCATTACGCTAAACTCTCCATGTAAGGTGCAGGGCTCATGATAGGTGAATCATCCTCATAGTCTATGTCTCTTTCGATTTCCCCTCTTATACGTGGCGCGATTTCAGCTTCTTCTTCTAAAGATGTATCCGAGCCCCAGACGGATCCATCCTAAATTGACTTGTTTTTAGTTTTGAGTGTTTGCGACCTTGAAATGCTCTTCCTCCACAAGGTCTTCTGGAAACCGGACTAGGACCGGCTTTTTTGATTTATCTTGAATGGGAAAAACCAAATATTGCGTGCTAGTGTAATTTGAGAAGTCATCCAAGCTGCTCATACTAAATATTTCTAGTTATTTGTTAGCTAGATGAACTACCTTCTGTCGAAAGACATGGAAAACGATTCGACCGACGATAGTGGTGGCCCCCTTGACATGGCGACTTGACTAACCAAATCTTCTTGGTTTAGATCTTCATGAATATTTGAGATCTAAAGTTAGTTTTTATCAATTTCACTTTTAATGCTACTTTGATAGGCTTGGGAATGAGTCTCTTCTTCATTAGCACAGTTTTGCGTTCACTGGCGGTTGGTTCATTCATCTTGGACAAATTCCCGGCGCTTTTGCACTGTCTAATAGTCTCTCTTTCTTTAGTGGCGGGTGTTTGGAGATTTTGAGCTTCTAAAACACTTGTTAAACATAATTCAGCTAAACCCTAACTTGATAGTTCCGGAATATAGTTTCCGAGATATGTGCTTCGACTATCCGAGGAGTTGGTGTTCAGATCCCAAGTTGACTTGCTTGATTTATTGGATAGGACTCTGGAAGCTATACATTTTTATGTAAACGTTCATTCATCCACCTGTCAACTGGGAGCAAATCATCTTTTAGCTTCGAATGAAGAGGAGGAATGATCTTTTCAAGACGCGCCAAAATTTTTTCCATTGATTTACGATGATTTAGGCGATCATAAGTAGTGGAAAAGCGATAGCCCTATTTTTTTGGATATTTACGACCATTCCAAATTTTACCTCATATAGAATATCTTGAAGGAGAGGGTAATCAATTTTGTTTGTCTCAAAAGCCTCTGCGTAGGCTTTGAGTGAATTTGGATGTTTGGCAATAACATTCCCTTCATTCAATCTGAAAGTCACAAATTTAATGATGATTTTAATGATTTTATCACTTGATTTCTTCTCTTTTTGCATTTCTTGCACAGATTACAAGTTTGGTGCGAGGTGGTCTCAGCATGATTATTGGGATCATCAAGTGCCACGCATGCTGCAGAGCTAAGAGACAAGTAGAGTCCGCCAATGTAAACTCGTTAACAAAAAATATAAAAGCCTAAATTTTTTATTAGTCATTTAATCTTATTACGTGGGGACAAACTTACTTCAGCATTGACCAACAGTGCCCTGGTGTTAGAATCATAAAGCCATTTATTACCATTGCAACAGACAAAATAATCCGGCAGTAAATCTTGAGCAATTTGATGTAGCGCACTTAAAATGTACAGTGCTTATAAAAAAAAAAACAGTTACCTGTTGTGCCATCTTTTTGCTACAAATCCACATAGAAACACAGTTCTGACATGACATGTTGCTCGTAGTAGGCTGTCTTCTTCGCTACTTTGTTCGCTGCCGCTCAGACTCATTTTAGTGAATTGAATGAGTTTAGCAGTCAATTTAATGTTGTTATTAACTTATTAGTGCCTATATAAATTTCTGTTGTGACCACGCCTCTCAAATATCCTGTAGATCTTTTTCTGCCGGGATGGTGAGAGGAAGATAGCTTATGTTGCCATGGTTTCATGTTGAATAATTTGGGTGAATTTAAATAAGAGTTCACTTCATAGCTTCTTGCGGGGAATATCCTTTAGGGAATTAGTTGAGTTTTAGCAAATTTATTACACAAATACTTGTTAATGAATCAAAATCCTAAATACCTAATTAAATATTTTAGGCTCCAAAAGAAGGGACTGGAAAAGATGCTGAGAAAAAGCAAAAAGAAGAGCAGAAGAAGATTGATCATGCTGAGCCTCTCACCGAAGACGAAAAAGTAATAACTAACTTTATTATTAAATGTTGAGTGAGGATTAATAAGAATTATGGTTATTTCAGCGGTTTATTTTCAGCTCGAACGAGAAGATCTTCTGACACAAGGGCTTTCAAATTGGTCGAGACGAGATTTCACAAATTTTGTGAAAGCAAGCGAAAAGTATGGTCGCGAAGATGTGGATGCGATTTGCAGAGACATGGTCAGCATCTTATACTTACAATTAATTAACCGCTTTCATTCTAGATTGAGACCAAAACTCGGGACGAAGTCATTGAATATGCAAAGATCTTTTGGAGCAGACTGGATGACCTTTCCGACAGTGAAAAAATTTTGGCACAAATTGAAAAGGTTGTATCGTTTTAATTTATTTGAATCATTGCAAAATAATTTTAGGGCGAAGCTCGTATTCAACGTCGACATTTGGTCCGTCGCGCATTGGATGTCAAAATTGCCAAGTACAAGGCGCCATTCCATCAGTTGAGGATTGCTTATGGTACCAACAAGGGGAAAACGTACACTGAAGAAGAAGACCGGTTTTTAACACACATTTATACATAATATGCTGTTTGCAGATTTCTTGTCTGTGAACTGCATCGCCTTGGCTTCGATAATGAGAACGCATACGAAGAGTTACGTCAAAGCGTTCGTCAGGCGCCACAATTCCGTTTTGATTGGTTTATCAAAAGTCGTACCGCTATGGTAATTTTTATTTTTAGCCTATAACTAGGTAAATCAGTTGTTTTTAAATTCTAAAAAAGTAAAAAGAAGTTTTAAAAGTATTATGATCATCGATTTAGGAACTTCAACGTCGATGCAATACTTTAATTTCGCTGATTGAAAAAGAGATGGGAGAGGTTGAAGTAAAGCCCAGGAAGCGCGGGGCAAATAGAGACAAAAAAGCGAAAGACGAGGAGGAAGAAGAGCATGAATCACCAGCTACCAAGGTACAATAAAAACTTTTGTTTTTAGTTAGAGTTTCTTTTAGAAAACCAAAAAGGAAAAAGAAGAGACTCCCACTCCAACAAAGTCCCGAAGATCCAAATGAATACTTGATTTTTTGTCTGTTATGAATTTTACCAAATATCCGGGAGTGCAAGTTTATAGCATACCCAATTCTGTCATTTGGCGGTTTTTATGTATTTCTCCAAAGTATTCAATGAGCTGTAAAATTATTTTACGATATACGATATACGATACGACCTTTTGTAGAAAATGAGACAATCCCATGTTTTATAGAAAAAGCCCATGTCTATTTTACGAATTAATCTACAATATTCTTGATTTGAGGAGCTAGACGGATAACGTTTTAATGGTCTCATTTTTTTTACGGTGACTTTGTATGTTTATCATTATAACCTATTTTGTTTTGTGCGGACTTTGACTTGCAATTAAGGTTAATTAAGTTGATTGATTTTGCCAATAAAAATTATTTACTCGTAGGTGTTATATTGTAGGCACGTTTTAAATCGAATGATGAACGACCGCTTCGAATTGGCGTAATTCGGTCAGATCCTTCATTGCAACGTGTCCGTTTCGATCAGAGATCCAACTTAAATACGAGTGTCTTTTTGGTAAACATAGAAGTACAAATCATGACTAATTTTTATATTTACCGTCCATTCATCCCCGGTATCCTGGCTGTCGGCTTGCCCCAAGTCATCCCCCGAAACAGTAGCACCTCATCCACTAAAACGGCATTTTCAGCAAAAATTGCCTTTTTTTTCGTAGCGGAAAATCAAAGAAAATTAAATAGACGCAGCTCTAATCCAAGATTAGAGCCGCTCGACTTTAGCTTAAGATTTGCGCTGCTTTGTGTAAATCCCCGCATCTGAGGAAAGTCATGCTTTTATCGATATTTTTAAGAGCTCGGTAAGATGGGAATTGATTCTAGGAAATGCTTTCCGGTTTTGTTTGTGTAGGGGTTTATCTTGACTTTTTTTAATATTTTACCGTCACTCCACATAGAATATACATGTGAGGCCTCTCGAGTTGGATCGTTGTTGAGTCTTTCAAGGAAAGCCGAATAGTTCTCTTGTTGACATGAACCCGATGGGTAACCGCATAATAACTAAAGCCATCGTTTTTTTTTCTTTCTCCGCCATTTTCTTTCTCCCCAATTTACCTGATCTTGACACGTGTAGCCTGGGTAGAGACCATCCAAAGCGTTACACCAAGCGGGCACTGTTTGAGCCAATTGACACACGCATAAACCTAAAAGTGCTGTGTTACATTAATATGTTGCTAGAAAGTTGCATTTAATTGCTTCTCCAAAAGCGAATAACCAATAAATACCGTAATTTGGACCGGCTATCCCGAGGAATGTGTCAATTTTGGCGGTAAGCGGTGGTCCAAGAGAGCAATTTCCATCGGTACCGATTAGACTACCACCTTTCAATACTCGTCTAAAGATTTTTTCTCGTGTTTTTTTTTTGACTTTATGACTTATAACCTGGCCAACGGGACACCGACAGAATGAGCGATCACGTCAACTTTTGGCGATTTTGTATAGGCGATTACTGCTTCGATAAATCTAGAAGTTAATGCGTAATAATTACAGAATTAATTGATAATCAAATTTTCTAAAAAAAAAACACCACCTTCGAAGATAAATCAAATTCTGACAAGTGTGCATTGTGGAATACGAATCGAGCATCGAACCGCTGCCCCAAGCATCTCCCCATGTTGTTGCATAAAGTTCCGATTCTTAAAGCAAAAAAAAATAAATTTAAACATTCATTTACACATCTCAAAAGTTACCTGTGTAATTTTGCTCAAGAAAATATTGAATTGAACGGCTCCATCCCGTGGCTAGTGGTGCCTAAATGGCTTAACAATGAAAAAAAAGATCGAAACTTTTAAACTGATCTCAAACTCAACGCTTCTCACCTGTGTATGCAGTGCTGCATCACCATTTGCGTGAATGAAAATCACGGGCTCGTGAGTTATCTGAAAAAAGAAAAACGAAATTTATATCGAAATTCATATCGAATTTTTTTGAACCTTATCACTGCCTCGCTTTCTACCACCAAATGAACCGTTTGGACCAACGTCCGGACGATCGAAAGAATCTCGTTCATAACTGAAATTTGTAATCAAATTCGATTTGACTCCTTTTTGTAATACCCATGTGCTATCAACCAATCGAGAAAATGAGATGAGATTGGACCGGGCGGTCCTAAACGTTGCCCTTTACTCCATGGGAGTAAGACCAAAATGATAGCCAACAATCTGAAAACCTTTTTTTCAGAGTGATTCGAAATTTTACAATACCTCATTGAATCAATAAGGCTCAGGGCCAAAAGCTAGGAATATAAAGAAGGGTTAAAAATGAGAGTGAAGGTGTGTGAGAGAGATGGATTGGTGGACGGGTTTGCTCGATGCCATCGAAAGTGGGGTGGTTCCCTTTCGCCCAGAAAGGGCAGAGACTGGATGGGAGAAAGTTTTGAGGCTGGATTGAGGGGGAAAGCTGCCCCTTTCCCTTTAGCGCTTCGGTCACTTGATCTGCCATTTGCTGGTGGAAAGTGCGCTTTTGAAAGAGCCTCGATGTCGACTGGATAGGCTGTCGATTTTAAGGAAAAATGGAAAACTGGAGAAATCCTCTTTCGTGCCGAGAGCCGAGAGACTTTTCTGGGTTTATGTTGAGATATGCATGAGCTTTGTTCTGATCAACTGGCTGAAAATTGTCATTTGAATGCTTGAGTGCAGAGAAAACATCGTCTACGTACTACAGTAGGTAGACGTACTACAGTACATAGACGTACTTTCCCCCCTCTTCGACACCGACAAAGATCTTTCTGCAGTACGGCGGCAAAGCTTTTGTGATTACCAGGATTACAATAAACAAAATGATCATGTTTTGCTGAAAAAAAATCTTTACCAAAACTCTTACTATTAAACTACACTGGTGGTCATATGTATTAGTACCCTCTTGCAAAAAATTTTCTCTCAACGATTGCCCCCCTTAAAAGGCAGCCAAATTCAAAGTGCTAAAAAGCATTTTTTTGCTAATAAGCTCTAGTCTCTAAAACCACAAAAAAAATTGATTCGAAATGTTTATTATCTTTTTAAAAAATAGCAAGGACGGAAAAGACACCTCAAAAACAAAAGTATTGACACCTTGCAAAAACAACAGTAAATTTAATAGTCTATTGGCCCTCCTTTGGCTTGAATGACTTTTACTATCCGTCTGGGCGTCTTTTTCTATCCGTGTATGAACGATTTTAGAAATATCTACCAACTACTACATAAGATTTCGGAGTACTAAATGCGCTTCTCTACTCTTTTCCCCCTCTTCGACACCGACAAAGATGCGCTCGGATTTCACATTAAAATATTTATGAATCTGGGGCAAATTTCCCAATGTCTTTCCAATAATTTTGAGTCTGCTGTCCAGTAAAGAACATAGTTATTGAAACTTTGAAAATTTCTTTGCTTTGTTCATTTTTTTTTCTTTGACAAGTTTGATTTTTCTACTTTTGTAAAGTCAATCTCTGTTTTGACGCAATCGTTTTTACGTCACGCAATCGTTTTTACCATCATTATCATCATTATTTATGAGTTTTCCTTCGGAAATTCGTGTCTTAATTTTTATGATATTTTTTTTAATATATAAAAGAGCATAAAAGATTTGGAAAATTATTTCTTTTCAATTCTAGAAATTTTCCTTTCAATTCTTTCATTTATTTCCTTATTTTTAGAGTTTAGAGTAAAGATTTTTTTTTAGATAATCACAGTAAAAAAGTAAAATTTGACCTTTGGAATGAGAAATCACATCGCAAAGAAAACAATTCCCCTTGAGCAAGAACAAAATGTTGAAAACAAAAAAGTCAATGTAGTGACTAAAGTCTAGCAGGTAGATGAATCAAAGATTATGGGTGCTTTTGGCTTTGTGTCCCGCTTCGCTCTTCATGACACATATGGGACACAGGCCAATTTCATTAATACGAGATTCAGCCCAGTTGGACGCATTGTGTATTCCGGGGAAAAAATGGAAAAAGAGAGGCCGACGGGTTTTGTGTTGAAAAGAAGGAAAAAAAAAACGGGAGATGCAGAGAGATGGTCAATGGGGAATCGGAGAGCTGAGTCCGGAGAGGATCGTCAGAATCTTTTCTTCACGTCAGAATCTTCTCAATCTTTTTCTCTTCACGTCATCTTCATTTCAAATCCATTTCTCATATATTCAGAAGCGTTAATTCGTGTTCTGGGAACCCGATGTTTTCATTATTTTTCTTGTTGTTGTTAACATTTGAACACTCCATCACTTTCGAAGATCTAAATTTAAAGTCTAAATTAAGAATTGTTTGTTGAAATCTTTTTGACCTTAAGATAAGAGAGGCTTATTGATGGCAACACTTTGGTGAAAGCCATAGGGGCTTTGTGAGGGGATGAAACGGCAAAAGTAATTGGGTTTCTTTCGTTTTGTGGTGGGGCTTAAGGTGAAATGGTGGCGCTTTCACTCCTCACAATCATCATCATCTTTTTAAACATTTAACCGGGGTATTTTTTTGCGTTTTAGTACCAATCATTAGGATTTCATTACTGGAAAACGCAAGAAAATGCAAGAAAATATATTTTTAGATCACAATTGGCTAGCTAGCTTGCCAAGTCCTAGATTGCAATCTTTAAAGCACAAAGTGGCACAAATTCTTGAAATTCTTGAAATGCTTGTGTCCACTTTTTGTTATGTGATCGTTTTCAATTGAGTGGGATGGAGTGGATCTTGAAGATCTTTGGAGCAAAGTCTCGAGAAAGGTCCTTGAATTTCTCTGAGTATGGGGTCTTTCAAAGAGCCAGGCGGTGCAATCGAATTGTCGTTAGAGTTGCCCGACCATTTCCCCTCAGACCTTTCTGAAATTGACAGACCCATCTATTTTTTCTAATTCTTTTTCTAATTCTTTTTCTAATTCTTTTTCTAATTCTTTTTCTTCACGTCAGTTTGCAGGTGTCCTCCGGGGAAAATAACAAGAACAGCTGAAAACTTTTTGACTATTTATATCGATAGTACTGGTTAAAAAGGAATGGCATTTTGATGTGAAACATCATTGTGATTTCTCTGTTTTCCTTTTTTGCTATTCACAAATTATTAGCCTTCCAACCGGTAATCCTTTCCAATTAGCGGTTCTTGATTTCTTTTTTTTTCTTTAGAATTTGAAAAAAATAGAAAAAGAATAGAAGAAAGAACAAGGATTTGTTACTCATTACGATTTGTTTCATCGCTGATTTTGCTTTCTATATTTTGATTTTTAAAATATACTAATTTATTTGATGTCTAGCTTATGTTTTTTTTGAGAGCTTTCAAAAAACTTGATGAATGTAGGGCGAAAAGACATTTGTGACTTCCGGATAAAGGGTGAAAGGTTGCTTCCGGTCGATTGGGCAGTGCAACAAAAATCTCCCGTCTTCACCAAGTCACCTGGGTTTCTTTTTTTCAAATTTATCGATAGAGTTCTTTTTTCTCGCGGAAAGTTTGCGCAATTTGACTCATTAATTACGTTTTATTCAGGTATGCAATAATGGGTGCCAAGCAAGCGAAATTCGTGAAAGTGCACGTGAAAAAGGGGAAACCGAAATATCGATGTCTCGAGTGTCGAACGGATTTCACGAAAAAAGTTTGTTCTTTTCAGAAAAGTTCGTTTAGAGCTAAAGCTAATGGGGGGTGGGACAAATGCGTCCTTTTTTTTGCGCACCTGGACATTTGCGCACCTTTTTTTGCTGGAAAAGGCCTTAGGCAAGGCCGTAGAGCTTCGAAAATATTTCCACAGAAGGGAATCGTATGCGTAGATGCCGAATTTCGACAAATCAGACCTCGCTGACACGTCAAATTTGGGCTAAAAGGCAAAAACTGCGGAAAAGCGTTAAGTTACGTAGTTTTTGCCATTTTTTGCCAAATTTGACGTGTCAGCGAGGTCTGATTTGTCGAAATTCGGAATCTACGCATACGATTCCCTTATAATATTTTCGAAGCTCTACGGCCTTGCCTAAGGCCTTTTCCAGCAAAAAAAAAAGGTAGCATTTGTCCCACCCCCAGCTAATGTGCTAAAATTTACCTCAAATACGGTCTTAACAAGTTCTTTTTAGGAGGTTTCGGTTTGCACGACTTGCGGAGAAGATATGGCTCTCGAGACGGTGAATATTTTCGCAAACATTGTAGAAATCTATAATATTATGATTCGAATCACTTTACTAAATCTTGATAACGCAAAATTATCTCTAGATCTTCTTAAAACAAGTCTTCTTTAGTGCTTTCTCTGTATTGGTTGTACAGAAATTCATCCTGGTGATCACAAAATTGTTGACAAGGTGCCATCCACGAACAAGAATCGACTTCTCATGCTACGAATTGCTGAAGATGTTCACGATATTGAAGTAATATTTTTCAGCTAAAAAGAACATTTACTTTCAGGCTGATATCGGCAATCAGCTCTCGGAGCTCAAGGAAACAATTTGGAGGGTGGAAAAGGCACACAAGGTGATTGACAGGGCTTTTAGAAAGAAATAGCAAGGAAGTTCCAAATTATCTAATAACTTTAGAGCCGAATCGCAACGGTGCGTGAACTTTTGGAAGAAGCCGAGCATGAAGTGGGAAAGAATGGAGCCGTCAAGGCACAAACTAGAGCGCATCTACTCCGCGCTGCTGAAGAGGCGAAAATTCGAGGACGGCTGCTTTTAGCTAGGCTTAAGGTTTGAAAAAGCTTTGCAAAAAGCATTTATATCAGTTTCATTTGCATAAAACTTTTAGTTAATCGATGAAAATACTCAAAATGTCTTGGTGGCGAATGGTAGTGATCTCACATATGAAGGAAGTAAGTTTATCAAGATATTAAGCAACAATAATCTCATAAAATAACTATTAACAATCACAACAATGTCTATATGTTTTTGGAATCTAAGTATGAAAGTTTTTTTAAAGGTGTTGGCCTACGAGACGCGATGCGCGTGGAGATCGTGAAACAGAGACGACTCGGCAATCACGCAGCCGTTATGGAGATTATATCGGAACTTCTAGGTAAATATTATCTATATATATATATAATATTATTATCCTTTAAGTGAGGTAGAAATTAAGTATTCAATGCAAAGATTTATTGAAGAAGCAACAAATGGCAAAGTGACCCTCCGAGAGATGCATCTGATAGCGCGAGTTGTCTTCGATCGCCTCGAGCACATCAGCCGCTCCACCAAGAAAATGGCTAAAGTTGGAAATGGGACAAGTACGACACAAATGGTAGAAAGATTTAAACAAAATCATTTGAAGTAAAAGTTTTAGACAATTAGCCCCACCGCTTCACCGATGACTCTAATCAGGACGATGATCTCGGGAGTGGCCGGAGACTTTCGCGCTGAATGTGCCGAACTATTGGACACTTTGACGAGAATTCACGCGCATGCTGATGTCAATATAAAAGGACATGGTATAAAGTAAAGCTTTTTTTTCATTTTACATCCATTTTGTAGCCTCGAGAGACTTTGGAACAAATGTAGAGCCATCAGTGGATTATTTACTTTCACTGTCGATCGAGGATATTGCAAAAGAGCAAAGAAAGGGGACTAGCATGCAAAAGTGAGTTGTTTTTACATAAAGTTGTTTATTTTTCATTGTTAGATTCACGGATTTGCAAGTAGTGTTGGTGAGGTATTTGCTGGCGGTGCACGTGTGCGCAACGTGGATGAGTCTTATCGAATCCGACAAAGATGAGGTGAATGAGCACCAGAAATGGGTCAAAACGAAAAAAAAAAACATAAACATAACAAAAGTCTGGGTGCTAGTGCACTTGAGGCTCACTTTTTTTTCAACGTTTTCCCTCTTCGATAGCGCTGATGCCGAAAATCACGTTTTTGAGGTGAATTTTCGATCAAAACTTCGACATTTGTTAAAAACACACTTGAAACTGTTATTTTAAATGTAAATTTAGGCATTTTTAAAGACAAATATCATATTCACGATTAAAACACGGATTGTTTTTGATCTTTTGTTTGTTTTATTGTTTTTGATCTTTTGTTTGTTTTATTGTTGTCGATCACTGAGCACTGAAAAATTCGATTTTCGGCATCAGCGCTATCGATTACTCCCAGAAAAGAGAAAACTTTGAAATAAAAAGTGGACTACGACCAAAATCTGTAACCATTTCATGATTCAACTCCAGAAATCGGATGTGCGTCAACAGCTGCGTGATTGCATCGACGGGTACATGTACACGGCGAGGGGTGGCCCTTTTGCGCCAGGTTTGCCAATAAGTTTTGTATAACCAAAATTCTAATATTCGGCTTTAATTATCATCTTTTGACTAGTCGAAAAACCCGCCTAACGGCGTGTTTTGGTTTGGTGTTTTGTTTGACCTCTCGAGTCAAAACCTGTTTGACCTCCCCTCCTCCTTGCATCCATGGCGTAGTGGGTAGCGCGACCGCCTCGCGCTCACATAATCCCAGTTCGATCCCCCTTCGATCTCCATTTTTGCTTTTAAAAAATTTCAAAGATGAGATGCACAACTACATAAAATCCCTATCTAAGAAAGGAAAAATTATATAAATCGGTTCACTGGGATCTCGGCCATATGGACGGACGGACAGACAGACCCTATATATGTAAATTTTAAATAAATTAGATATATTTTATATATCTTTATATTTAAATTTCTAGGAGAGCAAGTTTTCACAACTTTGGCTTCCGCATTGACCGAATTGGCGAAGAAACATGTGCAAGTGAAAGGGGTCAGAGCGGTACGAAGACGAGTCGATAAGGTTGGGAAAAAAAAGAGCCAAGCAAACCAAGAAAGCCAAGAAAGCTTAGAAATTTGTTGGCAAAATTTGACAATATTTTATCTAGTTAGTATTCTAGAATACAATCCAATTTCAGATCCTAAACAGCTATGCGACCTGGAGAGCTCAGGCAGCCATCTTCGGCACTCCATCATCGGCCCGAAGAGCGGCGAGTCTTCGAATTGCCTCTAATCAACTCTGGCACACCATAAACGAGTATGACCAAATCTGAGATTCTGATTCTCTTCTTGTATGGTAAATTTTTTTTGATGTATCTGTAGTGTACTTGTGTGATTAGACTTGCTTATAATATCTATCGATACAAATGGCAAGCTCATCTTTGACCGTTCATATCTCGGTTTCTAGAACAGCTATCAATCTGCAAATTGTTTCATTAGAAAGCCAAGAATTTCAGCTTTTGATTGCTACCTTACACATAACAAATTCTCATAGATGAACGCCTTAAAAAGCTTATCAATACTTATCGATAAGGTTTATGAAGTGCTTACTCATGAAAAGTCGCTATGTATAAAATAGCAATCAAAAGCTGACATTCTTGACTTTCCAATGAAACAATTTTTCATATTGATAGCTGTTCTAGAAACCGAGAGCTGAACGATCAAATATGGGCATGCCGTTTGTGTCGATAATATCGATAAGCAAGTCTACTTGTGATGTTTCAATGATTTGTGAATATCTCTTTCTCATCTCAACAATAGTTTATGAATAAAGCATGAATTGACAGAAGTGACCCGTTTTTTTTTTGTTACCCAAAGACAGAAAAGTTTAGTGAGTTGAATTAGACACGAATTTCAAATCGGGATTCATTTGGTGCATTGATGGGTTGATTTCTGAGATCATCGGTGACAGGGACGCTGCGGCTGCGATTTCGCAGTGAATTTGATTGAGATTGGGATGATGGTAGAACGGAACGTGATCGTGGCGGTTGACGCTGGATTCGAGCCGAAACACTGTTCACCGGCTCATACGGTGGCGGCGCTGCTGGCGGGTGATCCCTTCTTCGTCGTCGTCTTTCCCGTCTTTCGTTTCGTCCACCATCTTGAGCTCTAGAATTTTTCAGCTATTCCTTTAGCTATAAAATTATTTGACTATGCGTTCACTTTCAACAAGCATTTGAAGCATCTACGGCTTCGTACAATTTATGTGACTACTTTTCAATGATTGGTGCATAAATCTACAATTTACTTGCTTTTGCGTCTTTGAAAATCCAGAAAAACAACGAATTTCTCAGTCATTTTGCAGAGAAACAATCAAGCTTTTTAATAGTTTAAATAGAAATTTTGTTGGTGGAGATATTATTTTTAAAAATTTGGAAAAAAGGCTTTAAAGACAATATGCACTAATCTAGCTCTATATTCTCTATATAAAACAACTCTATATTTACTAGTAAATGGATATTTAAACATGTTTTCTTATCCTTTTCTTCACCTAGCTTGTTCATATGATGGTGGTGGTTGTTGTTTTGAGACCTCATCATATGTTGGTGGTGATGGTGGAGATGAAAGGGTTAACATTTGACGTAAGCGCCATTCTCGCTCTGTTATTGTTGGTTGCTCTAAAAAGAAGACAAAATTTTTTGGGTTTAAAAGGGCAATCTCGTGATAGTGATAAACGTGCAGTGATAAACGTGCCTTGTTGCCTCTCGATTGTATCGATTGAGGCGATAAATTCTCTTCGAGTCATTCCGTGTCTCTCCAAGAATTGCCGATCTCTGAAATTTCAAAACAATAAATGAACTTTGGAATGAAAGCTGAAAGCACTCTCATTTCTAAGAGAATCAATTTAAAAGATAGAAATTTCGTTTTTGAATTGAATTGTAATTGAATTGTCATTGAATTGAAAGCTTAAAACTTGAATTAAGCCGGAAATTCGATCTTGGAAGTTTTAATCAAAAGAAAAGCTTATTCTGAATGAAAATTGGATAATGAAAAAGGATAATGAAAATTGGATAATCAAAAAATCAGCTCTAGAGCTCTAGAAATCACCAAGAAATCGACGGAAGATAAGATTTAGAAGATCAAATAAAGATTATAGAGTTTAAATGTTAAAATAATGTCATTTTTTTAGCTCAAGAATCATTGAAAAACAGTCAAAACTATTGTAAGCAATAGTTTCTTTTACAGATATAATACAGGTACTTTTATAATATTCTTCTTTTCCTTACAAAAAATACTTACAATCGATGTCGTAAATAAGCAAAAACGATTCGACTACAACAAATGAGCAACGCGAAAACACAAAGACCCGGGATAAAAACCTCGTAGAGAAGTGCAAATCTAGAAATTCGATTTAAAAAGAATAAGATTAAGGTAGATTATTATTGAAATCTAAATCTTTTCTTTTGATATCATTGAAATCAACAATTCAAACCTTCCCGCTGCGCAATCATCATCGCATGGAGGAAATGGGGTCTCAGAACCCCCCGTTGTTGTATCATCTAGAAATTTTGATTGGAAATTTATTGAAAATTTATTAAAAATCATTCCTTCTCACTTAATAAGCTAATTTCTTATTAACTATCTGATTCTTACTCTTATTTATTTAAGTTAAAAGTCTGAACTAAGCAAGTAAGCAAGAAGCAAGTAAGCAATTAAAGCAAGGTAGTTTCATCACCTGAATCCGAATCATTTTTCAGCTTAATAAGCTAATTTCTTATTAACTATCTGACACTTTATTCTTATTTACTTACTGTAAATACTGTAATAGTACCCCATCACCCTCGTACAGTCGCGTAGTCGAAAAGTTTTTACTATTTCTTTTTTCGGCCCGCCTTTCAAAATGCGTCTTTGGTATCAACAAATAGCTGAAATTCAGGGCTATTTTTTTGATACCTAAGCGCGCATTGTAGCATAAACCAGTGTCGAGAAAAACTCGTTCAAAGCTAGACTACGCGATGCTCCGGTCGTCATTATAAAAGCAAAATGCGTTTAAAGTTAGACTACGTGTGCTCCGTCTTTTGTATCAACAAATGCTGAATTCAGGGCTATTTTTGATACCTAAGCGCGCATTGTAGCATAACCAGTGTCGAGAAAACTCGTTCAAAGCTAGACTACGCAACACTCCGCACCGTCATTATGGGGGTGGGGTACTATTACAGTATTTACGGTAAGTTAAAAATCTAAACTTAAAAAGAAGCAAGTAAGCAATTAAAGCAAGGTAGTCAAAGCAATCAAAGCATTACCTATCCGAATCACTTTTCAGCAACACATACTCGCTGTACATTCGAATGAGAATTTGAATCTTGTCGCCAAACAAAGCCAAAAATATCCTTGAAATTCAGGGATAATTCTTGCAAAAATAAAACACAAATAATTGAAATTCAGAATTCAAATCCTATATGAAAAAATGGGGGGCTTGTAAAGGGGAAAGGGGAGAATAATCTGCGAATTTTGAGAGAGATAACGCAAATCGGCTTGCTTGTCATTTCTGAACACCCCCAATGTCCTCTTGTCATCTAAAATCTTATAAATGAAAAAAAAGGTGGCCATAAATCCAAGCACGTGAATGATCTATTTCAATTTAAAAGAGTGATTTCTTTTCAGAAGTCTTCATCAAATCTCTTCAAATATTGATGAATTTTGTTTTTCAAATAAAAAAAGAGAAATAGTAAAAGCTCGAGCAATAAAATGTTATCTTTATGGGAGTCGATCGACTTTTCACTTTCTCTTTCTCTTTCTCTTTCTCTTAAACATTTATTTTCATGCTTGACCTTTTAAAGCATACTTTTAAATCACTTTTTATTCAATAAACATATTCACATTCAGTTTTTGCACCAATTATAAGCATTTTGAAACATTTTAAGCCATGGAGCTGTAAGCTGCAATGAGGTTTCATCAAGATTTCTGAAGATTTGAGGCTCACGATCCGGCCATTGCCAAGCCATAAATGATCTAGAATTTTTGTTGGATAAATTTTTGCAATAACTTTCCAATAGGCTCTTGTAAAGTATGCTGTTTTATTATCGATTTACAGAGAATTAGACATGGGCAGCGGGTCGGATCGGGTCGGATCGGGTCAAAAGTGACCCGCTGACCCGACCCGCGACCCGGCTTTTTTCCCGGAGGACCCGCTGACCCGACCCGGCAAAAATTATTGGCTTGACCCGACCCGCTGACCCGACCCGGCCGCCAAAACTCGAAAATGTACATGTCTACAGAGAATGAAGTAAATCATCAAAAATTCACCGATCCGAGTGCGGCATCATCGCCAAATGTCTTCCATTTTCCGAGCAAATCGCTGCCACTCCTTTCTCGGATCCATTCGGATTCCAAGGGAAACGTTCCGTCGGCTCTCCTCTTGGATTCACATATTGTACAGCGATTTGTCCTCTTTCCTCAAGCTTTTCTAGCACGTCAGCTTTTCGATAAGTGAAACGGCCTAGATTCCTTTCGGATTTCATTCTCCAAACTTTAGCCACCTTCACCATGCACTGACCAAATGCCCAATGTGGCTTCGTGCATTCCATTGAGCATTATTGCGCGAGATTCACGAATTTTCACATGCACCCAATTGCTGTGAAATCGGCCACAACGATTCACATCCAAAAATACGGAGGGTTTATTTTCTGGAAAGGAGTTTTTTTCTTTTCTTTAAAATTTGAATCTCTTCTCAACCATATTCCCCAATCCATCCTAAAAGAGCCATCAATTGACACCCATTGCAAACACCAAATGAAAATGTGTCTTCTCTGGAGCGGAAGTGCTCAAATTGAGATAAGAGAGCCGGATGATGAGCGATGCTGGCAGCCCAGCCTGAAAAGATCTTCTTGTTTACTCGAAGAATCATTTCAAAGTCTTTTACAATTCTATAAAGATAGAATTCTATAAAGATCCATATTATAGGATACTTAGATGAGAAAAAACTTTTGGTTTAGTTGAATTGCAAACAAAAACAAAAACAAAATACTTAGAGCAAAAACTCTTGGTTTAGTTGAATTGCAACTTTCTCTTTCCTCCCCACCTTTCGCTGATCCAAGCACATCCGCATACGAGAACCCGCCAACAAAAGCTAAACCTCGAAAAGTGTCCAAACTAAACTAATATTAGAAAAAATTATAGCTATTTTGACAAACTTGAAACCATTCAAGAGATCTGTCATCGTGATGTCATAAGGAGAAAAGCCAGCTAGATAAAAAGCGGCAGCCATCTCTCGATCACCGTTACTTCCCTCTTCTCTTAGCACTCCAACTCTTGGAGCTAAACGAGAGCTTCAGTGACAAAGTCACAGATTCGCCTATTACCACTTGTGAAATGTTGTTCATCGTTTGGAATTGATATAGCTGAAAAATCAAAATCCGCTCGGCAATCCCATCGTTCAACCATTTTTCTGCCCTACAATTTTTTTCAGTTACCTTTTCAGCTAATTTTTCTCAAAATTCTTACTTCAATCTCTTCCTCGATACATTGATTGTTTGTTTGCAAGCGATTCAACCGATCGCTTGTCTCCTCCCAGATTTCTCTTAAAGAACACAATGAGTCATCAATTAACAACTCGTCGTTGATCGTCACTTTCACCTGTAAGAAATTGAGATAAGCTTTTCAAGAGTTTCTTCATCTTTAAGATCTTCTTTAAGAGCTAGAAAAGTATATAAAAGTAAAAGAAATATATACATTTGCTTTAGGTCCATACTCAGGAACAACTCGTCCAATCGGAATCGATATCAAGCCATGAGAAGAAAACTCTTTACAAATATAATCAACAGCTTCTTCTTGTATCTAAACAGCTTCACTTAGACAGCTTCAACAGCTTCACTTAGACAGCTTCAACAGCTTCACCTAGACAGTTACAACAGCTTCACTTAGATATTCAGCTTCTTGGACAGCTACGGTAAAAATAGAATGGTAAAGAAAGATTTTCGGAGAGGGGATTGAACTTTTTGCTTTCCTGGAAGATGCTCTAACCACTGAGCTATCCGGTAACTTGCTGCCAGTGAGAGGAAAGAGAGAAGATAAGGGAGAAGAGAAAGGAAGAAAGAGGGAAGATAAGGGAGAAGAGAAAGGAAGAAAGAGGGAAGATAAGGGAGAAGAGAAAGGAAGAAAGAGGGAAGATAAGGGGAAGATAAAGGAAGATAGAGGGAAGATAAAGGGGAAGATAAAAGAAGAAAGAGAAGCATACGACTAATGGTGTTTCTATAGATCAAATGTGTTTTCTAAGAAGTGCGTTGGAAGAAGGAAAGAGATGCTTATCAAACCTCGAGCAATAGTCCAACTTCTTCAGCAAAGAGAAACTCAAGAAGATTTATCTCTGAAATCATTCATTTAATAAGTCAAAGAGTTGGGGAAACTTTTCGGCAATTGAAAATTTAAATCAACTCCAACATTTCCAGCAAATGCCATTTCGAGGAGAGCCGTGATGAAGCCACCATCAGAAATGTCATGTCCTGAAATTATTAGGTTGATGCATAAGACTTTTCGTTTTTTTCGTACTTCTGTTAAAAAGTAACAAATTCACCAATTAATCTATAGTTTGCTCTATAAAAAAAAGTGTTTTTTTGTTCAATTTGCATCTTTTTAAATGAATTTCGGTTCACTTTCAAGCAAATTCGAGAGTGAAAAACGCCTTTTTCGTAAAAATCTATAAAAAACTCTACGGAAAAATTGGCTCAATGAATTTCTCTGAAATTTTGGCGAAATATCAAACGTTTTTTTTCTCTATCTTTTATCTATTGACACGAAGATAGGTTTTCTTTAGCTAAGGTGTCTAAACCGCATCATCGAGTTAGCCCTTTTTGACTACCCGACTTCATACTCTCAAGAAAATCCAGGCATTAAATATTTTTAAACCCGTTTTAATGTTATTTTGCAGAAAAATAATTGCTTTTTCTAATGAAATCAACCGTAGTTTAATTCGTGCATTTGTTGGCTTGAAACGGCAGACGAAAAGGAACAAAAACACTTATGCATCAACCTAATAGAAATCATTTTCCTCAGTCTCAGTCACTCACCAGCTAATACTTTTCGAGAAACAATCATTTTTTGAACTGTCTCAAATAAAAGAATTAGTTTTTCGAATGATTCAACATCTGATGCACGATCACCAATCTAAAATAAACCAATAAACCAATAAAGGACTTTTTAAGCTTTCTACTTGTTTCAAACATTGTGCCAAAGCTGAGCCGCCCAAACGATTTTCTTCGATCGGATTTATTCGAATGTAGATAATCGAGTTCTTTTTGTCTAAAATTATGATTAAAAATAGATTTATTTACATGAATAATATGGTAAAAACAAGCCAGAAAGAGGGAAGATAAGGGGGAAGATAAAGAAAGAAAGAGAAAGGAAGAAAGAGAAGCATACGACGACTACAACCTAAGCCTTAAATTTAGGGCAAAAAAATACTGAAAAAAGATTCAAGAATCTAGCCAACGGGATTCTTGAGCCTTGAGCCTTGAGCTCTCGACTATAATACAAGACTCGTAGCCAGTCGGCCACGACGACCATAGGAGCAATAGAAAATATTGCTTCACTTGCCTTCACTTACCGGCTTTAAAATCCGGACTGATGACTTTGGTGATGTCTTCACAAGGAGCATAAGCTGAAAGCACAAGAGTTCCCGGAGATTTTACAAGCTCTCCTTTTACTCTCACCGCCATACTCAATGAATCCTTTCCACCATCAATTGCTATTCCTAAAGCCAGAAATTCCATGAATTGCAACCATCTCCCCACCGCACTCTCGAAGACTCACACAAAGCGCATCGCATGCTTCAACCAGCCGCGCCCCTTCACCCTCACACTTCGCTGCCCACATCCAGTTACCAGATAATTTGATATCCTAAAAATTCGATTCTTTTAATTCCACTTAGTCAACCTTTATGCATGTAATTGGGGCAAAGACAAGATTTGTGAGCGTTTCAGCAAGAGTTCGTCGAGCCATCGCAGCCGGGGAAATGAGACCGCAAAGTGGCTGCTCGCCCACAGCAAACGCTCCTCCAACCTATAATTAGTTTTTTTTAGAAATAAAATACATTTATTTATACGTATAATGTGGTACAAATAATAGAAAAACCACAATTCCTAAGCCCTAAATGTAGGGAAGAAAAAAAGAATCAAAATTCAAGCGACCGGATTGAACCCTTGAGCTCCCGACTAAGATACAACACTCTTAGCCACTCGGCCATAGTCTGTCTGTTTTAGTTCTTAAAAAAATTGCATATATTTTGGTTCTCTTTTGATACTTTCTTATTTATAGACGTTATGCTTTGTTTCTGCTATTGACATCAAGAAAGATGCAAGAAGTCTGTCCCGTATCGGAAGATGGGACAAAAAGAAGAAGAGAAAGGGTTGGAGAAGCTATCGTTAGTCGGGAAGGCAAGGGAGGAAGGGAAAGAAGAAGAGAAAGAGGAAGAGGAAGAGAAAGAGGTCGTCACTCATCCCTCTCGGCACCCTGGACCTGATGACTAACTCGGGCTCTTGTTCCCCATCCTCTTTTCCTCTCCCCAGACTCTCCTTGGGGACCACCCCATGCCAATCGCTAGGAATACCATCATTCCCACAAAATTGCACTGATTCCACTCTATTGAATAGGAAATGAAATCCCTATTTTCTTTCTTTTTCCTCATCTCTACAGCAATTGCCGATTTGTGTCAATATTGTGGTTGTGATTTCTCCACAGAGTCTGTCACTTGTTCGGACAAGGATTTCCTTCTCCGAACAGTTTCTTTACTACCATCAATCTCTCAATTGGTTCTTCATCGAATCCCCCTTCCACATGCTCCACACTTTCTCTATCACACAAATCTACGCATTCTGAAAATCAATGATTGCGGCTTAGAGGGACTCTCAGCTCACTCAATTCTCCCACTCCCGAATCTAGAGGTTATCAGCTTTGCAAACAACAAGTTAACAACACTACCAGCAACTCTTTTCCGAAGACAAGATGATTTGAAAGTGATCGATGTCAGTTACAACAAAATCTCTGACTTGAGTGGAATTGAGTGGATTCTAGGGGAGAATGTGCTTCTCGATGCACTTGATCTCGGGCATAATCCAATCGAAATGTCTACTCGATCCACCAAATTGCCACCAGTGCGTCAACTTTTAATGTCAATGACGAACATTGAGCGAATCAATGGAACATCGATTATTTTCAAGGCAACAGATCGATGCAAAGTTGATGGTTGTCGAGTTTTGCCGTTTCCGAGAACTGAATCGCTCACTTATTTTGATGTGGCTGATAATGGGGCGGTGATTGAAGCGAGTGCTTTACAGGTTGAAGAAAATTCATTGAATTTCATTGAATTTCATTCATTTCTCAAAGTTTTTAGGCTTTACTGAATGCGACACATTTAAATTTTGCCAATAGCAAATTACCAGCCGAGTTCTTTGATTGGTTAGAGACAGCAGCCGTTATTCATCTCAATCTTTCAAATGCTCAGGTTTAAATAGGGGGTTTTTTTTCAAAAAAGCCCTATACAGATTACTGTACCAAATGAGGAATGGCGATGGTGTGGACCTCGTTTAGAAACACTTGATATTTCAAATATTCATCTTCGTAGACTTCGTCTCAATCGTGGATGTGTATTGCGAAAAATTTTCGCTAAAGAGAACCAGCTTGAGGTTTGAAAAGAAAGCTTTTGAAAAGAAAGCTTTTGAAAAGAAAGCTTTTTAAAAGAAAGCTTTTGAAAAGAAAGCTTTTGAAAAGAAAGCTTTTAAAAGCAAGCTTTTTTAAAAGCAAGCTTTAAAAGCAGCAAGCAAACTTAAAAGCTTTTTAAAAGCATAATTATCTAATTCATCATTTTAGATGGCTTTTCTCGATACACCAACATTAGAAGCAGTTTATTTGGATAAAAATCTTTTCTCTGATTGGCCGATGCTTCCAATGGGAACTTCATTAGATCGACTCGAGACTTTCTCGATTTCATCGAATCTTTTAACTACTTTGCCACCTGGTGCACTCACTCATTTTCCTATACTTCAGGTCTGTTGATTCTTTTGGGTTGAAGAATGGTTGAAGAATGATCGGCATCGGGATTTGAACCCGTGACTCTCCGTGAGCTCGCCTAACAGCCGAACGCTTTACCTACAGCTACTGCTACAGAGCTACATCAACACATTTTAAATAGTCATAGCAGGGCAGGGCTTTATGGCTTTATGGCTTAGTAAAAACTAATCCTTTTCAGCACCTCGATCTCTCTAGAAATCAATTGTCGAAAGTGGATTTTGACGCTTTCCCCACTTTAGGAATGCAGTTGATTTCAATCGATTTATCCTACAATCAAGTGAGATTTCAAAAGTTTCTTCAATCAATCAAAAGCTTAGCTTTCTGTTCTTCCTCATCCTGTACTTCCATCAATCCTATTTTTCGATGTTTCATCAAATAATATCAACGAGATGTCGCCTTTTCTTTTTGCTGGAATGCCTCTCTTGCAACATCTCAAACTCTCCAACAATCCGCTGATCTTTAGGAATTGCTCTGAAAAGTTTGACAACTCAAATTCTAATTTATAGTTTTCTAGATGTTGGCTAGATCATTTGGATATTCTCACAAATCTCGTTGATCTTGATTTGAGCAATTGTCAATTGAATAGAACATTGGATCTTTCAAAGCAAATGTCTCTAAAGGTGAATGTTGAGGAATTGTAGCTAAATCTTTTTGATGGAATGCCTCTCTTGCTGGAATGCCTTTAGATTTAAAGGCTAAATCTAAATGTTCTTTAGATTTAAAGGCTAAGTCTAAATATTCTTTAGATTTAAAGGCTAAATCCAAATCTACTTTAGATTTAAAGGCTAAATCTTCCTTAGATTTAAAGGCTAAATCTAAATCTTCCTTAGATTTAAGGCTAAATCCAAATCTTCTTTAGATTTCATCGATTTAAAGCACATCATTCCCCAAAGAAGAGTATTTAGTCAGTGATTTTACGAGGCAACCAATTGACAGCAATTGATGGTCGTCATTTCCCGAGCTCTTTATCGATGTTGGATGCCGGTGAAAACTTGATTCATTACGTGAAAAATCTCACCTCTCACTCGAATCTCCGCGAGCTGAGACTCGATGGAAATCCACTCATTTGTGATTGCTCCCTTTTTGAGGTAAATCATTGCCCTCTTTTCCAAAAAAAAACCCATCTGACAGATCCGTTCCCAACTCTTCAATCAAACGAAAATCAACGACCCACAATCGTATTATTGTTTCTCTTCTTCATGGCAATACCCTTTACTACCTTATCTCTCAACGTTAAAGCCTTGCATCCTCAACTCAGCCTCGTCCCTTTTGCCTACAATCGCCACCGCTTTCTTGATCACTTTATGCATAATTTTCTTGATTGTTGTCTCAATTCTAGGCGGTCAACGTGCTTGTAGTTCAATCTCTCACAACTATAAACGTTTAGCCGCTGAATTGCCCGTTCGACTATAATCATTTAGTCGAACGACTTCGACTAGCTTTCCGCCTTATTCCTTTTCTTTTTTCTAGATTGATTTTTTTTCCTTTTAACAGCTGGCTTGTTAAAGTTTTGCTTATAAAGAATTGATCGAAAAAGAGAAATCTTTGGGTTTGTGGGGCTGAATTCGCAGAGTAAAACATTTTGAACGCGATTCTCCCAGGGGAAAACACAATAGAGCCTAATGTTCAAAGGCGCTGATGTGCCTAGATTTGTGTCCCGCCTAGATTGCCTAGATTTTACGAACACAAAAAAATCTTTCTAGTGAAACAAAACTCAAGTTTTCTTGAACAAAAATCTTATATGAATTTTGAATTTTGAAAAATACCAAAGAGAAGTAGGAAAGCGCGACGACGGCAACGTCAGCTAATGGTGTATGAAGCGGTCCACAGCATTGTTGCCTTGCCACCAAACCCGTCACACTTCGATCGACTTTTGTTGTTAAATAACTGAAATCATTTTATTCTTTTAACTTACTATCATAAATACTGTAATAGTACCGCACCCCCATAATGACGGTGCGGAGCATCGCGTAGTCTAGCTTTGAACGAGTTTTTCTCGACACTGGTTTATGCTACAATGCGCGCTTAGGTATCAAAAAATAGCCCTGAATTTCAGGGCTATTTTTTGATACCAAAAGAGGACCCGAAAACCCAGCCCCTCCGTCTCGAACGCAGTTTTTCCGACACGGTACGAAAGCGCGCCGGTACAAAAATAGAAATTCAGGGCATTTTTGAAAAAACAAATTTAAAACCCCTAAAAAAATGAAATACTAAAAAACTTTTGCGACTACGTAACTGTACGAGGGCGATGGGGTACTATTACAGTATTTACGGTAGCTACTCATTTTCTCAAAAAAACACTCACCGTTTACTTGCTACAGAAGGCAATCGAAGAACCAGCCCCAACGCGGAACTGATTGTTAAACTATCGACGATTTTTAGAGGCGATGTCAAAATTGGAAGCGAATTTTGATGAAATTCCTGGAAATTCCTTGATTCAATCCAATTACGCAAACTTTTTTCTCTCGATCGCTTAGAATACTCAAATCAAAGTCAACTGGAAGCTTTTGAGTGGCTGAATTAGAGAAATCGTGAAGAATTACCTGAAAAAGGCTTTAAAGATTGAAATCTCTTTTCTCATACTTTTTGATTCCCGGTCACTTTGCCTACAATGTTCACTGGACATTTTTCTCGCTTGCTAATCTTTTCGATGATCTCTTTCTTTGTAGGATCGAGCAGAATGGCATCGTTTTCCTGGAAACACTTGATATGGAATTAATTTTGTTTAAAAACCTGATATTCAGCTGTCCACAGTTCTCGAATCGAGATCGTGTGATCGCCGAGTTCAAAGAAATCAGCAAAAATCTCTCCGCCAGCTCCCTCACAAAGCTCTTTCAAGACATTGCCTAGAAGTTGGTCGAATAAAAATAGAATTCGAGATTCTCACTAGACAAAAAAGATATTCAGCTGATAGCTTCAATTATAAAAGATAAGCTGATAGCTTCATTCATAAAAGATAAGCTGATAGCTTCAATCAGAAAAGATAAGCTGATAGCTTCAATCATGAAAGGGGAGGTAGTCAAATGAGCGCCAAAAATTGAGCGTCAATCATTTCAGCGCCAATCATTTTAGCGCGCGTTCATTTCAGCGCCGCACCAAAAATGACTGGAAAACATTCATTTCAGCGCCGAATCAGCCCATTCTGTATATGCATGTTATTTTTGCATTTTCTGCATGATCTCAAAGTTTTTACTGTATGTTTTTATCTAAATCATCTAAAGATAAAAATAATTCTTGGCAGCAAAATAAACCAAAATAAATCATGAACAAAACGTTACTTTGACTCAGAGTGTTCCTTTGTCTCGCCACTTCTTGCGCAGTTCACGAGCCTAAGCAAAGAACTATGTTAACTGTAAGCAAATTGTAAACGAAAACGGCAAGAAACGGTGAAAAAGCATGCTATTGGGGGAAAATATCATACAACTAGCAAATTTACACATTTTCATCAAAAAAACCTTAAATACGAGCTAATCTAACAATTTTTTCCGCGCATTTGGTGCCTACTGCCGTGCCCTAGGTCAAATGAGTGAAAAAGTGTAAAAACAGAAGCAAAACCCTAAAAAACATGCAAAAGAAGCGTAGAAAGCAAAAATATTAAAATTTAGTCACGCTGAAATGAACGTTTTCCAGTCATTTTTGGCCCGGCGCTTAAATGAACGTTTTTAGGCCTTTTTAATTTGGCGCTCAAATGATTGTTTTCCAGTCATTTTTGGCACGGCGCTCAAATGAGTGGCGCTGAAATAAGCGTGAGCCAAATCGTTGGCGCTGAAATGATTGGCGCCCAATTGTTGGCGCTCATTTGACTACCTCCCCATGAAAGACAAGCTGATAGCTTCATTCATAAAAGATATTCAGCTGAAAAGTTACCTTTCAAATTTTCAATCTACTTCCAATCTAGATTTAGATTAGATTAATCTAAAGATTTTCTAAACTACTTTAGGAAAATGAGACGTCTCTTTACAGTATCTTCAAGATTTTAGCTTTAAACAAACCATTTCCCCCAGCTCCTTGATCATGAATTGAAAGAATCGGATTATCAGCACTATTCATTTCAACACAAGATCGAACAACTCTATGCACTTTCTGCTCCATTTCGGCGTCGCCTCGTTGAACGGCTCCAAAGTCGAGAACACTTTCTCGATCACCTATAAAAATAATAATCTTTAAATCTTTAAATCTCTCCTTTCTTTTCCATTCACTTTCCACTTTTTTTCTCACCTTGAACCGCTTGTGAAGACGCGGCTCCTCCGCCAACACCAATTCGATAAACCGGCCCACCAATCTTTGCTAATAGCTGCCCTGCATCTGCTCCTTTTTTCTTCAAATACTCTTCATCTAAAAAGAAAATGTTGTTTTTAAAAACGTTATTCACCAATTGATCCAATTCCTCCAGAAAACATGATCGGTTTTAGGTATTCACATCGCTCTCCTGATGGCAATCGTTGACCAAATGAGCGTGCAAAACCGCACAAAACGGGCTCTCCTAAAATTTTCAATTAAAGGCACTCATTTTTTTGGAAACCAAATTTATTTCCATAATCACTAGCACCATCTGAGGCTTCAATGCAAATCTAAAACATTTGAAGGCACACTTTTGAAAAGAAACTACACTACTGGACAATGGAATATCATATTTGAAAAACGATCGTCACTTTCGCACGTCTGTAACTCCCTTGTTTTTACCTTGTATTTCTAAATATTAATACTACCATTGTGGAGCCCTTGAAAAGAGCTTTCAAAAATGTATAACACTAATAGTTTAAACTCAAAGACAATGGAGTTACAGACGCGCGAAAGTGACGATCGTTTTTCAAATATCATATTTCATTGTCCAGTACTGTACCTGTCTCGGGTGAGCAAAACCACTCGGATAGACTTCAGGCTCTTCCCAAGGCATTTCATAACCTGGTAGATGAAGATTTCCAAATGAATACCCAGCTACAGCAGCGATCTCATGAGCACCACGACCTGTGGCATGAACATCACGGATTCGGCCACCCGTTCCCGTTGTTGCACCCTGAAAGTTGATCAAAAGCAGTGTCTGTCTGTCCAGACGCCGGCTCGACCGTCTTTTGACCAATAAAGCTAAAACTTCTTTAGAAAACCTTAGAATATATTGTAGTTCTGCTATTTAAAGTAAAAATTGAAAAAGCCGGAACTGAGTGGCACTACCGGGGTTCGAACCCGGGCCACGTGGGTTGTAGGCGAGAATGCTGCCGATTGAGCGAAAATAAAAAATCAAAAAAGCCAAGATTCAGTGCCACTATGGAGGCTCGAACTAGGACCGTGTGGGTTGTAGACAAGCGCGCTCTCGACCGCGCCACGGGTACGCTCTCGACTGCGCCACGGGCGCGCTCTCGACTGTGCCACCAACAAGAAGCGACCGTGATAATAACCTCTAGTTTACTCCATCCACTACTCCTTTTTCGTTCATCGGTTACCTGAAATGGGCATACAGCTGTCGGAAAATTGTGTGTTTCTGCGGTGTACAGCAAATGGCGGCTTCTTGTTGATATGCTCAATTCAGAGGCGATTGTTGGATCATTTGGCAACATTAGAGGAACTTTCTCGAACCCCTTGATCACACTCGAATTATCCGAAAAAGCGATCAAATTGTTTTGATTTGAAAACTTTTGTGTTCCCCGAATCGAGTCCATCAATGATTCGCCTCTCAACTCTCCATCAATAAACAATTTTCCTGAAAATTTCCACATACCGTAAATACTGTAATAGTACCCCACCCCCATAATGACGGTGCGGAGTGTTGCGTAGTCTAGCTTTAAACGAGTGTTTCTCGACACTGGTTTATGCTACAATGCGCGCTTAGATATCAAAAAATAGCTGAAATGCAGGGCTATTTTTTGATACCAAAGACACATTTTTTGAAAGTACAGGCGCTTTGGAAAAAATGAAATACTAAAAAACTTTTGCGACTACGCGACTGTACGAGGGGGGTGGGGTACTATTACAGTATTTACGGTAATTCACAAAGCAATCGCCTCGTTTTACCTCTAAAAAACCAATGCCTCGAGTGCTCGGAGTCGGATTGAGCCAAATCAAAAAGCTCGACATCAGTCGGATTTCTTAAGAGTTCTTTTATTCCGAAATAATAAAAGACTACCTCTTCAATTTGTTTATAAATAAATCTTTATAATAATCGAGATCCGATGAATCAAATGCTAGTCCCAATTTTTCATTTGCTTCTTTTAAAGCATTCGGATTCGATAAGAGTCGAATCTCGGTAAATGGTTCTTTTATCTAAAAGATTTTCCCTCAATTCTCTTGTCAAAAAATAAAATCGACCGCTGTTTGTTCGAAATTCGGTTTTCCTTCATAAATACATTCGGTCATTCGGTCCCCGAGTAATTCTAGAAGCCTAAAAAGAAAAGAAAATCGAACGGGAAATGGAAAAGAAGGAAAGAGAAAGAAAAAAAAGAAACAAATAGGGTTGCTAAAAAAAGGAAAAAAAGACTGGAGAAAATTGGGTAAACTACCTTTGATGGGGGATTCTTTTGGCAACACTCTTGTGCAACAAATATCGAATGCTTCTCTCGATTCGGGAAACATTTCGAATCTCGACAGCGTTGAGAACGGCGAGAGCGTTTGTGCAAAAGGATGTCTTCATCGAGAGTCTGAATCACTGAGTTTATGATGAGCTATATCTATTTATTTGTATTATTTTTCTATTTATCATTTCTATTTATCATTTATCTATAAATCTACTTAAGTAAAGTGTTTCTTTTATGTTTAACGACGTCATAGAAAAGCTGTGTATAGTTTGATTGAATATCTTTGCATGTAGCTGTAAATTTGTCTATTTTATATTACTTTTCTTATAGAATTCGAGCTTATTTTTTACTCTTTTAACTCTACTGAGCAAGAAATAAGAGAATTTATGTAGAATTTGACTTTAAAACTTTAAAAACTTTAAACTTTAAAGTAGTGACTCAAATTTTCTCAAAAAAAGAAACCAAATTTCTTGAGATAAGGAACCAAATTTAGAGAGATAAGGAACCGAATTTAGAGAGAGAAGAAACCAGATTTAGAGAGAGAAGAAACCAAATTTAGAGAGAAGGAACCAGATTTAGAGAGAGAAGGAACCAGATTTAGAGAGAGAAGGAACCAAATTTAGAGAGAAGGAACCAGATTTAGAGAGAGAAGGAACCAAATTTAGAGAGAAGGAACCAGATTTAGAGAGAGAAGGAACCAGATTTAGAGAGAGAAGGAACCAAATTTAGAGAGAAGGAACCAGATTTAGAGAGAAGGAACCAGATTTAGAGAGAGAAGGAACCAAATTTAGAGAAATAAGGAACCAAATTTAGAGAGAAGGAACCAAATTTAGAGAGATAAGGAACTTTAAAAAGTCTAAATCTCCACCCTTTCCGGCTCAAATGAAATCTCTTTTATCTCTTTTTTCTCTTTTTTTGTATTTCAAATATGAGTGCCTTAGAAATGATGTTTAATTTTAAACAAAGACAATTAAAAAAAGCTCTTCTTCTGAACTAAAATTGAATTAAAACTTTGAATTAAAAGCTAAAAGCTAAAATCTTTTTGTTAACATCTTTTCTATTCTTAAATGTTTTTTCCTAAAAAACAAAGCCTTTAAAGCATTAAAATGACCTTGGTCCAATCTCGAGAATCGATTCCTCTACGTCGAATATTGTTTCTTTTCGAATCTTTTCTCCAAATGGAGACACCGATAAAAGCCATTCGATTTTCGTCAAATTATCTTCATTAAGAAAGAGTTCCGGGTCAATCTAGACATTTTTCTTTCATTAAAGCTTTTTCTTTTCCCTTTCAAACCCCTTTCTCCAAAATCAAATGATAGCAAAATTCGACTTTTATCTAAATTTTTTATAATTTATATAATTTATATAATTTTTATAATTTATATGTCGCAGCCGCTCGTGATTTTCAGCCGCTAGTGATTGAATCACTAGCGGCTAGCCGATGGTGATTCAATCACTAGCGGCTAGCCGATGGTGATTCAATCACTAGCGGCTAGCCGATGGTGATTCAATCACTAGCGGCTAGCCGATGGTGATTCAATCACTAGCGGCTAGCCGATGGTGATTCAATCACTAGCGGCTAGCCGATGGTGATTCAATCACTAGCGGCTAGCCGATGGTGATTCAATCACTAGCGGCTGAAAAGCACGAGCGGCTGCGACATATATAATTTTTTATAATTTATGAATTTAATTTATATATTTTAATGTGTATGGGTACGCAGTTGAGCCTGGAAAAAAAGGTTATTGCCTCTTCTATTTCTAGTTCTTAAAATATTTCATACCGATAAACATATATGCCTCCTATAGTCTGGAATTAGTATTATTTAGAGCTAGTTGGATTCCAATTCCAAATTTATCAATTTATAATATATATAATTCTGTGAAGAAAAATCGTTTCTCAACTACTTGATGATTGTCATTGATCGCTTTTTGAGCACGGATGATGAGATTTTCGGCGAAAATCCCATCGAGTGGGCAGAAAAAGCACAAATGCGACATGAGAAGTGAGTCTGAAAATGGAATTTCCAAAATTGGAAACAATAAAAGAAATATACGAAAATAATAAACAATTAAAGCCAAAAAAGAAAATCAATTATGATTTGTTTATCTAAAATGAAATTTTTTCCTTTTTGATCTTGTTTTCCCATTTCAATCATTTCTGTTGCACTTTTTTTGTTCTTGAGATTGAGATAAAATTCAAGGTAAATAAGAACACTCGAATTACTACCAAAATTTGTTTTCTATAGATGGAGAAAAAACAAAAAAAACAAAACAAATGATTTTGTATAAATACTTTATTTGGAAAGAAATAAAGGGCAAAAACGACATGAAAAATGTAACAGATAAAAGATCACAAAGTCACTTAAAATGCAACGAAGTAGCCCTTTTAAATTTAAATCAGATACGGTGGAGATCAAACGCAACTTGTCAAACTTTTCGGGAAGGGCATTCCAAAATTTAATCACACGATTTACAGAAAAAAAGCTCTAGAGGGAAAGCAGATTCGAGAAAGCAGATTCGGGATGCAAGATGCACTTTTTTTTGTTCTTGAGATTGAGGTTGAAGGATCTCAAACTCTTATTTACCTTTTGATAGTAATTCGAGTGATATCTGGTACATTTTTCATGTCGTTTTCGCACTTTATTTCTTTCTAAATAAAGTATTTATATATATTACATATTACATACAGTACTGGACAATGAAATATCATATTTGAAAAAACACTTTCGCGCGTCTGTAACTCCCTTGCCTTTGAATTTAAACTATTAGTGTTAGACATTTTTTGAAAGCTCTTTTCAATGGCTACACAATGGTAATATTAATATTTAGAAATACGGTAAAGACAAGGGAGTTACAGACGCGCGAAAGTGCGAAAGTGTTTTTTCAAATATGATATTTCATTGTCCAGTTATATTATTGTTTAATCTATATAAGACGTATTATTGTTCAATCTATATAAGATTTAGATTGAATCTAAATCGGACGTCCGATATAGACTGTAATCTAAATCGGACGTCCGCGATAAGTTCAATCTAAATCGGACGGAAATCTAAATCGGACACAACATATATAATCAATTTATAATTTATAATATACAGTAGAAGTAGAGTTCGGCAAACAAAACCAAAACCAAAACCAAAACAAACCAAAACTCAATTTGAATATAAATTAACATGTAAATTTAAAATTGTAAAATGCAAATTAGCCTTTCACTTTTTCTCACTCCACAAAATCTCGCGGCCGAAAAAAGCACCAAAACACGACCTCGAAATTTCGAAACAAAAAATAGTCTATGGGATAGATTTTTGGATGCTGATTTCAAATCTGCAAACAGATTTTCGCTAGCTCCTCCCAGTCGCGAGATATTGGCGAGTTTTGGTTAGTTTTGGTTTTGGTTTTGGTTTTGGTTTTGGTTTGTTTTGGTTTTGGTTTTGTTATGGTTTTGGTTTTGGTAGTTTTGGTTTTGGTTAAGTTTTGTTTTCCGAAGTCTAATATACAGTACTGGACAATGAAATATGATATTTGAAAAACGATCGTCACTTTCGCGCGTCTGTAACTCCCCTTGTCTTTGAGTTTAAACTATTAGTGTTATACATTTTCTGAAAGCTCTTTTCAAGGGCTACACAATGGTGATATTAATATTTAGAAATACGGTAAAGACAATAGAGTTAAAGACGCGCGAAAGTGACGACCTTTTTTCAAATATGATATTTCATTGTCCAGTAGTGTACGTGACGCAAAAAAAATTGCCGCAAATGATAGGTAGCGCAAATAATTTGGCGCTTTTTTCAGCAAATTACATGTAAATTTTCAGTTTCATATGCAAACAAACAAAAATAAAGATAAATTTCTCACACTTTTTCTCAACATTAATATTATATACCAATAATATGTAATATATTATTATTATAATATAACATTACATATTCAAGGTAAATAAGAACACTCGAATTACTATCAAAAAATTTGTTTTCTATAGATGGAAAAAAAAACAAAACAAATGATTAGATTGTCATATGGGTAAAAGATCTTCTTTTACAATGAAATCACTTTCAATCTTGATCTTGATATCAATCTTTTTGAGTTCAAAAGATCAAGTAATCAAAAGAGCTATCGGCTAAATTGCTATCGGCTAGATTTTTTTCGTTGACAAAATTTGCATATCAACATTTGAGAATGATTAATGTTGAGAACAATTTTGGAATGTAAAATGCATTCAAAACTATTTAAAACTTTCGGGATATCTAGGATTCAGGATTCAGGTTCGTGATATTCCCTCCTTGGCTAGATTTAAAGCCGCAATTTCTGCAATTGATTTGACTGCTCTGTGATTCTTTCTTGAGGTATCTATTTATCTTTTGGGTGTGTTTTGAGTGGTGTCCCGGGTAATTAATGTGATTTTGTTTTGTCGCTATTCAACTGAATAAAGCATATATATGTTAGCTCCGAATCTGAGGAGACGTCCATCTCCGATCCGGGCGTCCGAATCTGAGGAGATTCATTCTCCTCCGAAACGGACGTCCATCTCCGAAACGGACGTCCATCTCCGAAACGGACGTCCATCTCCGAAACGGACGTCCATCTCTGAGCCGGACGTCCGTTTCAGAGGAGAATGAATCTCCTCAGATCCGGACGTCCGGATCGGAGATGGACGTCTCCTCAGATTCGGACGTAACATATATATCAACATTTGTAATATTTGTGGATTTTTTTTTGTGGTAAAACATTTTATTCAAAACTTTAATCAATTAAAGAAAATGAATTACCATAAAGAAGTGGTTTGAAAATGAAAATAAAATAAAAGAAAATAAAAGAAAACTTTTGTTTTTTGATGAGGCACAACCTGAAAGTGGCACCCAGAAATTGAATAATTTTCAAAGAAAAAAAAACAAATTACAATATAAAAATGGGATCAAAAAAATTGAGAATGATTAATGTTGAGAACAATTTTGGAATGTAAAATCAATTCAAAACTATTCAAAACTATTTAAAACATTCAGGATATCCAAAAAGAAACACCAAAAAAAAAGAATTGAGCAATGGCAAAAAGCGTGTGGAGAAAAAGGAAAGCCTCGGCGAAATCCGATCAATAAAACGATCAATAAAACGACAAAATGATTCCTATTCTTTTAAAAAAAAATAACTTTAAATTGTTTATTTAATGTTTAAAAAGTTTAAAATGTTTGTTTAAGAAAAAAACCAAAAAAAAACAAAAAAAACAGAACACCGAAGTCTCCACACGTTTCGCTGTAATACCAGAATTTCACCACACAAAAAGACACACACAAAACACACACACAGCTCCTAATAAACAAAAAAAGGCTTGCACAAAATCTCATAATTCTTCTGAGCATTTTTACATTTATAAATCTCAATTAAACCGCAAAAAAACAAGACAAGAGATCAAGAAGTTTAACGAGAAAATTTTGGCTCAACCAGAATAGCTACCGCGTAAAGAAATGACTTTAAAATCAAGGATTTCGAAAAACTCAAATACTTTCTGTACTTTCACTGCGCACTTTTGCCTCGTTATTTGGAGTGTCGACCTCTTTAAAGCCAACACCACCATTCTGCGCCTCCATTCGACCTCGAAATGTTGCTGCTCTGGCCACTGACATCGAACGAGAACGCACCTGCATACTCTTTATTCAAATGCGTTTAGTGGAGGTTCAGATGACTTGAAGATTCTAGAATTAAACGAACCTGTACCAGATTCACGAGTTGTCCTTGTGTGGCTGATCGTATGCGAGAGGGGCCCGGCTCACCAGCTGAACAAGATCTTCCCTCGGATCGAGTGCTGCGCTCGGGAGCTGCTTCAAGAACAACCTCTCGTTGCGGGACTGTTGACGCTTTCGAGTGCACGCTTAGCGGTACCACAAAGCTTTTCGCATTCGAGTTGTTCAACACCTGAAAATAATGGTTAAGGAAAAGGGTTAAGGAAAAGGAATATTTCAAAAAAAGTTACCAATTGTGGAGAGCTATTTGGCGTGAAATGGAATGGATCATGGTGATCGAGTTGTGGTGGATAAGTGAAAACAGCTGAATCAGAGGCAGCAGATGGCGGTTCAGGAGACTCGCCTCGAGTACCGACATCTCTCTCTTCTCCCCGAGAGCCCTCCGATGAACAAGTGACCTAAAAATTGTTATTATATTAATCTATTGGCTATTTTCTAATGGATTTATAAGCTAAAAGTCTTACTTGGTAGCCAAATGCTTTTAGAATGTCTCCCTTGCACATCGGGCAGGTTCGATGCTCGAGCAGCCACGGATCGATACAAGTTTTATGGAAGACATGTCTGAAAGTTATATAGTTCGATAGTTATATCTTTTTACAAACCTGCATGGAAGAGTTCGTACAATGTCTCCAATCACATATGGATCAATACAAACGGGACAATCGGTGTCCAGCTCGCAATCGCCTGATTTGAGAGTTCTCGTCGGAATTCTTGCAAGTGCCTGAAAAAGTTTTTGGAATAAATAAAAGCAAAAATAGCTCACCTTTTTCGCTGCATTGAATAGCCGTCTTTGCAAGCGATCTTTAGCGTGTGCGTATCGGAATCTAGAAATCTACAGTTGGCTTTGTCACTTCGTTGAACACAAAACCTTTGTACATAGTAAAACACGAGCCATGCCAATGAGATCACCATTAAAATAATAAAAGAAATCGAGACAAAAAGCACGGATGTCTTTGAAAAAGAGCTGAAAGTGATTGGCATTACTTGATTGTTTCTCTTTTAATTACCGTAAAGCATCATTTGAGTCAGCTTGAATGCCGTCAAAAGTGCAATAGTCGAAGCTTTCCAACGCACCAGTGCCTGCAAATTGTTGAATTTTTTGAATATTGTAAGTCTTGATTATCTGAATTTTCAATTGAATACCGTATTTACTCGAATAGAAGACCGGTCTTCTATTTTTTCGATCGTTTCTCTTTTAATTACCGTAAAGCATCATTTGAGATGCCTAGACCCCGTCTTCTATTCGAGACGGTCTTATAATCGAGGTCGGTCTTCTATTCGAGTAAATACGGTATCTTTTCTTTCTTTAAGAACCTAAAAGATTCTCAACTGAATCCTTTTAAAAGACATTCTTTATCCCTTCTTTCCCTAGGCAAGCCGGGCTACCGGCTAGCTAAGTGGTTGAGGGGTTAGCTAGAAAACAGAAGGGCTCAGTCTGCGCCCAGGTTCAATCCCTTCCCAAGCAATTTATTTCTCCTTGCCAATTTTTTTTCACTTTTTAGATAAGAACTGTTATTTGATAGCAATTCTAACATTCTAACAGCAATTCTAACATTCTAACAGCAATTCTAACAGCAATTCTAACAGCAATTCTAACAACAATTCTAACAACAATTCTAACAGCAATTCTAACAGCAATTCTAACATTCTAACAGCAATTCTAACATTCTAACATTCTAATTCTAACTTTTTCAAGAACTATATTTGATAGCAATTCTAACAGGTCTAAGTGATAGTTTTTAAATTTATTTATATAATATAAACTATTTTTTTAAAAACAAACTCATCGCTTGATACAGAGTAAACGTGGTGAACTGATCAACGAACGGACTCGCATCAGTTGCTGGCTGCAGTATTAACAAATACGAGGCGTTTGTTTTCGCCAAAGATGGTTGACTACAGTTTTCACAAGCTGTAAAAAAAAACGATTTTCTTTTGTTTTTGGAGAAATTTCGATACCAGGATCACAGATGATGATGTACCCATAATCGTTCGGATTTGGCGGCGCTATTAACAAACTTTTCTGGCAACCCGTTTTCACGCCCGCTAGCGTTGAAATCTTTCGAAGTGTCTGGACACAAAGGGTTTTTAAGTTTTAAAATATATATGTTGTAGCCGTTTACGAAATTCAGCAGCTAACGAATCATTCATTAGCGGCTAGCCGTTAACGAATGATGTTAATGTAGACTCGTTAGCGGCTGGCCGTTAACGAATGAAATTTTTCGCTAGCCGTTTACGAATGATTCGTAATCGGCTAGCCGCCAACGAATCATTTGTTAGCAGGTGAATTTCGTAAACGGCTACGACATTTACATGATTTATTGATTTCTCTTTATTTCTGTACCTGTTTTGGCAGTGAAGCGCCCGTCATTGTGGTGATCGTTCCGTTTAGATTTCCGCCCGTTTGGCACTTCAACATGTCCTGAAAATCAACGAAAAATTCATGTAGACTACCGTATTCTCTCTAATAGTAGTGCACCCCGGCCGAGCCGAGTTGATGCCTATTTTACCGTTTCGAAGTTTTCGGAGAAGCTCAACACTCAAATCCCCCACTAGATCTCATCGTCAGCTACATTTTCCGACCCCACATCGATAGGTTCTGATAAGCGGTTCTCGAGATTTCGAGGAATTTAGGCAAAGCTTAGGATACACTACTATTAGAGAAAATACGGTATATTCCATTTTATTGAGAAAAAGGAATTGGCTAATAGTGAACTGGACAAATGAATTTAGGCATCAAGAAAGGTAGAAGAGTGGCTTTTTTGCCATAACTTTCTTCTAAGTTCACTAGTCTTTATAATGTTGATGTTATTTTGTTGCACTTGTTAAGTTCTACAAAATAACATCAAAGCTCATAGAGATTAGCCCATTTAGAGAAAGAGTTTAACGCAAATTAGCCAGCCTCAAAAGTAGATTGTTTTAAAGCTTTAAATTTAGATTGTAAAGCTGATTTGGACATAACTCTTTACTTTTTATTTCTATTTTTCTCTTTTATAACCTTTTTTTTTATTTAGTTGAAGATGACAAGCAGGTGGGTGAGTTGTGTGTGTTTTTTTTCTTTACGCCATTTGCCCTATAGCCCGTTCCCCTCCAAAATTTCTCTCTATAGTCCTTTTCTTTCGATCTTCTCCAACAAAAACGACCGCAGCTGTCTTTATAAGCAAAATTTCGATTCAATTGACTGAATTTTTTTCCAAATCCTTTCTGTGTCCTTTCTGTGTCCTTTTTTGGTCTTTTTTTATCCAAATTTGGATAAAGACTATCTTGAATTGCTAAAAACAAGTGAAATTGTTTTTTGCTTGCTTAGCTAAACCCCTTTTAGCTAAGCCCCTTTTAGCTAAACCCCTTTACTCACTTTTCAGTCATTAAAATAAAGGCAATGGATTTTCACGCCTTTTTACAATAAGTAAACATTACGCAGATTTTAATCTTTTCTTTTTTTTAAATGGGAAAGATTTCAATAATAACTAGTTTTTTGAGAAAAATTATAATTGATTTCCTTTGAAAACGTCAAAATTCATGTACAGCTCCCCAAGGAAAAGAGAAACGTCAATTAAACGAATCGCAACGCAAATTAAACAACATTTGTGATTTACAGCTTTCCCCCATTTGAATAGCGCCAAGAAAATGGGTATTTTGTGACAAGTGCAAAGTTATGGAGCTTTATATGAACCATGTGCGCTTTATAACTTCGAGCAATCGCTACCGTATTTTCTCTAATAGTAGTGCACCCCGGCGAGCCGAGTTGATGCCTATTTTACGGTTTCCAAGCTTTTGCAGAAGCTCAACACTCAAATCCCCCACTAGATCTCATCGTCAGCTACATTTTCCGACCCCACATCGATAGGTTCTGATAAGCGGTTCTCGAGATTTCGAGCAATTTAGGCGACGCCCCCCAAGGAAAAGAGAAACGTCAATTAAACGAATCACAACGCAATTTAAACAACATTTTTGATTTACAGCTTTCCGCCATTTGAATAGCGCCAAGAAAATGGGTATTTTGTGAAAAATGCAAAAGTTATGGAGCTTTATATGAACCATGTGCGCTTTATAATTTCGAGTAATCACTAGATAATTGCTGGCTATAAATAAACTAAAGCTTTCTACAGATAAATCGTTAGGTTCAATGGGATAAAGTTTTTTTAAACTGGATACTGACTAAGTTTTGTTATGTAGCTGTCATTAGCAGAAATTTATTGAGTAAGCGGGTGTGTTCTGCTCGTTTAAACTCCATAGAGACGCCATTTGCAAAGAAAGCGAAAATTCCCAAAGCCCCATCGTTTTCAAAAACGAAAATTTACATACTTTGTTGCTTATTATTAGAAATTTGAATGTAAACTCTTAAATTAAATGTCTAATAATTTGCGGTAGAATTTTCCAAAGATCCAATAGATTCTGTGAACTTATTTCCCATCCACTCATCCTTACAATATCGTTAAGCTTTTGCCTTGAAAAATCTAGCTTTTAAAACCAAGCTTAGTATTATAGCTTAGTACTAAGCTTGGTTTTATAGTTTAGTACTAAGCTTGGCTTTATAGCTAGGACTAAGCTTGGTTTTATAACTTAGTACTAAGCTTGGCTTTATAGCTTGGTACTAAGCTTGGCTTTATAGCTTAGTACCAAGCTTGGCTTTATAGCTTAGTATTATTTCAATTTTAAATCCTTACCTGAAATGTGTAACAAAAATGCATAAAGAGAATGAGTAGTGAGGTCCACATGGCAGCAGTTGGACGAATGAGAAAATGGTGATGAGAGTGGAGAAGCGAAACGATTTAAACCGATCAGCGATTCACTGATGATCCTGGAAACAGAATTTTAGCATAATAAAAACTCTATTGCTTTTCAAACAAGTAAACGAAATATCATTTTTTCTAGACGCTAAAGAAATCAGCTGTTGAGAGAAAGCGCCAAAACCATCTGTTCATTAGTTGGAAAGGTTTTCCCAAATCCGAGTCCTCAAAAAGATCTAGTCAAATCGAAATATTGGAGTTTTCGTAAAATTCAAACATTTTTTTCTATTTTTGTTCTAGATGATTAATTCAGCTCAAGCTCTAAAAATAGCTAAAAAGAAGAATATTAAAGAGATAGAATTTTGAAGAAATTGTTTATAAGATCTTTATAAGATTCTTTATAAGATCTTTTTCATGAAATTGAGATTTCTTGAAGAAGAGATGGGTAAGAGATCAGCTGGATAGAGGAAAAATTCTTTTTAAAATTCTTTATAAAATCCGCTTTAGCAAAGATGACGGAAATTGCTGAAAAGAATTAATAGAAAGTCATGAAATTAAGATTTCTTGAAGAAGAGATGGGTAAGAGATCAGCTGGATAGAGGAAAGAGGTTGGAAAGGGGGGAAAGGGGGTAGAGTGAGGTCTTGAAGGGAAATGAGAGGAGAGGGGCCTCGGTGGGGCATGGAGAGAATCGATTGAGGGCTGCCAGGGTCTTTCAGGCCAGCCTCCTCTCTCGCTGTCTCTCCTCGCATGTCATGTATGTTTTCTGAATACCCTTTCTTTCTCCCGAAAAGTCTCTTTTTCCTCTTTGTGTAAATGGCGATTACATGGGTCTTTTCATCGAAGAGAGGGAAAATCTCAGCCTCCACGCTCGGCAGAGCACTTCCGCTATGCGAAAAAAAAACAAAGTTTTCAAGAAATTTCTCTTCTACCATGCTTGACGAAAGGTCTATTTATCAATTTCTGTGTTCGTCTTCTTTTCCGGGTTCAATTTGGAATAAATGATTGATCTGGAATAAATGATTGATAGATCTCGAAGATCTCGAAGAAAGGATCTTGAAGATCTCGAAGATCTCGAAGAAAGGATCTCGAAGATCTCGAAGATCTCGAAGATCTCGAAGAAAGGATCTCGAAGATCTCGAAGATCTCGAAGATCTCGAAGAAAGGATCTCGAAGATCTCGAAGAAAGGCCGAGTCCGAAGATCTCGAAGAAAGGATCTCGAAGATCTCGAAGATCTCGAAGAAAGGATCTCGAAGATCTCGAAGAAAGGATCTTGAAGATCTCGAAGATCTCGAAGAAAGGATCTCGAAGATCTCGAAGAAAGAATCTCGAAGATCAGAAGCACATTTAAACTTCAATAAATGAATTCTTAATTTAAATCTAAATTTCTAAAGGTTTTATTGAAGATTTTTAAAGATTTTTAAAGATTTCTAAAGGTTCTAAAGGTTCTAAAGGTACAAATTCTGTTTTACTTTGTGAAAATCAAAATCAAAATCAAAATCTTGACCTTATACTAAAGTTATACTATAACCAGACTGTTAAAGCTCAAAAATTGATACTATTTTTCCTAGAAATCTCTCATGAAACATTTGCTTTTAAACACCACTACAATTCTTGAAAAGAAAAGATCACCGCTGACTCAGCAGAAAGAAAAAAAATGTTAGTATTTAAATTGAAATTGTGGAAAATTGTTGATTGAGATTAGAAGGAGGCGAATTTTTGTCGGGCTTCGCTGAATCGTCTGCGAACTTTGATGAAGCCAGAGAAAGATATTTACAATTGAATTGGATTGAAAAGAAAATCTTGATTAATCAGATTTAAGGTAAAAGTTGAATGAAATGAAAAAACAAAAGTTTTCCTTTAAATTTGACTCACTGAAATCACCAAAGAAACATTCAAAGCGTCAAATGAAGTTCCGATTTGGTTCGGAGTTGGTTCGGAGTTGGTTCGGAGTTGGTTCGGAGTTGGTTTCGATTTGTTTCCGATTTGGTTTCGATTTGGTTCGAAGTTGGTTCGGAGTTGGTTCGGATTTGTTTCCGATATGGTTCCAATATGGTTCCAGTATGGTTCCAATATGGTTCGGATACAGCTCCAATATGGTTCCAATCTGGTTCCAATATGGTTCCAATATGGTTCCAATATGGTTCCAATTCGGTTAGGTTTCGATTTGGTTCGGAGTTGGTTCGGATTTGGTTCGGATTTGGTTTCCCTTTGGTTCCGATTTGTTTCCGATTTGGTTTCGATTTGGTTCGGAGTTGGTTCGGATTTGGTTCGGATTTGGTTCCGCTTTGGGTCCAATTCGATTCCGATTTGGTTCGGAGTTGGTTCCGATTTGGTTTCCATTTGATGCCTTAGATATAGTTAATGGATCTTTTAAAATTGATTTAAAAACATTTCCAAAAAGAGTCATATAGTTGAAACTTTGAATTTCAAAAGTTTTCCTTTACTTTGCAGTTCTTTATTAAATCCAATTAATGAAATCACCAAAAGAATTTGACTAACTGGAAGCCATTCAAAACGTCAAATTAACGAGAAATTGGGGCAGGTGAATCGAAATTGAATAAGTAATGTTTTTTTTTGAGAAAAGAAAATTGAGTTTCACAAAAAAAAAATCTTTTTGTTATTTGTAAGCAAAACAAGATGAAAATAAAGATTTTGAATGAGAAATTGAGAAAGAAAAATTCATAATTACTATTTTGTCGGTGCTTTTCTCGATAGAATAAAAGAAAATTGATCGCGAAGAAAAGGAATGAGTTTTGAGTTGCGAGTTTTTGAGATTTAAAATTATAGTAAAGTTGAGGAGAATTGAAATGCAAAGGCTATAGGTCAAAAGGAAAAGCAAAAGCTTCAATTTAAAGCTTCAATTAGCGGGAAATTTCCTCTCTCGTCACGCGATTTCATTTCGCGTAAATGAAATTGCGTAAATGAATACAAATTTTTCTCACCGAATTTCTTTAAATCTCAGGAATTGAGTTGATTTTAATTAGAATTTCGAACGAAAAACAAAAAAGAAGTTTCTACTTTTTGTGATTTTAAAAGATTTGTACTTTTCCTTTCTTGTACAGCTTACAAATTTGAGACTTTTTCTTGTTTATAGGCAGTTTAGCTCTGTCAATTTTAAATTAGTTTTTAATGTCATATATACACGTGTCTAATTGTAGTTGTGTTTGTATATCAATTATCTTTCTTCGTCTACGCTGTTCAATCTGTTTGCATTGTCACTTTTCCTTGTCGGATAAAGTATATATATAATTTATAGTTTATAGACTTGTTTATAGACTTGTTTATACACAAAAATAGATTTTAAATTTGTAGTTCTTAGTTAGCTCTTCAAAATCTATTGGGTTGGTGTTTTTTGGCTCTGCCGCCCTTTACTAAAATAGCTGTAAAAACTTTTAGAAAAGAGATATTTCAAAACGGTTTTTACCAATCGATCCGTCTTGAATTCAGCTTTAAGATGAGCTATAAAACGTCAAAATTGGACAAATTTAAGGTACTCTCCCAAAAAATCCGAAAGGACTTTTCCACCAACCCAATACAATCAAATCAAAAAAATCTACAACCAAAGCAGTTATGTAATAGTTTAAACTTCAAAAAAAAAGCTTAGAAATCTCTTTAGCAACTTTTTAAACTTAAAGATATTATGGGGATGACCACTTTCAAAAACCCCCGGGGGGGTTCTCCCCAACACGAATATATCAATCACAATACAACACACAACACTACTCTCTATCTTTTCTCACCCCCCCACAGACGGCCCCCTAACCCTAAGCTCATGGGGAACTAAATAGCTTTTTTGGTGGTGAAGGGAAGATGACGATGAAGGAGCCACTTTGCGCCAAATTTTTTGCGCAACTCGCCATAACTTTCTTTTAAGTTCACTAATCTTGATAATTTTGATGTTATTTTGTTGCACTTGTTAAGATCTAGAAAATGACACCAAAACTCATAGAGATTAGCCCATTTAAAGAAAAAATTTAACGCAAATTAACACAAGTGCAACAAAATAGCATCAAAATTATCAAGATTAGTCAACTTAGAAGAAAGTTATGGCAAAAAAGCCACTCCTCTACCTTTCTTGATCTTTTGGTTTCATTTTGTTGCACTTATTGAGATCTACAAAATAACACCGAAATCAAAAAAGATTGGCCCACTTAGAATAAAGTTATGGCGGGTTGCGCAAAAAAATTGGCGAAAATTAGCCTGCCCGAAAATTCATCAAATGGGAAATGAGGCGTCTTTTTATACACGCGACATTGTTTAGAGTACGGTATTTCTGGTGTCTTATTAGACTGCAGCTTTTTGGTGACTTTTTGGTGACAGAGTCACAACAAGTAAGCAAAGAAAGAAAGGACAAGAAAGGAAACTTTCAGCAATAAGAAACATCAAAAACTATGCAAGATTTGATAAACAATTAACTCAAAACTTTTCTTGACTTTGATTACTTTAGTTTTGACGTTTTTTAAACGACTTTACTTTAAAGACTTTAAAGGAGTTAAAAATAAAATAAAATTTCTTTAATAGACTCAAGATTTTTTTTTTGAGAAAATTGATGATTCTGAAATGAAAAAAGACGAGGGAAAATTGGCGGCTTTGAAGAAAAATGAGCTTTTATTCCCAGCAAAAAAAGATTTTTTTCTCTCTAAATTTCGTTCTTCTTAATTGATTTCTGAACATAAAAAGAGTTTTTGAAAAGTTTTTATAACCTTTAAGTGGGAGTGGGACAAATGCGACCTTTTTTTTGCGCACCCGGACATTTGCGCACCTTTTTTTCCGCACCTTGCCCATTAGCGCACCTTTTTTAAGCTCTAAAAAGCTAATAAGCTTTAAAAAGCTCTAAAAAGCTCTTTTTAAGCTTAAAAAAGCTCTAAAAGCTAATATTAACCAATTTCGATTCCAAAAGTTGTTTTTCTGGGTAATTTTAGGGCGTAGAATCGAAATTTTGACATAACAGAGCTCGTAGAAACAAACGGACGAAGTTATACACAG